CTGTATATAATACATCTTTTACCACTCCCCTCGGCCCAACCGTCTACAAAATAATATTAATTCGTCGGCCCACCCGTCTAATAGGATAGATATCTGGGCCCCACCTGTCTATGTGATAACAAGCACCCTTGATATACCTGGCTATTTGATACATATCTACCTGTGGTACAACCCATCTACATATATCCAACTACCCCTCGGCCGATCCGTCTATTGAAAATTCATGTCCATCGGCCCACCCATCTACTTTACCATATTCCCCACCTGGGCCACCCGTCTCCATCAGGAATAATAACACTCCCGGCCCATCCGTCACAGTCTAGGATATATCTACCCTCGCCCATGGTCCACTGGCCCGTATCATACGGGATATTATGCACATCCGTCCAACTCGTATAATACGGAGATATGTTACTGCAATATGTGGTTCATCTGCCAGAAGATTGAGGTGCATGGCGCGTGGCAAGGATCGCAAGATCACGATCTGGAAACTGTACGCGGGTATATGTTTTGGGTATTGTTAGCAGGAATATGCAACAGGATGTGGAGGTGCATACTCATACAACATGGTGTGGTAGGCGTACTGGAGCGCGGAACATCAACAGCTGGATTATAAAAGGGCATTCGGGAGATCCACCCACATGGAGGAGCCAGCGATGTGAATATGTTCGCCACTGAGAACACTTCAGGAAAGGAAAAATGATGATGGGATCAATACGCAAAAACGGCGCGTGCGAGTGTTAACTCACAAAAAACCACATGAATAATAGAATATGTTATGTTTCACCAGGACAACGTACAGACGGCTTGAGTTTATCCGCCAGCTCTGCATGGCGGCGTATAAGCGTGAGCATCATTATTCCTGGAGAGAACATCTGTCAGTGCGTGTTTGTACATACATATGCTCCTGGTCACCCACCCCAGTTCGAACACAGAAAGGAGAAGAAATTGTATGAAGAGTCGGAAATTGATCGAACTGTGGTAGCACCCTGTGATGCCCGGGATCGCGCTAGTCGCATCTGTGGAAGTGAACAGAATGTTTCAGTGGCCGTGGAACGCAAGAGGGAAGGTGAGAGCGAGTACATGCTGTGGGGACGGTAACGGTGAAGTCAATGCTGAAGGATGCTACGAGAAAAATCTGGCTGATGCATCTACCACTAGCTTTGGTAATGGTAAGTGGATTTGGAACTCACGAAAGCGGTGGACAGCATGGTTGCCAGCAAGATTCTATTCTTGTTCCAGAGCGCATATGTTCTGAGGATGAAAAAACCTGGATGGATCAGATCAGAAGCACACATATCTTACGGAAGGAACAAAAGGCACACTCGGAGCACATGACTGATACTATAGAAAGACCTGTTAGAGGAAAGTAGTAGCCCTGAGCAAGGACGTGCATGCACGAATGTACCTTGCAGTAAGTCGTTCGTTCTCATTAACTCTCCACAGTATCACATACACTTTGGTTCTCATTCGAGATAAAGCTCCCTGAAGAACAAGTGTTAATTCATCATCGGGGTGATGTGTGCTGGAGCGGGAACGCACAATATAAATTCGCGGTGATAAGGATGAAAGGGAGGTATCGCGTAACAATATACAGGCCTTTTACCTTGGTCCAGTGCGATCGAAGTAAAAATGACCTCTTTGCACAGCATATGGTGAATATCAAAACCGAGGTGTATTGCGCAACGGGAGCATTACCTCTTCATGAAGTGAACATGCATAATCATAGATCTGGATAAGCGAATTCAACAGTGGGCGTAAATAGATCAGTATAAGCCTACCCAGATTGGTAGCCAATCGACACTGAACTATGTTAAGGCAAAGAATAAGGGGTTCAGAACAGTACGCACCGTAAATGTACTGATGGCACATGAATTGTCAATTATTATTCGCCCATACATCGACAAGAAGACACACCATAGCGAACCGCAAGCTCCACGCTGCTGCGATAACGTCAGACGAATACTCCATCTAGAGGCTGTATACTGGAAAAGTCTCAGCGAGTGATGAGAAAATGCTGAGGTACGGACAACGACGAGACACACGTGAAGTACCCTATGTACGGTTATATAGCGATCGGGTGGCTTGATGCACAGTACCAATAGACACCAAAAGATGAAGTGCAAGATATAGAAGAGAGTCAAGATAGGTAAGATAGATCGAGTTGGGAAAGATAGATGCGAACAAAGGTCAAAAAACGTGTTTGATGCACACACCATGCAGCTTCTTATCTCTTATAACGAGTTGTGATCCCATCAAGGTAGTGGAGTTGATACTGGGATATGATTCAAATTGCAGGCTTGGCTTGATGGTCATGATGGAGCGATTCACCGTTCACTGGATGCACCGGCCGGCCGAGCGAAGATATAGCTGCCCCTCCGGTGCCTGAGGCAGTAGTTTCATTAATAGCATACTACATAACATGCGCAGAACGCACCCAATAACGTTTCTGAAGCTCGAAGTTTGATGCATTATTGTCACTTGAAACGCGAAGCTACCTTGGAGGGACCTTGTTATTGTAGGGAGGTTCAACTTCTTTGGATGAACGGATACATCATGTGGTGATAGTAAGGGCCTTTGCCTTGATCCAGAGCGATCAGATCGACGCGGGAAACCCCACTGTGAACATTACCATTATCAAATAAATGCTGAGGCGTATCACAAATAACTGCATTACCAATTCTTGGAGCGAACAGGCATGATCACACATCGAAGGATTGGACATTTTACCTCTTGCAAAACTTCAATCAAAAGCAGATCTAGACCTAGCTAGAGCATTCTAGACCTAGCCTGGAACGCTCTAGATTGCAGTTCGAATGCGATTTCACTAGTGGCAAAATGTGGTAAAATGTCGAAACCCCCCGCTGTGTCATATGTCTGGAAAATATTTAATGGCTGACTGAAATAGATTGGGACGAGCTCACAAGATTGTAGCTATCAAGGCTGGGACGCTGAGCTGTGGTTGAAACAAGGACCCGGAAAAAGCAGAAACATTCATCAAGTATTATCTTGACAGCGGTCCCGTACCAACAAGAACGCGACGCACTGCAATAGACTGCACATCGTGCAGTTTCGCGCACCGAGGAACACTCATTACGTATGTACTTGATCTATAAAAAACCCATCAAGATGCGACATAGAGGGGGGCTGGGTCACCAAGTCTAGAATGCGACCCCCAGTGGATACAGTGTGCACTACGATCATTCAAGTGACAGGGCTTGCCTGACTAAAGATCTCGGAGGGGTGCCAACTGGCCAAGCGTTGCACCAAGTTGACGACTAAGTGTATACGTATCACAGACTCAACTTCAAACATCAGCAAACTACAATATTGGCCTTGTACAGCTCGAAGTAAGTGTTAGCAAAACATACGTGACTATTTGTTTTGGCAGCAGCTTTGAAATCAAACAACACCTCGGCCTAAGTAAACGTCGACTAAAGTCTACGAAGTCCCAGTGGAAATTGCATTCCAGCACACGCAACAAGAGGCTCTCGTACTCAGATACCGAGAAGACTTTTTTATTCGTCTAAACGTCTTAAAAACGCAGCCAACATCCTATTCCGCGCCATCCAACCCTCTCAAAACCAACCCTATACATGAGTTTTCATCGATAAGCCACAAGGTATGACTCGTATGAGTAGTGCTAAAGACCTTAATCGCGAGCTAACGTTTAATTACTTCTACAATATATACAGAAGGTCAAATATACCTCTTACTCATGCCAAATCCTCTCAGCCTCTGAACGACGGTATCCGATGGCAAGACCAAGAAAGCCGATACACTATCCCTGGTCCACCGTGGTACACTCCACATCCGCCTTTACACCTACATCTACGCATATATATCCCGCTCCCCAGAGATCGTCCCATCTCTCTTGAACAACCCCGTCAGGCACTACCCACTACGACAAATAATGGTCCCTCCTGTATATGTCATGGGCGAAAGTGCGAGTCAAAAAGCTTTTCCGCACCCCGCATCAAGGCGGTATGCCCCAAGTAGGAATGAACCCGCAGGCGACGATAGCGCAGTAGAACAGTAATATGGAGGCTTTGGAGAGGAGGAGGCAGCGTGAACGGACGAGAGATGGGAGTGGGGGCGTTGGGGTGGGCGTGAGTATATCCTGTCCTCGGAGAAACGTTTGTCTGATATGTTGGTTATTGGTGAGTGGTCAAGCGTGGCAGTCCACTCCTGCGGCCTCCGTCTGGGTGACAATTCTTGAGGACATCAGTAATCCAGTAGTTCAAGACCTTGCCAGATTTATTAATGTTTCCGGTTTTTCCTGGCATTAAGACACCACCATCATTCCACCTCGGCATTACCAGAAAGTCTTCTACCGGACAGGGAGATAATTCGTGCTATGAACACCTTTGAGAGGTTCGCAAAAGAAGCACAGGAACGAAGTCAATCAACTTCCGACGCTCTCAAGTACGCCTGTCACAACTGAGCCGTACATCTCACGCGTGCTCCCCGTCCATGGGATGACACGTTCAACCATATATTCCAGGCTTTTGGAATGATCGTATTATCTCCTGGATGGAAGTAGTGTGGTGTTGGAAGGGTCTGCGGTCTTGCCTTGTTGTCTTGTCTGAAGGGCAAAATTTGTGAAGGTGTGTGTTTTCAACGATTCAAGTTGGCCGCAACTGATGTCACCTTACGTTCCATGATATTTAGTTTATGACGTGACGCCTTGGAATTCTCTCTTATCTTCAGTCCAGACTCTTGAGCCATTGACACGCAACCCGGTGCTAGTACTTGAATCCTCCCCCATTGACAATCCTTACAAACTACAGGCAGGCGAAATTAGCATCAGTGCCAGCGAGTAATGTAGTATTCTATGGTACGATAGAAAGCGTGATGCCCATAAATGTTAGATCTATTGTTGATACCAACCTCATACTTTCTCTCGAGCTCTTGAACAGTGGAGGGTAAACTGTTATAATTATCAACACAAACCCAGATATAGTTATCCTAATCTATAACGGTTCAACATCTACCTCGGTAGCTCAGACGACTCGCATATGTGCACCCTGTTTTTCTCGGCTCGTTTCTACTAGCTATTGCATATGGGCGCAATTATACCCCTTCGTCGAACTTGCGCATCTCATTATGTACATCAGGCTATCTACGACGCCTTAATAGTGCTCCCTACTCGCCTTGAATGCCATTTGGCCTTATTATAAGTAGATCTACTTGATAGTCCTTATTGTAAGCAATGAAAAAGTTGATTCGAGGTCGTAAATAAGCTAAATAAGGCACTTTAAGAGTGATTTAAGCATCCTGACGTTTTCCTCGTGCTCAGGAAGGTCCAGATCGCCATACCAGAACAAGAAGAGGTTTTTGAAGAAAGGGTGGAGGAAGGAGAGCGGCAAGAAATGCGTGTCATTCGTTAACTTATGCTTGGTACAATAACCCCAGGACAGCCCGCGAGGCACCACATCCTAACAGTTTTAGTTATTTGTTGCGGTATACAAGTAAAAGAAGTCTCTCTACTAAACCCACCCCCACCAGTCATCTCGTACAGTCCAAGCCTCGCTCCGCGACCGATACCGAATAAGCCACAGGATAAGATATCACGCCGTGGGATTTGCAGATGATATATCGGACATTGGAATACGCACAAAGGCGCCAGAGCGGTGTGCATGTTGGTTCATCTGCCAGAGATGGAGGTGCATGCGCGTGGCGAGGATTGCGAGCATCACGAACTGGAAACTGTACGTGGGGGGTATTGTTAGTAGGAATACGTAGCAGGATGGGGAGGTGCATACTCATAAAACAGGGTGTGGTAGGCATACTGGGGCGTGGAACATCAACGGCTCGGTTATAAAAGGCATTTATGAGATTCGCGCACCTGGAGGAGCAGCAATGTGAAGATATTCGTTATTGAGAATACTTTAGGAAAGAGAATGATCATAGGTGAACACGAAAAAACGGCGCGTGTGAGTGTCAACTCACGAAGACCACATGCATAATAGAATATGTTATGGTTCACCAGGACAACGTACAGACGGCTTGGATTTATCCGCCAGCTCTGTATGGCGCGTATGAGCGTGAGCGTCATGAGTCCTGGGGAAAACATCTGTCAGCACGTGTTTGTAGATTTATATATTCCTGGTTACCCACCCAGTTCGAACACGGAAAGGAGAAGAATTGGTACCAAAGACCGTGACACTGGTCGAACCTCCGGTAGCAACCCTGTGATGCCCGGGATCGCGCTTGTCACGCCTGCGAAAGTGAATAGAATGATTCAGTGGTCGTGGAATGCCAGGGGGGAGGTGAGAGCGCGTACGTGCTGCGGGACCAGTAGCGGCAAAGGCAACGCCGATGGATGCTACGACAAAAGTCTGGCTGATGCATCTACCACTAGCTTGGGTGTGGTGAACAGATTTGGAACTCACGAAAAAGGTGGACAACATGGTTATGAGCAAGATTCTATTATTGTTCCAGAGCGCATATGTTCTGAGGAGGAAAAAAACTAGGTGAATCAGAACGGAAACACACATAGTACGGGGGAACGAGAGATACATTCGGAGAAGATGGCTGATACTATACCAATACCTGTGAGAGGAAAGTATTAGCCTTTAGTAAGGACGTACATACATGAATGTACCATGCACATACCAGAGTCGATATCGTCCAACACCCGGCATCTCTGGCGAAGTCATGCAGTAAGTCGTTCGTTCTCATTAGCTCTCCACCGCATCACATACATCTGGGTTATCATTCGTGGTAAAGCTCACTGAAGAAGAAGTGTTAATTCCATCAGGGCGGTATGTGCTGGAGTGGAACGCACGATATAGATTTGTGGTGAGAAGGATAAAGGGGAGGTATCGTGTAACAATATACAAGCCTTTTACCTTGCTCCAGTGGGATCGAAGTAAAAATGTCCACTTTGCAGAGTATATTGTGAATATCGAAGCCGAAGTGTATCACGGAACGGGTGTATTACCTCTACATGAAGTGAACATGCATAATCATAAATCTGGATAAGCGAGTTTAACAGCGGACGCAAATAGGTCAGGATAAGCTACCCAGATTGTAGCCATTGACGCTGAAATGTGTTAGGGGCAAAAGACAAGTGGTTCAGACAGTAGCACACACCGTGTATGTACTGATGGAACATGACTTGTCAAGTATTAGTCACCCTCATATCAACAAGGAGACACACCGTAGAGAACTGCAAGCTCCTCGCTGCTGCGATATCGTCAGAGGAATACTCCATCTAGAGGTTTGTACACTGGAATAGTCTCAGTGAGTGACGAGAAAACGTTGAGGCCTTGAGGTATGGGACAGCGTTAAGTATACTACGTACGATTATGTACCGATGAATGAGATGTAAACCCATCAAGGTGGCGGCGTTAATACTGGGATATCATAGGCTTGGCTTGATGGCCATGATGGAGTGCTGTGCTTCACAGTCCTATAATTGCGCCTCCGGTACCTGAGGCAGTAGTTTCACTAATAGCTATGTTCTATTCCGAGGCACATATGTTGTATGTCAAGTCTTTGGTCAGACTATGATAATAGACGCAGAACGCACCTAATAAATTTAAAGTTTCCGAGGCTCGAAGTTTGGTGCATTATTGTTACTTGAACGCAAAGCTATCTTGAAGGACCTTGTACTTTGTAGGGAGGCTAAATCTCTTCGAATGAACCAATACATCGTGCGGCGACAGAAAGGGCATTTCACCTTGGTCCAGAGTGATCGGAGCGACTCGAGCTTACGAGAATACCCACTTTGAGCAGCACCGAGGGCGTACTGCATTTACAATTCTCACGATGGAATGAACAAACATGATCTAAGGTTTGTAAAATATTTAATGGCCGACTGGGACGAGCTCACCGGATTGTAGCCAGAGTCGACGCTGAGCGACCCCGACTTGAAGAAGTAGAACATTTCATTGAGTGATAACTTGATACTGGCCAAGAACGCGACAGGACCTGCGCGTCGTCAAGATACTTGGTCTGCATTCAAGTTTCGCAGACGAGGATACTGATTACGTACCTTATCTATATATAGGAATCCATTCACATGCGACAGCGGATAATATTGCGGATATCATTCAAGTTGCAGGGCTGGCTCCTGCCAAGGCGTATCACATTACCAATCTTTGAAGTGATCAAGCATGATCTTAGGTCTGGAAAATATATAATGTCTGATTGGGACGAGATTGCATAGCCTTTGACGGCTGTGTTGGAACTTGGAACAAGGACCCGGAAGAAGCACAACATTCATTACATAAGCGTTGATGGCTGCACAGGCCACTTCACGAGCTCTCGCAAGCTGGGAGTCTGCACCTTTTCCTTGTCTCCAGACAACCCGCCTGTTTGCGAGTACATCAGATAATACAGCGCGTCTATGTGAAATATCGACACAAACCTCCGACCCCTCCAACACTCATAGGATGTGAACTGCATGGCATTTTCGCTGACGAGAAGTTGCTGGGCCACTGGTTCGAGGACAAGATGGCGATTCACCAGCACTAGAACCATTCACGCGCTACACACAGCCCCCATTGCGCTGAGAACAAGTGAGTCTTTCGCTCCTAGAACGTGGGGCATAAAGCTTCGCTATACGCGTCGCTACACTCCTACTATTTGGGAGCACAGCTCACCTTGAAGCCCAGGTTCGAACCCGTGCTTCGGGCTTGCGCCCAAACACCAAACACTTCCTATCCCATCAGCAGTCTCGTCTCCGAGAACTTTCCTCTAAGTTTTACTTAGTAGTCACACCTAACTCAGTCTCCTTTCGTTACACACCTCGAATCTAACTTCGTCATCAAACAGCTACAGAGCAGTGCAGCACATAGACCACAACTTCACCAACAAACGCGGACCTCTCCAGCTATTCGTATCATTCGTTAACTTATACTTGGTACAATAACCTAGGACAGCCCGCAGGGCACCACAACCTAACAGTTTTAGTTGTTTGCTGCAGTATGAAATTCTCTCTCTACCAAACCCATCCCCACCAGTCATCTCCTACAGTCCACAGCCTCGCTCCACAAACGACACCGAATAAGCTATAGGATAAGACATCACGCCGTGGAATCTACAGATGACATGTCGGTCATTGAATACGCACAAGGGCGCCAGAGCTGTGTGCATGTCGGTTCACCTGCCAGAGATGGAGGTGCATGCGCGTAGCGAGGATTGTGAGGATCATGAACTGGAAACTTTACGTGGGTGGAAGTTTGGGCATTGTTAGTAGGAATACGCAGCAGGATGTGGAGGTGCATACTCATACAACAGGGTGTGGTAGGAGTACTGAGGTACGGAACATTAATGACTCGATCATAAAAGGCATTTGGAAGATTTACGCACCTGGAGGAGCAGCAATGTGAATATGTTCATTACAGAGAACACTTCAGGAAAGAGAATGATCATGGATCAGTACAGCAAAACGGCGCGTACGAGTGCTAACTTACGAAGACCACATGCATAATAAGATATGCTATGGTTCACCAGGACAAGGTACAGACGGCTTGCTGGGTTTATCCGCCTTCTTTAGGTTGCGTTATCGCGTAGAGCTGAGTATCATGAGTCCTGAGACAACATCTGTCAGCGCGTGTTTGTACATGCATATGCTCCTGGTACCCACCCAGTTCGAACACGGAAAGGAGAAGAGTTGGTATGAGGAGCGGGAAACTTGTCGAACTCCGGTAGCACCCTGTGATGCCCGGGATCGCGCTAGTCGCATCTGCGAAAGTGAACAGAATTGTTGAATGGTAGTGAAATGCCAAGGTGGAGATGAGAGCACGTACATGCTGCGGGAGCAGTGGTGGTGAAGGCAATGCCAATGGATGCTCCGACAAAAGTCTGCTGATGTATCTACCACGAGCTCTGGTGTGGTGAGTGGATGGAGAACTCACGAGAAAGGTGGACAGCATGGCTGCGAGTAAGATTCTATTCTTGTTCCAGAGCACATATGTTCTAAGGATGAAAAAACCTGGATGAATCAGATCAGAAAACACACATAAGATACGGGGAAACGAGAGATACATTCGGAGAAAATGGCTGATACCATACCAACGCCTGTGAGAGGAAAGCAGTAACCGTCAACAAGGACGTGCCATACATGGATGTGCCCATGCACGTACCTGTGGTCAATATTTTCAAACACCGGCATTTCTGGCGAAGTCATGCAGTAAGTCGTTCGTTCTCATTAACACCCCACAACATCACATACGCCTGGGTTCTCATTTGGGGCAAAGCTCACTGAGGACAAGCGTTAATTCATCATCGGGGCGACATGTGCTTGGAGCGGAACGTACGATACAACCCGTGGTGAGAAAGGATAAAGGCGAGGTATCGTGTAACAATATACAGGCCTTTTACCTGCTCCAGTGCGATCGGGAAGCAAAAATGTCCACTTGCACAGCATATTGTGATATCAAACAGAGATGTACACGGAACGGGTGTATTACCTCTTCATGGATTGAACATGCATAATCATCGATCTGGATAAGCGAGTTCAACAACGGACGTAAGAAGTCAGGGTAAGCCTACCCAGAATGTAGCCATCGACACTGAGCTGTGTTAGGGCAAAGAATAAGAGGTTCAGACAGTACGCACCGTGTATGTACTGATGGAACATGAGTTGTCAAGTATTATTCGCCCTCACATCAACAAGGAGACACACCGTAGAGAAACTGCAAGCTCCTTGCTGCTGCGATATCGTCAGATGAATACTCCATCTAGAGGTTTGGATGCTGGAACAGTCTCAGCGAGTAATGAGAAAACGCTGAGGTATGGACGACGGGACGCGCGTTAAGTATACCACGTGCGGTGATTTAACGATCAGGCGGCTTGATGCACGATGTGCAGTAGATACCGATAAGATGAAGAGAGATGCAAGATATGATATAGAAGAGCGTCAAGATGGGTAAGATAGGTGCCAACAGAGGTCAAAAAAATGTATTTCATGCACACATCATGCGGCTTTTTATCTCTTATAAATGAGCTGTGAACCATCAAGGTGGTGGCGTTAATACTGGGATATCATTTCAATTGCAGGCTTAGCTTGACGGTCATGGTGAAGTGCTTCACAGTTCACTGGATGCAGCTGCAGGGGAGGAAGTTGATAAAGGATATAGTTGCGCCTGTGGTGCCTGAGGCAATAGCCATGCTCTATTCTGAGGCACATATGTTGTATGTCAAGTCTTTGGTTAGACTACATAATAGACGCAGAACGTACCTAATAAAAGCTTCTGAAGCGCGAAGTTCGATGCATCATTGGCAATTTGAAACGGCGAAGCTACTTTGGAGGGACATTGTTGCCTTTAGTAGGGAGGCTCGACCTCTTTGGATGAACGGATACACCGTGCGGCGAAAGAAAAGGGCCTTCACCTTGGTCTAGAGCGATCAGATCGAAACGGGAATACCAATTGGGACAGCATCATCATGACAACAATGTATCAAGTGACTGAGGTGAACCACTGCATTACCAATTCTTGGAGTGAACAGGCATGACCATAGGGTTGAAAAATAGTTAATGGCTGATTGAAATAGATTGGGACGAGCTCACCGGATTGTAGTCAGAGTAAGCAGAACACTCGCTAAGCAGTACCTCTACAGCGGCCAAGAACGCGACAGACTGCGCATCGTCAAAATACTTCGTCTGCATTCAGAAACATGGTTAAGTTTCGCAGACGATGATTGCAGCGCTGGTCATGTACCTTATCTATATAAGAACTCATCAACATGCGACAGCAGATAAATATTACGGATACTATTCAAGTTGCAGGGCTTGCTGACCCAATATCCCCAGGGGAGCGTTGCACTAATTGGGAAGTTGACGACCAAGTGTAAACTTCACCACAAACGCGGCCATTCAGTACTTGGTACAGTAACCCCAGGACAGCCCGCAAGGCACCACGTCTTGACAGTTTTAGTTGTTTGTTGCGGCATATAAATAAAGAAATTCTCTCTCTTTACTAAATCCACTCCCACCAGTCGTCTCGTACAGTCCAAGCCTCGCTCCACACCGGATAAGCCATAGGATAAGACATCACGCCGCGTAATCTACAAATGACATATCAGACATTTGAATATGCGTAAGGGAGCCAGAGCGGTGTGCATGTAGGTTTATTCGCCAGAGATGGAGGTGCATGCGCGCGGCGAGGATCGCAAGGATCGTGACTTGAAAACTGTACATGGGTGTCAATTTGGATATTAGTAGTAGGAATACGCAGCAGATGTGAAGGTGCATACTCATACAACATGGTGTGGTAGGCGTACTGGAGCGCGGAATATCAACAACTCGATTATAAAAGGCATTCGGGAGATTTACGCACATCGAGGAGTAGCGATGTGAATATGTTCACGATTGAGAACACTTCAGGAAAGGGAAATTATCATAGATCAACACGGAAAAACCGCACATGCAAGCGGTAACTCACAAAACCACACGTATAATAGAATATGTTATGTTTCACCAGGACAACGTACAGACGGCTTGGGTTTTTCCGCCAGCTCTGTATGGCACGTATGATCGTGAGCGTCATGAGTCCTGAGGAGAACATCTGTCAGTGCATGATTGTACATATATATGCTCCTGGTTACCCACCCAGTTGGAACACGGAAAGGAGAAGAAATGGTATGAAGAATTGGAAATTGGTCGAACTGTGGTAGCACCCTGTGATGCCCGGGATCGCGCTAGTCGAAACTGTGAAAGTGGAAATGTTTCAGTGGTCATGTAACGCTGGAGGGAAGGTGAGAGCAAGTACATGCGGCGGCGGCGATATCGGTGAACTCAACGCTGAAGGATGCTACGAGAAAAGTCTGGCTGATGCATCTACCACCAGCTTTGGTGTAGTGAGTGGATTGGGGACTCACGAAAGAGGTGATCAGCATGGCTGCGAGCAAGATCCTATTCTTGTTCCAGAGCGCATATGTTCTGAGGATAAAAAACCTGGATGGATCAGATCAGAAGCACACATATCTTACGGAGGAACAAAAGATACATTCGGAGCACATGACTGCTACTATAGATAGACCTGTGAGAGGAAAGTAGTAGCCCTGAGCAAGGACGTGCATGCACGAATGTACCTTGCACGTACCTGAGTTTATATCGCCCAACACCCAGCATTGCTGGCGAAGTCATGCAGTAAGTCGTTCGTTCTCATTAACTCTCCACAGTATCACATACACTTTGGTTCTCATTCGAGATAAAGCTCCCTGAAGAACAAGTATTAATTCATTGTCGGGGTGATGTGTGCTGGAGCGGAACGCACAATATAGATTCGCGGCGAGAAGGATAGAGGGGAGGTATCGCGTAACAATATACAGGCATTTCACCTTGCTCCAGTGCGATCGAAGCAAAAATGTCCACTTTGCACAGTAGATTGTGGATATCAAAACCGAGGTGTATCACGGAACGGGTGTATTACCTCTTCATGAAGTGAACATGCATAATCATAGATCTGGATAAGCGAGTTCAACAGGGGACGTGAATAGATCAGTATAAGCCTACCCAGATTGTAGCTACCGAGACTAAATTATGTTAGGGCAAGGAACCAGGGATTCAGACGATACACACAGGAAATGTACTGATGGCACATGGATTGTCAATTATTATTCGCCCTTATATCGACAAGGAGACACACCGTAGCGAACTGCAAGCTCTTCGCTGCTGCGATAATCGTCAGACGAATACTCCATGTAGAGGCTGTACACTGGAAAAGTCTCAGCGAGTGATGAGAAAATGCTGAGGTATGGACGACGACTGGATGCGCGTCAAGTACGGTTATCAGTGTAATGATCAGGTGGCTTGATGCGCACTGTGCAGTATCAATGGATACCAATATAAGGTGAAGAAGGTTCAAGATATAGAAGAGCGTCAAGATAGGTAAGATAAATGCAAACAGAGGGAAAACAAAAAAAGGAATTCATGCACATATCATGCAGCTTCTTATATCTCTTATGAACGAGCTGTGATCCCATCAAGGTAGTAGCGTTAATACTGGGATATCATTCCAGTTGCAGGCTTAGCTTGATGGTAATGATGGAGCGTTTCCCAGTTCACCGGATTCACCGGCAGGGGAGCGACTTGATAAAGATATAGTTGCGCCTACGGTGCCTGAAGCAGTAGTTTCACTAGAATAGACTTTTATTCCGAGGCATATATGTTGTATGTCAAGCCTTTGGTCAGAATACATGATAGACGCAGAACGCACCTAATAAAAGCTTCTGAAGCTCGAAGTTTTATGCATTATTGTCACTCAAAACGTAAAGCTACGTTGGAGGGACCTTGCCACATTGCCTCCTTGTAGGAGGCTGAACCTCTTTGGATGAACGGATACATCGTGCGGCGACAGAAAGGGCTTAGTCCAGATGATCGGATCGAAGCGGGAATTCCCACTTTGGACAGCATCATTATCAACTGTCAATGTATCAATACTGAGGCGTATCACAAATTACCAATTCTTGGAGTGAACAAACATGAGCATAAGGCTGAGACGAGCTCACCAGACAATTGTAGTTATTGACAGATGTGTTGGAACAAGGTCCCGGAAGAAGTAGAACATTCATTAAGTATGGTATTGATAGCGGCCGCATACCAACGACAACGTAACACACTGCATTCAGAAACATGGTCAAATTTCGCGCACGGGGAACACTCATTGAGTATGTACCTGATCTATAAAAAAAACCATCAAGATGCGGCCGTTGACTATAGTGCATCGGCCTACGATCATTCAAATTGCAAAGCTTGCTGACCCATGATCTCGAAGCGTTGCACTAAGTTGACGACCGAGTGTATACGTATCACAGAGACAGTCACGGTTGTTTGGAGACAAAGCCACACGTGACTGTTTGTTTGGCAGCAACTTTAGAATTAAACAACGCCTCGGCAAGAACCAGAAACAGCCTAAGTAAACCGCGACTAAAATTCACAGAATGGCATTCCAGCAAATGCAACAAGAGGCTTCCGTACTCAAATACCCAGAAGACTTCGGTCTTCATCCAAATGTATCCCTAGAAAACGCAGCCAACATGCTATTCCGTGCCATCCAATCCTCTCACAACCAACCCTACGCATGGACTTTTATCGACAAGCCAGGTATGAATAGTGCTAAAGACCTTAATCGTGAGCTAACGATTAATCATATACAGAAGGCCAAATATACCTCTTATTCATGCCAAATCCTCTCAGCCTCTGAACGACGGTATCCGATGGCAAGACCAAGGAAGCCGATACACTATCCCTGTCCAACGCGGTACACGGATACGCACCGGCCCTTTTATTTATTTATTTATTTTATAATTCAGTTTATCCTTTTTCGAAGTCGCAGAAGTCAAATTCGACTCCCAAGACACGGCAGCATGGCGCTACTGCCTTCACAAAGGCAGTCACCCCCAACTAGTCCTAATTCACCACTCCCGTGTACCTCCCATCGGTAAGTCCTTCCACCACCGTATCATCATTTTCGCCTTCTTACCACCCATCGCGTATTGTTCCATATGTCTGTGACTTCACCAATCCACATCCACATCTGCATCTACGCATATATCTCCCGCACCCCAGAGATCGACCCATCTCTCATGAATTACCCTGTCAGGCACTACCTACTATTACAAATCACGGACCCTCCTATATATGTCATGGGCGAAAGGGCGGGTCAAAAAGACTTCCCACACCTCGCAGTCATGTCCGTATCAAGGTGGTATACCCCAAGTAGGAATGAACCCGCAGGCGACGATAGCGCAGTAGAACAGTAATATGGAGGTTTTGGAGAGGAGGAGGGAGCGTGAACGGATGAGAGATGGGAGTGGGGGCGTAGGAGTGGACGTGAGTATATCCTGTCCTAGGAAAATCATTTATCTGATGTGTTGGTTATTGGTTCAGCAACGGCCTGGTCATCCACGGCTAAATGATGACGAATCCGCAGGTTCGACCACCTCGTTTGCTCAGTTGAACGTTATTCGCATTGATCATTTGTGCAAATGAATCTGAATTGCTATCCACGCGGACGCTAGCAATTACGAGATATCGGAGAAACCACGAGTTAATGGAAGAAGTCTTCAGGCATGCAGCTTTTGGTAAGAACACTACTTACTATTTCTATCAGATCATTCTCAGGTACACCACTCATTAGACAGCAAAAAAACCTTCGTCATCAAAAAGAATATGCCAGGGCTTTGACAAAGCAGAACTAGAGGCTAAAAGTGTGCGTCCCGGTATCACTAATTCTGAGTCCAGCTTAATTCCCCTTTAGGCTAAATTGCAAGACGACGTAGGGACACTTCAGGCCAAGGCTGCTGAGCTGGAAGGCTCAGAAAGTAATGGCGGACGACGTGATAGTTACAGCTAGTGGTCACGCCCCGATGGAACCTACTACTTAACCACTATGCTTTCCATTTGTATCTTGCTGCTTGTCATACCACGCATAGATTCCACAGACAGGTATTGTGAATGAGGCGCTCAAGATTCATAAAACAAGTAGTACAATGTGGTAAGTAAGGCATGCGCAATATAAGTTTTGCCATCAAGTATATCTCAAACACCAGGGGCTACGATACGCAAAACGAGCGTTTCAAAATCAAGAACATAACGAAAAAAACAAAGCCAAAGGGGGTCGTATGTACCGGAAGTCCTCAGGATTGAATACAAAATACAATGATGAGCCAACACAGACCAAAAGCAAGATAAATAGCGATTGTTCGATCAGCAACCCACAAATCCGATGGTCCCCAGAAGATAAAATGCGTTTTGGGGGGAATAGAGAGGTGAGGATACAGCTAGTGAGGGCGGCGGTAGGTGTTGTGGGTGTCATGCCCAACGCTTCGGCTTCGGGTACCGCCTTGCGACATAATCGGTATGGGAGTGGTGCTGGGATCTCTAAGGAATCCGCCCACTCCGTGAACTTCTGCTGCGCTATAGGAAGAAGGATCTTCCTTGATGCGAAGCCGCAATCTCCGTCGCCAAGCACCTGATGCCGGCGGTGTGCTCTCAGCTCTTTTGTGCTTGTGCGGCGGCAATGTTTCTTGTATAACTTTCAAACGCTCATTCGCAGTGGTCGTACCACTATGGTGGGTAGTAGGTTCTGCTACAGCGTTAATGTCTAGAGTAGACGCCCAGTGAGCGGTATCGCGCAACACGTCTACATCAGCGTCGAGATCTCCCGAGCCTGCAGTGTATTCTGATTGGCTGGAAGACGTCGCTAATGATGATGTACACCGATTCGGAGGTAGAAATCCCGCCTTCTTCGGTCGCCGGCCACGCTCAGGTGATGGCCCTGGCGAGGCAAGAAGAGCAGGGCCGCCAATGTCAAGAGGCGGCACAGAGAGAGACGTCGAGGCGCTCACCACTGAATGACTGAGCTCATCGTACGTGGGAGACATTGGGTAACGAACCACTGGTGGGCGAGAGATACTGCGACTCGTACATCGTGTTGCGAGCGAGCTCGCAGTTGAGACAGAGGTACGGGAGAGGGAACGGTTGGACCGCCTTGTGGGTGCTTCTTCGGTGTGAGATGGGTTTGGGTTGTTATCACGCTCCGAACGCGACTGGGATAATGATGGAGATCGGCGGCTGGGGTAATCTACTAACTCAAATTTATCCTCGTCTGTTACAGGAGATGTGTCGTCGTCGTCAAGTCCAACACCCCAAGCCATCTCATCCACCATCGCAATCGTCCACCGGGTACGGACCCTACGCTCCATGCAGCCTTTGAGAACATGCTCGGTTCCACGACTAATACCAGAAGGCATATCATAAACGCCTGTAAAGAAGTGTATTAGCAAGCCAAAAATCACGATACCATGTCCTTACCGTGCAAAATTTTCATCTGGAGTCGTAGCTCGAATGAGTCTAAAAATGGGAGACGGCCGGTCAGAAGTGCGTAAAGCAGAACACCCAGAGCCCAGATGTCCTGAGCCGGATTAGCACCGTTGAACCGTGAAGCTTTAGGTTGAAGAAGCTCGGGAGAAGCGTATGGCAAAGACCCTTCTTGGAAAGCATGTGATGGATGAACAGGCGGAGGGTTTTCGCCGATAGGAGTTGATATACGGTGACGCCTAGGACCACGATGGCGTAAAATTGAGAGATGTGAAGACATGCTGGATTTTGCTGATCTATTAGAAGTGGAACGGTGACGGTAGATGCCAGAGTGATCGTCTGCATCGCATAGAGGTTCATCATCGTCAACTTCGCCGATCTTGCGGGTCATGCCGAAATCGCTGATTCTACAGGTACCCATCTCATCTACAAGGACGTTCTCAAGTTTGATATCTCCGTGTACATAGCCTGCAACTTCGTGCAGGTAGCGCACGCCTCGTACGATTTGTCGAAACATCATGCCCGTGTCATCGTGAGGGAGAGCAGGACGACCGTCCCTTATAAGTATGTCATATAGGGATCCAGCGGGACAAAGGAGGCAGAAGAAGAAGTCGGCGTAAGAAGTGTGTTCGGAAAAGAAGAGGGGTAAGGTATGCTCGTGACATAAGGAAGCCCATATTTGGGCCTCGTGATTGAGTCGCCTTCTAGCTAAAGAAGGATTTGTCTGTTTCTCCAAATTGGAGCGACGGACGATTTTGACAGCGACGACACCTCCGGAAGGGGATGAGGCACGTTTGATCACGGAGAACCCCCCATAACCTATAGTTGGTCCGAGGACATAGCCACGAATGATTTCACCTTCTGCATCTGGTGATTGTGGGATTGCGGAGGAACTAAAGGAAGACAGGAACATCATTGCTGGTGACATGGAGACACCATCGCTTTCTGAGAAAGATGGAGGCTCATTATTGTTTGCAAGAAATTGCCGTGAAATGTCCTGGTCAAGATCCGAGCCGGAAGCTGCCTGGGATGCTGCTGTCTGGTGTTCGTCTGGTATCTTCAGAGATGGTGACCAACCCCAAGCTAGAGGTAGGCTCTCATGTCCTACGGACGAGCGTGAAAGAGATTCTGTAGTTGTTGCAGGAGATAGAGATTTGATGAGACCTGAGGTCATGGAAAGAAATTGATGAATGAACGATGGATGATCTGAGCTTGAGAGCAATTTAAAATAAGATCTAATAGCACAAAGAAAAGCGATGAATATGACGGTAGAAGGATATATCGTGTGTGAGGGGCCTGCGAGGGGGATGCGGCGACAGGGAAAGAATCAAGAGGCACAAGATTTTAAATAAACGACTTTCCGGAGTAATCGCCAATATCCAGGTGTGTGACTTCTTTCCCATATTTATCCGGGTCCGGTGTGACGGCGTATTCCGGTTCCGATCTATAAATTGGTAGCGTGGCTAAATATTGGGCGGCTACTTTGCGAACTTAACGCTGCTTGTTCCGTTGCTTCACTTCGACCCTGTTCTCTTCCAATGTAAATCGCAAGTCAGATAACGATAACTGCAGATATTATCTCTAGGCCGAGGCTCACCGAGACACCTATCTCGGTGTGCCTCCTCGCCAGTGGCTCAGTTGAGTTGGCAAAGCATCTGTTTTACACATTTAGGGTCTTTTCACTAGATTTCAAAATCAATCAAGTCCTTTATTATGGATCACACTTTCCAAGTCAGCGTACAGGACTTCACCCTCAATGTTAACAATGACTCCGATGATCACGTATACCTCAATTCACTGCTGTCACAATATATTTACGATAGTTTAATACATCACGCCGCTCCCAGCGTGCCACGATATTCAACGCTAGTGGTAATGCGAAGGATCATCAACTCCACATCCGGAGACGCCCGAAGCAAACTTCAAGGGTTCCACTCATATGACTAGAGAAGATCTCACCATTCGGGAGATGCAGTCCACTTGTCAGACCAGCCCGGACTTACTCGCATCATCGGCGATCGCTAGGAACGACATACGAGACTGTCCGCCTCTGACAGCTCTCGCCGTCAGCGCATCGCATGATAACGAACCATCCGGTTGATGCGACAGCCCTCACGTCGATGAAGCACGCGATAAAAAAAACCATACATTTGGTATCCATGTATGTTTTTTAATGTCCAAATTTTGTCTATTGACCCATGTATGTTTTCGCCCGTTCATCGTGAGTGCGTCAATACCCAACTAAGTTTTTTCATTGACTTCATTTCATCTAAGATGTGTAATTCGATATCCCCGGTCCTTTACGCACCGATCTGGAATTGTGGTATGGGCCGCAGTATCGCACAGCCAGGACGGGAAGCCTCCCATGCCTTCTACAATATCTGAGAACGTGCGTGAATTTCGATATCACTGCAATCCATGTATTACCACCGAGCTATGCTCAACACAGAGAAAGAGACTCACCCCGGCCGGCTGGACTGACCTCAGACTGGACAAGGTTCGGCAATCCCGAACATGTAGGATATAAATTTGATTAATATTTTCTGTCGCCCACAGAACATTGCGTGTTAAGATCCGTCGGACCTTCGCTTGGCAATTTCCTTATGCAAATATCGCCCCGCCCCACATTCTACCGGGCGAACCGTTTGGAGCAAACAGTGCCGGGAGCTCGCCCGAAAGTGGAGCTGCCGAGCATGACATGCGGTTCGAGCGATATACACCCCGGAGTATCAAATAAACAGGACAGGCAACCATCCAGGCCTCCACTCCATTAAATATTGATATTACCACTAACGATACATGTACCGTCGCAGAACCGTACGATAAGGAGAGAAGATACAGAAGGTGAGTTCTAGATCCACTTTAACCACCTAGATTCAAACTGGCCCTCCGGTAAGGTTCGGCGACCCGAGGAGTGCTGAATAGAACCTTTAATTATACTGTCACCACTTCACCACGTCTTAAGCTTCAACAGCTCTGCTGGCCTTTTAAGTTTGAGCGAATACCGCCAACAAGGATCGCCGCTGCGCGCGGAGCTGGCGAGGTTTAGCTATCCTACACAAAGCAAAACGCGCTGTCGTCCGGACTATCGCACAGCCAGTTCAGGCAATCATACTAGCCCCTCCCACGAATTTATCAACTTTGATATCAAATAGCATTGCCAGTGAGTGATCTATGCACCGCCACTGAACCTACTCCCAGTACGATAAGATCCTGACTTTAGACTCACTAGGGTCTGGCCAGCTGGATGAACTAGCTTCAGATTTTCGTGGTGGATATGCCACCATTAGGGCGGCGAATTGTATTTCCTTGATTTCCATATCGCCAGTTCACCACGTCTTGAACTTTCAAATCAGACTCGATAATGACCTGCCTGGCGTACGGCGTATGACATCTTTGAGAGGGGGAATATTTGACGTGTGTAGTGTTCTCTGATCAGTGTTGAATAGAAGTCTCGATATTGATATTGCCACCACGTTTGTCCAGTAGAGCTTGTGAAATGTCGATGAGGGTTTCTCTGCGTTAAGATCCGATGGCTGGGACTGGGTTGGTGACTTCCTTATGCAAAGATCTTCTCGCATATACACTGGTTGTGTCACTGAGCGACAATGGAGTCGCTGGCTGAGAGAAAGGATAGTTGTTGAACATGGTGCCACCTCCTTCTGCATAGCCTAAAGTAAGAGAGAGCATCAAGTTGCAATGGGGGGCAGTAACAAGGGGGGACAGAGAGAGGTAACAGGGAGCAACTAGTTTTGGCAAAGGCAACCGCAGCAGGAAGTTTAGTTGACCGATGTGGAGCTGACATTTTAAGCTATATGTAGTGGCTTACGGCAAGACGTAGCGCCCAGGCTCCACAGTCTTACCAGGTCCGGCATATTCACGTGCACGTGCGCCCACCATGACCGCATGCTCTCCCTGTGACGTGTATACGTCTCCATTATCCAAGCCGGTGGATGTAATACTAAAACAAAGGACTAGAACGCATATCAAACGAGCGTCTGCTGCAGTCGATCACAGGATATCCATATCGCATCGACAAAAGGATCCACGATGATGCAGGTAGGTATATGTCCAAAGTGTCCAATGCAAAAAAGTGTGTTATAGGTATAAGAAATACGACGATGGCGCGCAGGTATAATCATCACGTCCCGTTCTACAATAGCAGAGACGCTAGTCCAAGACCTGAAATCACCATAAGCAGGCCTGTCACGCTCGCTACCTCCCATCTGCGCTCCCCAGCATTTGCGTTGACGACCGCTGCATTTTGGACGGTGGCGGCGGTGACGGCGGTTGAACTGACGTTACGCAGAGCCTGAGTTGGGAGCATGTTGGGTGAAGTGGTGATGAGGTATTGAGGTGGTAACGGTGTACCATCGAACTGGTACAGCTGGAGGGTGTACCCCATAACCGGGTCTTGGTATATGTTCCAGAGAATGTAAAGTTCAGTATCGTTGTAGTTTTCTATGAAGTTGGAGATGGCGGCACAGGGATCTTGTATTTGTTGGTAGCCGTCGCCGAATGGCGTCATGACGATGGAGCCGTTGGAGGCGAGAACATATGTGCCGTGGCACCAGTTCATGACGCCTGTGATGCAGGTTGGTACGGAACCTGTTAGGATTGCTTTAGCGGCATGAAACAGGAAATATAGCACGGAAAGCAAACCATTGCTAGTCATACGGTACCGTGCGATCTCGTAGTACCCATCACTTGTGCTTTAATTCGATCCGAGTCAGAGATCGAAGCCGGGAACATTATTGATACTTACAAAGAAAATGACATTCCTGTTGTCTTTGGGTATGTAAACGCCTCTTGAGATGGCGTAGCAAAGCCCTTGAAACCACAGCAACTTGAGTCAGGAAGTAAACTGTAATCAAATCTGACTTACAGATCCAGTGACGACATTCTGGCTGCCAGAGCTCCAGGTGCCAGTGATGGCGGTGACATTATGAGCTGCGTCGTAGACGGTCTGGCCATGGGCAGACGTTGCAAGCAGCAAAAGTAAGGAAGTGAATATCATCATCAAGGATGTCTATAAGATGTTTTAGGCCAGCGTTTGGTAGTTTTTCGGGGTAAGGAGGGCAGAGGAAAAAGACTACAGGACGACCACGAGAGTGGGGAGCGAACGTTGAGAACGACGATAGCGGTCAAGGTGAGAAGGTCGTCGGGCAGTCTGTTTGCTCTTGTTTGGTACCAGTCTTTGTTTCGATACTATTTACATAAATTTAGAATGCATCGCTGGCACTGATTCTGAACTCTACGTGTTTGGTTTCACTGTGGGTCTTCATTTCCGTCTCACAGAGTCCAACACGCGGAATCAATTGGCTTCGAGCCAACGATAATCCTGATTGCCATGTGCAGTGCGCGGCATCCTACCTAATTATGTACCGCCTTGTGGTGCCCGGCAGCAGATCAGGTGGTCGTCGTCATGCAAAAATCTTACACATACTAATTGCGTACTAGCTAAATGGAATCACTGCATAGTATTTAATAATGACCACTTCAGTGTTTCCTTTTGTATTCTATATATCAAAGAACGTATCGACCAGGCTGCGACAACGACAAAATATATTCAGTGAGGGAAAGTTGTCCAGAATACAAGCGATTTAATCTTTCTTCAAATCCCTCCTCATGACAAACAAGCGTTCGCCATCTTCTGTCACGGTTAACTCTTGCAGACCCCGAACGCTTTCCATACCCTGCAGAGTCCGTCCTTTGGCTAGCGCGATGAAGATTTCAAGGCCATCACCGACCTGCACAAAGTTAGATGGGATCACATAACCAAAATATGGGGCTCACTTCAATGTGACGCTCAGTCGCGCTCGTGAAGGAGTCGATAACTATCGACAAGACAATTTCCAGCGGGAGATGCGACGGATGTGAGGTCCCCTGTGCAGCTTGTTGGTTCTTGAAGTAGATCTAGGAGTTTCAACGTCAGACAAAATGCACGGGCGACGTCGGGAAGGATGGCATTTGCAACCGGGAAGAATATTGAGCACCCTAATCTCACCTGATTGTCTAGGAATGGCTGGACTAATGACTGAGCAGCGCCTGCAGCACGGCAGGCCTCTCGTTCATACGAGCCCACGGGGTCGAACGAATACACGGCACCAGTACCTGAGAAGCTCTATAAATAAGCCAAGAACGTGGAGCATGAAGATGAACAGACCATCCTCCTCGATGCCACCCAAAATGTTGTATACATAATAGGGAAAGAAGCGACGTGCATAAAGCATTGTTTGAATTAATCTTGCTATGGCCCGTAGAGGCATATCTTTCGCATGCGCATGACGGTACCACTACGTAGCCCCATAAGCATATACAACGGAATCATATCAGGGAATAACGAACCTCTAGACGTTGTTTCACCTTCTTCACAAACATATTGCCATCAGCTGCGAACCCGTTCACAGCCAGCACCGCGCGATCGGTTCTTGAAAGACAAAGTTAGAGAAGGAGACGAAATGATACATAACGACACGCGTACAATCTAAATACTTTTGGTGCGTATCGCGTTTGGATTGAATATCCTTCGCTCTGTCGTGTGTCGCCAGCAATAACAGTGAAATCTGCACCAGCAATAGCAAGGATTGTACCGCCGTTTTCTGTGTAAGGGTTAAACCGCCTCTCCTGAGGATGGGCGAGTGAGTCCATATCAGGCATGATCATTTGGAAAGTGGGCAAGCTTGAGCTGGTGTTCAAGAGAGTTAATACAGTCCAGTCCGACTCCCAGGCCGCGTAATTCAAGTGTGCAGTTACATAACTTACATTTTCCCACAATAGTAGCCGCTGCTTTTGGTAATCAACTGCAAGTAATGAGTCAATTGAGGCTTTTGATAAACACGACTCGAAACACGATCCCCGCAGATCTTGCAACTTAGTACAGCTAAATATGAGTAAGTAACCTTCTGCGTGGTGAATATCTCTCTAGCTGACTCAAAAATCAGACAAGGACCTGCTCGATGGCCGACTGCTGTTCGCGATTCCAAAAAAAGGTCCAATTCATCTGAGTCTTAATCATAGATCGTTAGTACTGACCCGCCCTAGGACGGTTGCACGAGAAATGTCTCGAGTTACTCTCCGGTGCGTCCCTTCTTAAATCTCCGAGCGATATGCAAAGCAATCTACAGGCGCCGACATCCAATTCCGGAGAGCCAACAGGCTTGACGTCTGCCTAGTGATGAATCACCCCATAGCTCTGTAAAACTCCGGCTCCGATCCTACATCTAATCGAATCTGACCCCGCCGCAGCGTGTTCCTTCCAGCATCAGACATACCATCATTCGTCGGGAATGGAGATGTTGACCTTGGCATAACGGGCCACGATGTTATCCTTGAAGCTAAGATGCAAGATCGGGTCACGGAGATTCATCGGCTGGGGTTCGGAAAGTGCGCTTTGCAAGTGCAAACACTAGAGAATGGGCCGTTCAATTCAGTCGAAGATCTTGCCGGAAAACGTGTGGTTACAAGTTTTGATGTCATTGCAGGGGCGTATTTTGCCAAGATCGATGAGCGATTGAACCTCACTGGGGATAACAAAACCAAGATCCAGTATGTGGGAGGGAGTGTAGAAGCAGCTTGTGCTCTTGGACTCGCGGATGGTATAGGTAAGTCGCACGCTAGAATGGCAGATTGCAAGGATGTTCACATCTTGATCCTTGAATAGTTGATCTTGTCGGTATGTTATCGTCCCAGGTCACGCGTAGAAAGATCTAACGATATTTCAGAGTCTGGAGATACGATGCGAGCAGCCGGTCTGCATGCCATCGCGACAATACTCCAAACGGAGGCAGTACTCATAAAATCAAACGTTCCCCATCGCGCCCATCATGCACCTTTGATCGATCTCATCGCGAGCCGAATAGCCGGAGTCGTGGCTGCTGGAAAATATGTTGTTTGTGAATATAATATTCGTAGGCAATCGGTATCTCAGGCAACAGCTATTACACCTGGAAGAAGAGCACCCACCATCAGTCCTCTCGAAGAGGAAGGTTGGGTCGCGATTAGTAGTATGGTTGAGAAGAAGACCATTGCGAATACCATGGACCAACTGGTGAAAATTGGCGCAGAGGATATAATGGTCTTTAATCTGGATAATTGCAGGGTATGAGAGCGTCAGTATCGGTATAGATTCGTTGCTTTAGAGCGGTTCCTGGGCCAACAATGACATATACAGATCTGATTCTCCACATTTTAACGTATCCATCCACACAACTGTAAGTACTTCAAGTTGATCAAGTACTTGATAGGATTGCCATGTCACGGTTCCTGTCGCTATCTATCGCGTAGACACACTTTATAACATGCATAATGACATCGATATATGAGTAGAGAAGACTGACCTACTAACATGGACAAACTAACGACTTCGTGCAAACTTCAAACTTCAAACGCAAAGACAATACTTTCAGCTAGTCTGCATTCCTTGGCACGCCTGATACCGTAGCACGATATTAGTGACGAACTCACATAACGTCCACCTACACTTTAGACCGCAAAACTTGCTTCAACCCCAAGGATGGATCAGGGCCTCCGGAGTGGATTACTGCGTATGATGGTGACAATGACGACGAGCTCTCTGACGAGCCTTCCACATTCAATCGACATCGACACAATTTATATGCTCATCGTGTGCTTAAATGAAGATAACTCCTTTGGATCATGCCTTGTTCAGGAAAAGATGGATTACATGTTACATAACGTTGATTGGTATGGATCGCAGTGGTGGAAGGGTTGTCGGAAGCCATGTTGAACGCGCAATAACCGGTTGGAACGAGCTACGTCGTCGAACTTCCCTGTGTAACTTATCTGGTCTTAACTTCCTCAAATTCACCGCCCAACCCCGGTAACGCCCTACACAATATGCCAATCCTCCTCACGGAAGTATGTAGTCCTCACGAGAAACCATAAGAGAGTCCATGCCTGAGGCTCAGCACGTTCACGGACGTGCCTAGGAACTCTTTCGGTGATTTCCTGAGGCACGTTGCTCTCGCATGCAGACTGGTATCCATTTGCACCTTCCTCGAGTTCGCCGCCACGACCGACAAAACTCCGGAAAACACTGCGCAAGCTGCGAATAAAATCCACAGAACTGGTCCTCCTCACGAGATATCTGATATTCCATGATTCTTAGCTGCGGGCACCATCCTGAGGTCATCAGAGTAGCCGATTCCTGCGACAGTTGACAAGCATGGCCCCGGATCTGCTCCCAAGTGGCTGTATCGAATATCCTAATCGGGCCACGGGAACCGGAGATGAGTTTCTTTCCATCTGGCGTCCAAGCCAAGCTTTGCAAGATCCAGTTCTTGTGTTTGATTGTTGTGAGCAGTTCGCCCGTCTTGGCATCCCATATTTGTATTTCGTCGTTATAACCACCGGTCGGGAATTTGGTTGAGTCAGGTGAGTAGATCACCGCGAACACCCACGTGTGCCCGGTCTTGATTGGACCCAGGACTGTTTCACCGCTCTTGACATCCCATACCCTTACTGTCCCGTCGAAGGATCCGCTCACGACTCGCTCACCATCTGCACTCCAGCACACTGACTCAACGTTCTTAGTGTGCCCAATCCATTTGACAATGACCTTTCCTATCTTGACATCCCACAACCTCACTGTCCCATCATCACTTCCGCTTGCCACAGTGCTGCCGTTCGGAGACAATGTTATTGTGGACACTCTTACTTTATCTACCCCATCTCGCCAGTCATCGCCGATCTGTGCGCCGCCCTTGAGGTCCCATAGTTGCAGTGAGCCGTCATCCGAACATGTGATAATGCGTCGTCGTCCGTTAGGCAGGTGCACAACACCGTTCACGTTGCCAGTATGACCTCGAATCGTCTTGTATAGTTTGATTGCTGCAATGTCGTCCACCTCAATGGTGGGGGAAGACATGGTCGGCGCTCGGGGTATCGACATCGACGATGGCAGGTCGTGGACTATCTATGCGCGAGAAAACTGGCGCAGTCTTTAGGTTATTTGGCGATGGCTAGTGAGTAGACGGGCCTCCTTCATTATCAATACATGCACGCCAGGCATTGCTTACGAGACAGCTTGCTCACAGAAATATAAATTCTGACCGAAGATAGCTTTGGGACTATATATGCTGACGCTCTCGGAGATTTGTAGGAGATCTTTGCTAGGATCCGCTAGTAAACGAATGCTCGACATCGCCTAGTAGAACAGTGCAAAGTACTACTCACGGTAGCCACCAAAGTTAACGCGTGCTCACTGCGCCGATGCACCGATTAGAGAGACAGATCGTAACTTAATTGAGACTGTTTAGTTTGGAGGAAGTTGGGCACCTGTATCTCAATTGTTCTTTGGGGTGCGCATTCCACGCCTTATCCTCATGTTCGATACACGACTCAACCATGTGTTGTGTAGACGAAGCGCCCAGCCAGTCCTATGTCTATACCACTACATCGTTCTTGGGACATTTTGATGGTCACGCCCCTTCTGCGTGTCTTTGAACATTTCTATGTCTGCAATTTACGTAAGACGCTGCGGCACGCTTCTCCAGAATTTCCACTTGCTGTGCAGTATTTAACAGTATCAATAACAGACGCCGCACCATACTGAATCTCGCTCTGCACGTCTAACATATGTGTAATGATAGTTTCATTAGCCTCGAGGCAGAGCAAGATCATGCCACTGAGATTCATCGTCTCGGGTTTGGAAAGTGCGCCTTGCAAGTCCAGACTCAAGAAAACAGGCCATCCAAATCAGTCAAAGATCTTACTGATCATTGTCACGAAGTTCTTGCAGGGGCGTGCTTTGCCACGATTGATGAGCGATTTAACCTCGCTGATGATCACAAAGCCAAGATTCAATATGTATGAGGAAGTATGGGGGCATCTCGCGCTTTCGTATTCGTCGATGGTATAGGTGAGTTGCCTTCCTAATGACAAATTGCAATGATAATCGTTAGGTATGTCATCGTCTTACGTCTGGTGTGGAAAGTTCTGACGATATTCTAGAGTGTGTGGATACGACTGAGACCCGACTAGAACACGTGTTGTTACAAGTTGCGGGGCAGCCTAAGATTGCGATGAAGCTCACATTTTGAACATTGTATAGTGGACCTTGGTGTTATCGAGCTCTTCCAGCAATTTATTAGGGTGCATTGCTCTCGCATGCAGACTGGTATCCATTTGCACCTTCCTCGAATTCGCCGTCGCGATATAAATATTATTTTTACGCCGTATACGATTCATCAATGACAACGTTTGGCTCATTAATGCATTGACCAAGACCGGGCTGGTCCACGTGAGCCCATTATGCAGCTGCCGCCTGCTACATCGTCTCATCCCCTTCGCACTGTTGCATGAGCTAACGCTAGATTTAACAGACCCTATAATTGTCAAGAGGGGCGCTGACACTGAGCGCGCCCAATTATATTTTTAGTCACAACGGTTACACTCGGCTGCATTTTGTCGTTCAATGATTATTTTTCTTAGACACAGCCTGACGCAGTATCTCTTTCTTTTCATCTGCATGTTTTTCCACATATCTTGCCATTTGCCATCATTGCGAGTTCTCCCGGAGGTGACCCTACCACGATCATAATGCCAAGTTGTTGTGTCCCAGCCAGAACAGACTCGCGACGGCTAGTCTGTTCAAAGCAACTTTCGTTTGCGAGAAACTTGGGTTTAACAGACTACCCGCATTGTTTGTCCTTGATCTCAACATCGCGGGATGCATATACTGCCGTGATGGGTTGTTGTCTGTGTAGGTTAGTGCGTAGCATGTTCTTTTATCCATTGTGCACGTTGATTCAAAGGCTTGGATTATGGGATATAGACTCCAAGTCCGAAAGGTGGTCCAGTTCGGTTTGACTCAAACAAGCATAACAATACTGGAGGAAACATGACCTATGTTGTTGTTTCAATGCGATGAAAAGGCTCGTTGCGATAAAGGAATTAAGTCACTTCTATCCCCGTCACCATCTAGGCATTGTACAAGCAGTTATAGCAATTCACTCAAGTCCTTTCTTTGCGTAAACACTTTCGTTCAGCCACCAATTTCCTTTAAACCCGCAGTCGACGGTGTTACGTCCGTTGCGGATCAGCGTTTAGCCCTTCTTGTTCCCTTTACATAAACATACATACCGCGCTTTCAAGTTGCATTACTATACATGCAGACCCTGGGCATCTATTCTCTACGGCACTTTGCTGTATGGACAGTCCGCATGGGCGATCACGAGGCGATGTGACATATCCACGTATTAAGTGTAATAGAGAGACATGGCAAGTTATTGGCGAAAGTTCCGCTGCTACGGGCCGTTGACCGACTCGTATACAACCCGAAGCGTCCAGACCCTGAGTGGTCTACAACAATTATCACACCGTTATCAGCAGCACTGTCAAAGCTGAATCCATGCAACACCTATACTAGTATGATGCCTGTCAACAACTCGTGCGGGGGAGGTCTTTTTGATCATCGACCTGCCTGCAAAGCATATTGAGACAGATCCAACAAGAGTGCTACTAGCTTACTGTCTGTCCACAACGCTGGCAAGGTAGAACGTGAGGACTCCGTTTGTAAGGAAAGCCACACAGCCAAAGATAGTCATGATGTTGACAACACCATGGTCAGACCAGAAGCAGGCGATAAAGATAGCTGCACCAAAGGAAACGGGGCCATACTCATAAGTGATTCTGAACACATCTAGTGCCTCACTTACACACAAACAAAAAGCAAGTAGAGACTGACAGACAGATTGAGGGGTATGCCAGCCATATCAGCAGCGCGGTGATTTGGCGTCGTGACATACGCTGTGCCGTGTGTCAAACCATGAGCCAGCCCATACAAGCGGACTCACTTTGAAGGTTTGCATGTCTTTGTGAGTGGTGCTAGCTTGATAGATAACAAGCACCGCAGTTCCGGATGTCACGCTGAGCAATGCAGCACCAAATGAAACCATGGCAAAGATGTACGATATTGAAGAGTTATAAGCCATCAAATGCTCAATAGGAGGCTGAGACGATATGAGTATACTAGTAGTTGCGAGTACGAGCCCGGCCTAAAGCCCAGTCATTGAACATTAGCCGTATGATAAAGATTGGATCATATCAAACATACAGTGACGTTTGAGTTCTGGAAGCGATTGACCATTACTGAGACATGCTCCTTCCATTCTTCGTTATTCGTATCTTTCCAATGCTCGAGAGACTTCTGGGAGACTGCAATAATGCACAAGATTTTGAACGCCATCCTCAAGATAGGATGATTGGGAGCTCGACAGTTTTCGGGGACTTCGGGGGTGGAGTTTACAGGCATCATCGTCATGACGGGGACGGACCAACTTCTGGGCAGGCTGAGCTGCTTTTGAAAGCTGGCACCCAGGAGAGGGCAAGAAGAAGGCTGTCTATAGCGTGTATGCACGATGCACCACTTCATAAGATGAAATTAAATCATTAGAGAAACGCCCACATAACTCGTGTTCATGGGAACAGAATGTTGGATGTAGGCCTGACTGCGGAGGGACCTACTGGTTGTGTTTTTCTGGATACTCGTGAATTCAAATTCTGATCAATGTTCTGCCAGGCTCATGGGTCGTGGTAGAGTCCAGGAGCGTCCGACCAAAATTTTCCTATCCTACGCGCTCAAACGAGCGACAACGGAGATAAAAAAAACATCGATGGCACTGGGAAGTTCTGACATTAAGGAAGCCTGCAGCTCCGCAGTTTAATGTTTGAGAGGCGAACTTCACGATGCTAATATAATGATGCACTCAGCACGATAAGTTTGTCGTGAGTTGTTGGTGAAGTAGCCGGAGGTAGTAAAGCCTGAGGTGTCAGTCAATGAAAAGAGAGCCAAAATACTTGGGTGTGCTCTTGATCATGGGGCGCGAGGTGTCAGACAGGTGGATTGCCAAATAGACAATAGTCTTTGATTTCAGAGCATGCAAAGTTCAAACTATGACAGACCTAGATGTCAGATGCTGAAAATCGCCACCCACACATCAGCAAACTGTTGATTTCGTAACAGTTCCCACACATTTGACAACTCCACACAAGACATCACACACCCTCACAACTCTCACACACATCACAAACAAATGACCACAAGTCTGCCACAAACGGACAGTAGCACACGCAGCACAAGCGCACTAGGGTTCAGGGAATTTGGGGTGGGCTAATTTGCCTTGCTAATTTACCGTGAATGACAGGGTGAATTTCAGACCCTCGAAAACCAGGTGTCAATTTGGGTGAATTTGGGTCCAATGGTTCAGTTTGGCCGGTTCGGCTAGACCACCCTAGCTCATCATAGTCAAGATATATAAGTTGATTTGGTTGCCGGCTCGGAAGATCACCGAGAATCTGAAATATTGTGAAGTTCAAGTCGCTGAAATATTGTAAATATTGTCCTCCCCATCGCGAAGCTACATGCAACATATCAAGGATCAACTAGCTGAACTACGACTCTGTCTTGCAGCATTGCCAACAGACATTCCTATTCCGAAGGAGTCAAAGTATAAATTCTTGAACTTCACCTTAGACGCCGAATGGACTGCAGACATTGGCGAGGCTGCTGCCGTCAATCAAGAACTAGAAGTCAGGTTGGGCAGTCGAGTCAATGGCCTTAAACTCGTTGAACGAAGCCCAGAGATGGAGGCCATAGTCCATGTTTTTGAAACATGGATGAAGAAATTTCCGGGTGATGTTATCCTGGAGAAATGGGTGAACGACACTCTCGAAGCTGCGTGAGGCCTCATTCTTGCAGCTGGAAAAGCTGTGAGTCAAATCTTATTTTCTTCTTCAATAAAATGAACTTACTGATGGCATACTATAAAGTTGCCAGTCCTTGTCTCAGACTCAAGTTCTATGAAAGAAAACCAGTCAAAGTCAATCATACTCAGATACCCGAGAAACAAAAGCCCAAGGTTCAGAAGCTCGATACGATGGTCGCTCCTTCTGTCAAATGGCGAGATATGTATGCAACCATCCATGGTAAACCTGAGACACCGTCTGTCTTCCCGCTGCCTGCTTGACCACCTACCATGACCATGGACATCATTTCAAGCTTGACCGACAAACATCAAGGCAGATGTTCAGACTTGGATGATGAAGATGGGGATTGGCTTGATAATGGTGATATTGCGGGCCATGTGGGTTTAGCTGGCGTGAAAAGCACTGAGTTCGACGTGGATAAAGATATTAACATATCATCCGCGTACCTCCTCGATATTTTGTCAGACCACACTCTACAGCCCACGGCTGCTTGCGGAGGTCTGTCAACACCAAAGGTGATGGCTGCCACAACTTCATCCTCGACACTGATGGGTGATGACGAGTGGGAGGAATGGTGATTGGCGGCTTTGTTGTAGATTACAGTCAATTAGACCAAATTTACCTGCAAATTAGCGCAAATCAGCGTCAAAGAGCTATGGGTCAATTTGAGTGAATTTGCTGTCATTTACACTGGTCAATTAGGTCTTCGCAGAGGGTCGTGCTAATTAGCTGGTCAACCAGAGCGGGATCCCTAATTCCCCGAGCCCTAAAGTGCACACACTGTACACAACACAAACTGTTACACACTGTAAAATGTGAAATACATGTAATACTAGAATATACTACTAGCAGTGATTGTATATACATACATGCACAGTGAGATAACCGGCTATTCACTAGTATAGTCTTATAGATTATTAATTAACAACAGTAGTAGTATAAAAGAAAAATGTACTTACTCCTCAGTGTCACGCTCGGAGAGTAGCAAACATTACAATGCCGCTTTTCCTCCACTCTGAGTGCATGCATCCAACATCGAGGTCAGCCAATAATAGACACGTGTTTGCAGCTTCTGCCCGGTGGCAGTAGATATGGGTGAGTATTTGATGGTGTTCCAAAAGGCAGTCGGCCAGGTGTTTCTGAGCTTGACACACTTTACATTTGGCCTGGGCTGCCTCAAGTGTGAGGTCAGAGTTATCTTCCTCTGGTTGATCGAACAAGTGGTCGGATTCAGCTGAGTCTCGTTCCTGCAGACAACAGATGAGTGACAAACAACGGATGAGTGACAAAGCAACACATTAGTGGGTGCAACTCACAGAATGCATTGCTACGGGTAAATTCTCCTCCTCTTTTTCCTCCTCCTTGACAAGGTACAATTGCGACCGAGAGTGTGAAAGGCGTGGATGCCTAGGATTAGCCCAGGGGGATGATATGCTTCGAGTTGAAGAGGCATCAGAATCGCGAGAGTCAGAAGAATAGCAGGAATAGTGAGAGGGAGAGTAGGCGTTTTTGGGAGAGGAGCAAGAAAGAATTTCAGAGTTAGAGAACATATGGATGCACAGGTAATAACTTGATTTGATACTATGATTGCACAGCTGGACTTAGAAGATTTTGGGAATGAAAGAAGCATGGGAACTTGGCGCATATTGAATCAATGTCAGTACCTACATGTCCAAAATGCAGAAAAGTATTCACCAGAGACTCCAGCGTCACTCGCCATCTAAGCCAGCCTTGGACATCTTGTCACAGTTCTGTTCGTGACATTGTCAATATCTTGGAGTTCGCGGACGTAGCTCCACCACAACGATCCCTCAATCCACCTCAGAATTTGAATGCTACTAGTACTAATATCAATATAAGTCAGAGTTTTTATGTTGGTGATGACTTGCAATTCGATGCTCAGGCCGGTGCGACAATCATATTGGCGCTAGGCATGTATACCTGCATAAGCCTTCAATAGGTGGACCAAAGTTATCCCTCATATTATTCACCACTCCCCTATCAGCAGTCTTCACTTGTCTCAGCCATAACCCTTGTCCAACGCTATTCCGCACTTTCCTGCACTATGTGCGCACATTCCCGCAGCACTATTCATGTTCCCGCGACTTATCCGACGCTATTCCCACGCTTATAGCACTATCAAAACTACCAGCAATGTGTCTATAGGAGCATTAGTGCATGTCCGCTCTACCTAGCGCTTGTTCCCGCGCCTAGCGCTAGTCCAGCGCGCTGTTCTCACGCTCTAGGATCCACCCAAAACATTGGAATCCATCCATTGTCCATCCTACCTCATTGGTATGTAATTTGCCTTGCCTCGAGTTTGTAACAAGTGCTACAGTCTTATTACATGTATATCCTATCCCTTCCGAGTCTGAGATGGTATAGTTTACTAGTATAAGAAGCCTATGGTGATTACTTTGACATTACTTCCCTTCGACTGTATTTCCTTCCCTTAGGTTTTACTTAGAAGTAGTCACCCTTTAGTTGCGCTCTATGGCCCCTATTTGACTTTCCTTACCCTTGCAATCAATACCTTTGATCTCACTCGCTATCCATTACCCTCCTTTGACTCAGTGTCTGCTTTCTTGACTTCTGCTCTTTCCCGCGCATTAGCACTCTATCTTGTGACGCGCTATTCCCGCGCTTTAGCACTCTTTTGGGTCTTTTGATCTTGAATTGTCCTTAGTAGCTTTTCCCTCAGGTCGAACATTCTTCCATCTTTGTTGCAAGTATAGCAGCATAGGCAGAGCATTAGACATATACTAGCTAAGTACCTTTACAAGTGCCTAGTCAGGTTGTGTTTTTCACACTGGGGATGCCATGGACAGAGACTTACTCAATACGACGGGAGATTTACCTCCAAGTAACGAGGAATGGTATGAGGGTGCAGCCAAGTGCTATTCTCAGGACGGTGTCACATTTCTGGATCTTTTTGATGCCAATGAGCATGCAGAATACAGGAAGGAGAACCTGTTTTAACCCATTCACATCAAGGGAAGAGTGGGAGGTCGCTGACTTCCTCCTGCATTCTGCCCTTAGCATGACAGCAATCGACAAATTTTTGCAGCTCTCTATGGTACATATTTTTATTTATTTACTTTCACCCTTCAATCATGACATTACCTCACAGATAAAATGATTGAGACTATCATTTAACAATGCTAAAGATTTGCAAAGTTGGGCTGAAATGCTGCCCAAGGGACCAAGCTGGAAATGCCAAATCATTCCCTCGCTTCATGGCACGAAAAGTCCAATTCAACTATTCTGGAGGGATCCAGTTGAGTATCTGGAGAGTCTCTTCAGTAACTCCCTCTTTCACGACCAACTTGACTTCATCCCTCGTCATGTTTACAAGACTGCAGCATGGCTCCTGCGTGTATATTCAGAATGGTTGACGTGTGACGCTGCTTGGAGCATCAGGTATGTGTTACTGATGGACTTATGATCTGCGTTATCTCACAAAACTGTAGGATCAACTGCCCCAAGGTGCAACAGTCCTTGGCACTGTGCTTTCATCCGACAAAACTAATATCACGACAATGACAGGTGCCAGGGTCGCACACCCACTTTTGCTAGGCCTTGCTAATATTCACATGCGCACTCGCACGAAGCTCTTGTCCAAGGTGTTTATGCTCACGGCTCTCCTTCCTATCCCCCAATACTTACACCCCAATCAATGAATGCGGGGTATGCTTGAAGATCGCCTCATCCATGAATGTCTTTCAATCGTTTTACAACCCCTAATGAAAGCCGCCAAATTTGGAATTATGATGTCTGACCCAGTGGGAAACATCCGCCATTGTTTTACCCCCCTTGCAGCATACATTGTCGATATCCCTGAGGCATGTATGCTCGCATGTGTGCGCGGTAAAACTTCTCCATTTACACTGGCGTCATATCTGCAGTTTGGGGACAAGTTTCACCACCTCGCATGTACACGTGCAATCACTCTTGAGCAACTCGCCAGCATCAATGTTGATCCTAACGACCTGGAAGGTTTTTTTGCCACATGTGCAGAATTCCGGCTAAATGATGTCTTTGTGCCTTTCTGGATGGGCTGGCAGTTCAGTGATCCTGCAATCTTTCTTACACCGGAAGCTTTGCATCACTGGCATAAACAGTTCTATGACCATGACGTGCAATGGTGTCTTACAGTTCTCGGAGTGCTGGAATTTGATTTCTGAATCTCAATATTGCAGCCCATCACAGGCTATCGCCACTTCCCCAACGGAATCTCCAAACTGAAGCAAGTCATGGGCAGAGTCCATCGTGATATACAGTGCTACATCGTTGGACTGATCGCTGGTGCAGCCCCTCGTCGATTTGTGGTTGCAATTCGTGCTTTAATGGACGTCCGATACTTGGTGCAGTCTCCCACACTTGACGACAACTCACTCACAGCTATCAACAGATCACTCGCAACATTTCATGACAATAAAGATGTTATTATGACACTAGGTGCTCAGATGCGTATGAAGAGAGCTATTGATAACTGGCACATACCCAAGCTGGAGCTCATGCAGAGCATTACCTAGTGCATGCCAAGTTGGCACCCCCATCCAGTGGTCCACGGATGCAACTGAACATGTGCACGTCTCTGAAATCAAGGACCCAGCGCGGTGTACTAACAACAACAATTACGACCCCCAGATCTGTCATCACTTAGATCGAGAAGAGAAACTACATCATTTCGCAGTTGCTACATCTCTCAAGAGTTTTCCCACAGATCCAGATCTCGAAGAACTCCGTGAGGATGAAGGGGATGAGAATGAGGAAGAAAATGGGGAGGATGATGAACTGATAGATCCGCAAACCGCACTCTTAGAAGAATTTAATCACACGCGTACCACTGCCAACTACTTCAGCAAAATAAGAATGTAGGCTGCTACAAGACACCACGAAATTCCTCAGGCTCACCCTCCTTGTATGTTCCTTGCTGGCAGCACTGCCATTCATCTCAACTGTAACCCCACCTACACTGGCTTGAAAATTGATGAGGTTGCCAATTGATTTAACATCCCAGGTCTATGTCACGCTCTCTCAGACTTCCTTTGACGTGATGCAAGGAATGGAGATGGAGTTTTTGGGGTGGGGGTTCCAAGAAGATCGCTGATTGACTGCCCCTTGAATATCCCTTTCGAACACGTTCAAGTATGGCATACTGTTCGGTTGCAGCAAGTCTGTCTCCACAATCCCCATATTGTTTTACCTGCACAAACCATGCATGCCTCTCCTGCATGCCCTGGGTGGCCAAAAGGCCGACAGGATGTTGCCATTGTCAATGTTGATAGCACATATGATTGGCCTAAGTCAGGGTTAATGGGTGAGCTCTTTAGTAATCATATATATTTTGATTGCCACTGACATCTTTCCCCTCTTTTGAAGGTCATGCTGTCTGCGAATTGCAGCTCATCATGCGCCCAATACCTCGATGAGGCTCACGTATCACATGGTGTGATTGATATCTTTGTTATGTGCACAGTTTTAAGATCAGTGCAGTTGATCCTGTCACCGAAATGCACACATTGACACATGTAAAACATGCTAATGGTACTCTGGTGGGAGATATAGTTCCTCTAATGCAAATTCAAGCATTCATCAACATCATCCCAAAACTGGGTGCTGCAGCAGATCCTCAGTTGACTAAGTCTACTTCTGCACATTACCATTCCTCATTCTACTTGAATAAGTACTTTGATAAGCAAATTTATGATAGCCTGTACTATGCGCCGCAAGGATAGATACATTTTCTTTCTTACTAGTGACATCATAGTTGACATGTACTCAATGCAGAGACCCTGAAGTTTGATTGATGATGAATTGAGATGCCCATTGCCCATGCATTTCCACTGTACACTAGAGGGAGCACTCGCTTAACAACTCGACGAATATTCAGACAAACAGGTGAGTTATTGTTGTAGAATACACTGGTCTGCAGTATTCATTACTCCATAGTAGCATTGACTGGTCTCAACTCTAGTAAATCCATAGTAAGATGCCACATTCGACCTGCTCATTCATCAAACTTCCGATGTCACAAGCCACCACATCGTTCGACCTTTATCTGCGTGGCCCTTCACTCAGCTCGATGGGCTTCCCACCTGAGGGCGGTCGCACCTACGATCACATCAAAGACTTACTCAGATCAGAGCTCAAAGGCCACGTCATCTTCGAGGCTGACCTGAATATCAAGTACAGTGCTAGCCTTTTCCACCAACTCATTCCAGAATCCTCATTGAAGTCCAGGCATATCACACGGATCAAATACTACGGTCGAAATAATGGACCATATTGCGACCACTCAGGCCTGATCATAACCCTTCTGACTCCCATCCAATCGTCACCCTCTCGTGTTGCTGATGCAATAGCTGCTGTCTCATTAGCAGATCCGAGCCGCTTGGGTCTCGACCCCACAGTCCATATGTGCATCCCTTCTTGCAAGGGTACTCACACCGACCTAGCAGTGGGGGCGATTGGTTGGGTAACTAACAATTCCAACAAAATGTACTCAATTATGGCCATTTTGTGGAAGAGCCACAGTCTATTTTGTTGCAAAACAGTTTGCTACCGCGTTCGGGATCCTGCAGTATGCTGATGAAAGATTGTTGGGTGACTGAGGCAAAGAGATACCACGAAGTAGACGTCCTTGAGAGGGTCAAGGGCATCCCTAATGTGGTCCAACTCATAGACCATTTGGATGTCCTATTCGATGGGGAGCCTGACTGCACAGCCCACATTTGAGATGGATATGGTGTCCTGCTTGAGGACAGGCCAGACAAGAGGTTCTCTAACAGGTATCACCGGCGCCTTCTCTTGACCCCCTGTGGAGATCTGTTATGGGATTTCAGCTCCAGAAAGGAACTGATTTGTGCCTTTCATGACTTCGTGGTTGGTAAGTTCAGCTTCATGCATTTGATTTGTTGTATTATCTTATATCTTATCTATAGCTCATGAAGCGATGATTAAACAACAAGTTTTGCACGGAGACCTTAGCCCAAACAACTTCATAATCCACGAATGTATTGGGTATTTCATTGATTTTGACCACATGTCAATCATAAAGGAGGGCGAGACATTTACTGTTTCGTTTGGTACTGTAAGTTTGAATGTGAAGTTCATGGTTCTCGCTATCAATTACTGATCTCAACATTTCAGGGAACTATACCATATTTGTCTATGTGCATTTTGAAAAAGATGTCCAAGAACACTGACATCCTCAAGAAGTCAAAGATAACCATCGACACAAAAAAGAACCACAACAACACCAACAGCTTCGCTCAGCTGGAATTGATTGAGCACAACGCCAGTGACAACCTTGAGTGACTTTTCTACATTTTCTTCAAATTTGTTTCCAAGTATGACGGGGCACATGATATACTCACTCAGACTTGGGATAAGACAACTATGCTGTGGGCGGATGCCTACGTAAATTTGGGTGCTACAAGTAGTTTACTCGCCACCTTTTGGCAAAGAAGGGAGCCATGTCCGAAGGTGATATTCTGATGGACAGGGTATCAGGCTACTTTGTAGAATTCAAGCCCATCGTCGACAAATGGCACACTTTAATCTATCGCACAGAGTCCAATATCGAAGGAACCATTGTTCATGAGCACATTTTCCAAATGCTTGCCAAATTCATTGCGAAACTTGACGATGAAGAACCAGCCCCACTGTCATCTCCACTCCTTCCAGTGGCTTCTCCAAGTGCCCCAAGTACTTATCATACCGGGGCTCCACCCATCATCCAACCCACAGCAGGCCCTTCCCTATGTCATTCATTATAGCTCAGCACAAGCCAGACCTAATGATACTGGCATGAGCTGACACAATTATGATACCTCTTTTAGAATATCCTTCATCTGGCTTTATATGTCTTCCTATAGTACATTTATCTTTCTTTCATGCCACCTTTCTTACTAGTATGTGAACCATGTACTCAGACATTATGATGATTATGTAACATGGATTATGTCATGTTGGTTGGTATAACTAGCTAACATCATACATACTCAAAGTCACCTGGTACCATGCCTCCAAGGAAAAGCCCAGATGTTCTTCTCCAAGTCTAGAGGCGACTGCTCAGCGAAGCTCAAGACCTAACCATGGTGTTGGCGGTCATGCAGTGCAGCTGTGAAGAGCTGGAGAAATGGTTGCTGCCCCGCCAACAAGGAAAGGACTGAAGGGTGACAATCTTTAAATCAGCAGCTCGGAAGAGAATCCTATGGCTCCTTTGCAGGTTCAGAAAGGAAAGAAAAATGTAATGTCATTTAAAAAAAATTATGTTCAAGCTAATTTTTCAGCCTCCTGCAAAACCTTGCAGCACTTCTAAGAAAAACCTGAACGAATGCAGAACGACAGAAAGCAGCTAGCATTCTCAGGCTCCTCCTTCCCATCCAAATCCATACGTGGCTCGCTCATCGGAAAGGTTCGGATTCAAAGAATCTCAGCCTAATGGTCACGAACAGTTGGACGGAACATGGGTCAGTGAGATGCAGGTCATGAGAGGGAGTCTATGGAACATGATGGTGGTGGCGAGAAGGACAGGCAGAATACGGATGACTACAGGGAGTCTGCGCCAAACTCTCATAAATGCAATACACCCGATGACAATCCTGACCATGGTGATGATTTTGACAGCAATATGGAGATGTTAGTGTTCTTCTTTCTATCGCTTGCATTCATCCCGATATTATGTTCTCATTGCAGGGACAGAGATGCTGGTCAGTACACGCACCAGCCAACGGACGACATAGACGAGGCAATGAATTTCAACGAAAATCTGGATCGTCCTTGTCCTGACAATGAAGCTCGAGGAGATATCGAACAAGTAGATTTGGATGATGAGCCCACAGATACGGAGCAGGATAAAGTATTTACTTTTTCTCTCTCTATTATCACATTAATTATTTGTATTCTAGGTTTATGATGTTCTCGAGCATCATCATGCAAAGAACAGGCAGCGAAAAGCTCCTTCACCAACCTATTTGTCAAAGGGAAAGGAAGGGGCATGTACTGTTAATCGCCCACAATCCCCTCGTCGACACCCATCCCAACATGTTCATTCCAAATCTCCTTGCCCACAATCTCCTCAATGTGTCAGGTGCTCGAAGTCCCATGTTTGTTCTGAATCTCCTCGCCCATGTTCTCCTCAACGCATCAGGCGCTCACCTACATGTCATTCCTCTCATTCAAAGTCTCCACATCAGCAATCATCTCAGCAAGTCAAATATGTATGCTCATCATCCTCATGTATGCAGTCTACTCTTCAGCGTCCATCTCGACCAATTACTTCCTCAAGTCGCAGTCATACACAGCCCACCTCTCGTGGATGCTCTCCATCACGCTCTCCATCCGACCCTATTCTGTCTTCAAGTCATGAACATTCTCATACCTCTACACCTGAAGATGCTCATCGATCCAGCAATAGCAAACGAAGGGTCAAGACAAACCACAAGAATCCCTCAAAGCTGGAATTTTATCCGCCCACTTGGCAAGCATTCCTGCAGACGGCCAAGTTAGAGATGCAGTTGCAGGCCATCCTAGTTGACACAATTCCGGAATTTCAGGATGCCCTTAACCTTGCATGAGAAGTCTTGGACACTGTGCTATGGATCTACCACGTAGTGATGGCTGAGTTCAGTTCAGAACCACGATTCGAACTCAAACCGTTGTGAACTCGACTGAAGTCCGGTCCAAAGTTCGGATAATGAGGGGGACCGAACCATCGGTCCAGTTCCCGGTTTGATGACCTGTAGGAATTCCTGAACCTGTTCGAACCACGGAGATGTATCAGACTGGTGGAGATCTGAAAGCAGTATGTTGTAGTATAGATTTGAAGTATTTATAACTGTACCTCATCTTAGAATGCTCGTTCAACGTCACTGCTGATTCACGTTATTCAAGTTGGATTCATTTCACTGTTTGACACTTGTAGCTCATTAATCATTCTTGATCAACCACAGTACAAGCTTAAACTTCCTTTACTCGTCTTGTATATCATTTCTCTCTAAACAGTAATTCATCTACATCAATCTACATGTTTCGAGGCTTTACTCTTGGCGGCACACATCTGCGAGTCTGACTCGGCATTGATGACGCAATGTCGATTCTCAATTGGCAACTCATGTAATTTGTTGCAATTATACAGACATCTGACCTATCATTGAATGCTATCTTCAAGTTGAACCCATCTGTTTGCACTATTCGACGAATCAACATGGAAACAAAAGGAATATGAGCCGGCAAACTGACTTTTCATTGACTGAACACGACTCACAATGTCTGACAGTGCTGTTGGTCCAAACGGCGAGCTGAAAGATGCGTCTGAAATGGTATGGTTCAATGATGTGGATGACAAGCAGCCTATCCCCTCCTCATCTATGAACAAATCTGCTCCGTTACATCCGTTCTTTACTGGTGCTGCTGCCCCTGCAGCTATCATAGCAGGTGCTCGTCATTCTACTCAAGCATCTTGACCTTCAACAAGGGTACTCGATCCTGACAATGTTGCATCATCCAGCACCACCCAAGGTAAACGAAAGCTACTGACAATCTGGATGTTACCAGACGACGAGTTGCACGCAAGATTGTTGCAAGCCCTGCTGCTTCCGTTGATGATGGAGAATCTGACTGTGACGACGACATAGATATCGGTGGCACTAATCTCGATCATCCTGATGCAATAGGTGGTGACACTGAAGCTGAGGATGATACAGAGCATGCATATGCATCGACAAAAGATATGGGAGATGCGGATCGTAAGGTGAGTCGCTAGAAACACTTGCACTGATAGTTTTCTCATGTACAATCTAGGGTTCAACTCACCGTCCTAAGACTGAACGAACTGCAGATGTTCATACCATCTTCATCAAGAAAGATGACTATGTAGACCCACATACCAGGCTGGTCGAGTCAGGACATGTGTGCACGGTCTGCCAGTGCATCTCCATTTTTGTTTTTGTTTTTGAAAAATTACTAAAGCAGTGTTCAGTAGAAAGAACGGTGTTGCTGCTAGACAATGCTTCTTCAAGGGTAGCATGTCAACCCTCCATACTCATATCTCGAGGCAAATATTCCATATCAGTTATCAATGTATTTATGCTGACAATGGAATGTAGACATCGTGACCACATTAAGATTTATCAAGAAAATTGCAAGAAATTAGATATTCCCTTGAATGAGAGGGCATGTCTGAAGTCCGATGGTACTGGAACCCTCGATAGGTATATTCAGTCCCATGTTGCCATTTGACTTCATCATTGACTTACATTTTAGTCAACAAAGTCTTGATGGCATTGTCGTTCATCAGCCGCGAGCACCCATGTTCACAACCAGTGGCCTTCTTGACTATGTTGTGGAGTTGATTGTGTGCGAGGACAAGGTAAGACTCTGACATTCGTTCATCAGTAGCAACATCTAATTTGAATCTACAGGCATTCCAGCTTGTGGAAAAAGGCCCATTCCGTCGCCTACTGACTTACCTCCAACCATCTTTGGCCAACAAGGATATTCCACATTGTAAGGCCGTTCATGAGGAAATAATGAAGAAAGCAGCAGCTACCAAAGCATGGCTGAAAGATGTTCTAAAGGTGCTTTCTTTTCTTTTCAGGATATCTATCATCCTAACAGTGAACTTGCTGCAGGATATACCTAGTAAAGTCTCATTCACATTCGACGCTTGGACATCCAACCCTGCTGATCCATTTTTGTCTGTTACCGGCCATTATATCCATGCGCATCCAGACAAACCCAATGACTGGAAACTTCGAACTGATGTAGAGACTCGATCCTGGGTAGCCTCACAATGGCACATATTGCAACATAGGTCGAGTCTACAGTATCATGCATGTAACACGACACTTGCGCGATAAACGCGACGTTCGCGCGACTTAGGCAACACTTCCGCGACATAGGCAACACTTGCGCGACTTGCGCGACTTGCGCGCGCTTTAGGCGAATTTTCCCGCGCCTAAGCGCTATAGGGCGCCTGACTTCCCACTGTGTTTTCCCATGTCCAACCAAGTTCCCAGGTATGCATTTCTCCATTTATCATTTATTTCAACATCGTACCATGTTTATTTTCACTTGGTACACATTTTTCATTACACATTTTTTTTACTTTACACAACACACATTACCACGGACCACCACCATGATAGACAGTCACCATCTCCGAGTTTTTATTATGTTTTGAATAAATCATCGCAAGCCCTAGTAGCAGTTAGCTCTAGTGGCCATATCCACATCAGTTGTCTTATCAGCGTCTCAGTACACGTCTTAACATCTCACTATCGCTCGCATACCGCTTTCACCCAGTTCCGCTTTTCGACGCGCGCCTATAGCACCTTTGTTCCCGCGCTTTGCGCATTCCCCCTAGAGTTGACCAGTGGATATTTGCTTTCTCCGCTTCCCCTAAGGGACGAACATATCACACTCATATTTTCCTCCCTTCAACAATTATATCAGCTGCACCCTCAGCTGAGTTGAAGATCCTTCACCGAGCAGCTGGCCTTTTCACCCATCGAAGGACATCATACTGGAGCTAATATGGCTAATCTACTCATATGCACAGTTGACCGCTACAGTCTTCGTCCAAAAGCAAGTTTTTATTTGTTTTTAATCTACGTGATACTAATTAACAATCAAGTTGGTTGGTTTACCTGCGATAACGCATCAAGTAACGACATGTGCCTTGTTGCATTTGCTGATATGATAAATGCCGACAAGGAACCTGGTGCAAAGTTGTGGGATCCAGTACAAGGCCATGTCAGGTATGATCACTACGATATGTATCTTTGTGCATCTCACTGTTTGGGCAGATGTATGGAACATACCATCAACCTTGCTGCTGGACGTTTTGTCACAGCTGTCTCACCAACATCAGCTTGCAAGCTTCTCAAAAAGATCAAAGCCACATTCAAACACGCTCAGCTAGAGGGCCAAGATGTAGATCTGGATGCTTTAGAGGCCGACTTAGATGAGGCGGATATTGAGGGTGAAAACCAAGAGGATGATGATGACAACAACAACGATGAATTTGGAGTTGGGGACACGATCAGAAAGGCACTAGCACTTGTGAAGCAGGTATGCTGTCTTGCAGCCCTTGTCTCTGACATCATACTAACTAGTACATATCACAGATTCATGCATCACTGCAGGCTCGTGCTTTTTTTGCCCAGTCGTGTAAGCAAGCAGATGTCCCTATCCTCGAGCTGATGCAGTGGGTGCGGACACGCTGGGCTTCAATGCATAGCTTCATTTCATGGATGCTGTTGCTTCAAAAGGCATGTCTTGCCTCTCTCTCACATACTATGTTCTATAAGCTAATTTGTGGCATCTCATTAGGGTGTGAACCTTTTTGTTGAGCTCACTGACGACAGCGAAGATGTTCCAAACCTTAAGGGGAAGTCCTATGCTGACTTTTGACTCAACAAAAGGGACTGAGAGAAATTAAACTAATGCACGAGGTTCTACAAGTTCGTCATCGCTACTAGCTACATTGATTATATTGTTTGTATACTAACAATAATGATAGGAACCAGCAAGTGCTACGCAAACATCTTCGAGCTCACACAACCCTTCGGTCTGGCGCATGATACTTGTCCTTGAATTTCTACAGAAATCATGGGAAAATATGGCCAATCTTCCTCGATTTTCCAAAGTCAGTGATGCAATTCAAAACGCTTTGGAAAATGTTGCGAAGTGGTATCACAACACAGAGGATACCGATGTATATTTTATTTGCCTTGGTATGTTTATACTATCTTTGCTCATGATGATACTGATGAGTTACCGGCTTTGAAGCACTTGACCCCAATGTCAAGATTGCATATGCCAAACACCAGTGGGACAAGGCATCGTTTGAAATTGGCCTTGACAAACTCAGATGAGTGGTAGATAATGTTTTCCTCATGGTTGTTGCAGGCTGATTTAGTATGTGCATAGTTTGATGAGTACTACATTGCCCCAATCTCCGTTGCTGCAGAGGCAGACAACAAACAAGGGGCATCTGACTTGCATGGTCAGTGTGGCCATTCGTGGGTGCTTGCGGCTGTGCAAGCATGTCTTGCATCAGACCACACACAGCTGAACCCTTGCGCTAAACTCACAACTTATCTTGGAAGTCCTCTTGAGCAGAGTGATGATGTTGTAGGTTGGTGGGGGGTGAGTTTTTACGCTATCACACATGTATGCATCAATTAATCAAGATTTATACAGCACCACCAGTCACAGTACCCGACTCTTTCGCACATGGCCAGGGACTACCTGCCCATACAAGGCTCTTCTACACCCTCCGAACGTGCCTTTTCGAGTGGTGGGTTGACGGGAACCAAGCGACAGAACTGTCTCAAAACAGATGTTTTTGAGAGCCTGCAGCTGTTGAAGAGTGCATATCGAAATGGTCACATCTCCGCGGCCAGTGATGCTGAGCAGCACTTGGATGCGCTGATTGCTGCCCTACATGATGATGCAAATGAGGATGGTGAGTAGTTATGGTTTTCTTTTGTCATACAACTAGTATCTTCTACTTGTCTCTGTGAATGAATTTTTTGTGCTATTTGGATGGTCCGGTTCAGGGTTCAGACGCTTGATGAACCGGAACTGGACCATTGTTGGACCAAGCCGACGGTCCAGTCCATGGTTCAGTCTGTGGGGAGAACCGAACCTATGGTTCGGTTCTTGGTTCTCAGAATTTGCCAGAAAACTGGACCAAACCAGACCTGTCCATCACTACTACCACGAGAAGAAGATTAAACTGGAGAGAGGTATATTCTCCCTACTTCACCGTCTACCCTTCTCACCTCTGTTTGCAAGGTTACTTTCCGGAGTATGACATGCAGATGTGCCAGCTGGTAGGTTCTTCGTTTATTGATGGCAATGTGTTCGCTGATACCATGTCCATGAGCTTTGCCAAGATCAATTCACATTCCACACAGAACTCAAGAAAGTCATCATCTCTATTTCAAGAAGGGCATATGATATATTCCCACAGGGCTCTACAATGCAAAAGGATGAGGCTCAACAGCAGGTCACTGCAGCCGCTGCCAAGCTCCTCAAGAGCAGTGATTAAGCAGTGATTACCTCCGGCTCCCTAACTTGTCTGGTGTAGGTTGCGACTCCTGGTCATAGCATCGTTTTAAATTGATTTTTGCAGGGAATTTTCAAGAACTTCACGGCGCAGGCTCTCAAGGATGCTTGTCTCGAATTTCACTACAGCAACAGTAAGAAAGCATTAAAGAACACGGATGAATTCCACCGAACAATCCCTGTTAATGCAATGCTTCTTGTAGCAGTGGTGGTATGCTTATAGTTCTGTATGTTTTTGTCACTGATGATTCAACAGTTGAAGGGCATTATCTCTGGCTTTCGTGATACTGGCACCAACAAAGTTCCTGAGCTAACCGCTGAGCAATGTAGGACCCACTTCATCAATTTATAGAAATTGGTCCACACGCTGTCTGAATAACCAAGGGTCTTATATAAATATGTGTAAGAATGTAATGACACCACAATTACACTTGATAAGACTTCTTGCCAGTCCTTGATTAACACGGTCTACGATGTTTCTTCTTTCATGGTAGATAATGTGTGAGTTCTTGGGAGGCTCGCTAAACCAATCAGTTAGATTAACTTAGCCGGAGCTTTATTATTTCTGATTGAAACTATGGGATTGTCTAGGATATACCGTCTAGACACTTGAACTGGTTTCCTGAATATATGATTAACTGTTGAGAAGCTGGTCTCAAATGTGACTATGATGACCAAAGCTTGTGTTGGTCAATATACAAATACCTGGTGAGAACACTGGTCTCACAAATAACAACGGTGACCAAAGCTCATGTTGGTCAGTAAACACTATGTGGTGAGAACACTGGTCTCACAAAACTGGGTTTCTATTGCGATACACTTATGTAATCTCAAGGGATACACTTTCCCTGCACTTGTCTGGACAGTACTTACAAAGGAAATGGGCTTTGTAAGCAGCAATCTGTTCAGGCTGAAGCTTCTTAGGTGAGAGTTCAATTGGCTCAAGTGGGAGATTCTTGAATGCAACAAGTGGGAGATCTATTTTTTTGGGGGGAGAATGGGCTCTCCTTATATACATTTTGTGTGGGAATATTATGTAAGTAAAAAGGTGATGTAATGACTTCAGAATGTGAGAAGAATATTCCAAAAACTGGAGCAGAATGTTCTAGCAGGTGCAAAAGAACATTCCAGAATATTCATGGTGGGATAATGACATCATTCTGAGTCACTCTGAGTCATTATGAGTCATTATGAGTCATTGGAATGTTCTAGCAAATTCCATGGAACATTCTGGAATTGATGATATCATTATGACATCACTATGATATCATATCTTTCAACAGAATACCTGCAGGAGTGTGTGTGAAGTCCTATGACATCATTATGACATCATACCCTGTAGGTACAATTTTATGAAGCATCTGATTAGTCAGAGGATCCTAATAGAAAAGTAAAGTAAAGAAACACTAGAGAAAACAACTCAGAAATAATGGAACAAATAATAGTACACAATACGCGGGCTTTTTAGATAGGTTTTTGTTAGGCTTTGAACTTTTCTCTATGGGTTTCTCTAGCCAAAGTGAATAAGCCAAAGGAAAGGCAATACCTTAACCTTCAATTTGCTTCTCATATCAACTAGGTCATTATGTGATTCCCATCTCACATATGACTTTCTTCAAAACATGGTGGATTCATGAATCACTGAGGGAAAACTGAAACTATTGGACCAAGGTTTGATACCAAGGTATGGGTTGACTAGTCTGAGGACTAAGCTAACAGACTTTGTCTTTTAGGGGGATACCTAGTAGTCATGTCCATGCATGATTCCCAAATCATGCAGGACAGCGGACTCGTTTCATGCTTTTGCCCCTGTTGTGCATCTCCCCTGCATGCAGGTGAACACTGTTCACAAGTGTCAATGTCGATGTCTTTCCACACATCCATTTCAAACGAGGTGCTCTTCCACTTTCACGACTATCTCAGCCTCAGATCAGTTTTGATGTTTTACAGTAAAGCGGCCCCAAATATACTCAGACACGCGACTTTTTCCCCGATACATTCTTCAGCTCTTCAAAAATGTTCAGCCTATATGTTCTCAGCTTCAACCTGACTGGAATCGTCACATCACTAAGGGCAACACCTCCTGTATAAGTGCCTCCTTGTGTCAACACCAACAGTCTGTCCAGATTCCACACACAAGACATCCACTGCTCCTGCCAAGTCGACATTGTTACAAGAGTTATCTAACAAACCACAGAGAATTGTCGGCATCGCCAAGCTCAAGGAGTTGCAAGCAAAGTCTATATCAGCCAGCGAGCTCGCGCATAAGCCTGACCACCTGACAAAGCTGCCTACCGAAATGCCATTGCCTTCATAGTGAAAGGCAAAGAAAATTTCACAGTAGGCATTAACTGTTCAGGGAAGCATCAGTCCACGGTATTTGAAAAATCTAGAGAAGGACGTGTCAATTTTTCCTGGTGCTCATTCCAGATGTACCGTACCTGTCTGCGCACAGAGTATGCAACATTGAGATACAGGACTGATGAGAAATGTCAGAAGTTGGCCCTGCACGTCGGACACTTCTGTTCCTAACACAGTACATGTTGTTAGTATGAATGCCGTGTATGTAATTTCATAATGCACATTTTCACCTCGGGCCTTCACATGCCGCACACCTCAACCACCTAAAGACACTGTTCATGTTCTCATATACCATGTTTTGGGTTTAAAAATATGATGTCATCATAGTGCTGCTGGGGCTCCTGGCTAAAGCCGGTTCTGACATCATCGGGAAATCACCGAGTTCCTTAGATTACTTAAAAATGGGATTAGGGCGGCTAAGGAAAATAGGTTATTATTTTTATCCTTTGTTCAAATTATTCTAAGCCGTGTCACTACAAAGGTTCGAAACTTCTAAGTCCAACATTATGGCAAGGGTTGAAGCTAAGTCTCCCATTCAGTGATGTGCACATGGTGTGCGACGTGACCACGGCACGTCAGAGTATGATGTTGAGTTTTCCGTTGTCCCTCTCTTGTTTGTACTTAGGATACTGATATCACATCAGCAAAAGTGCCCAAATCTGGCAAGGGCCGGCAAGGTCCGGAGAATCTCCCATGACCTCATGATGCCTTCTGAGGCGTGAATCAATTCGTTCGACAACGTGCAAGATGTGCCTGCTCGTCTCACAAGGCATTGCTAGACTCCCTCAACCTCACGCCAGCCTTGCGAGGCATTTCAAGACTGGCACTGTCTAGTACGGGGATGCGAGGGAAACTTCATCTGTGTGGGCAATGGTACATTATTTTGATATTTTGATATGCACTAACCTCAGTGGCCATGCCAAGCATTCAGACCCCAAGTTGCATGGATGAGAGCCCACACGTTCAACAGAAGTTTGAACATGTGTCAGAGAAGCAAGAAATCATTCACGACAAGTGAATACACGTCCTGCCATTCAACGACTCCATCGAACATCTCAGTGGTCACATTTTCGATGTCTACTTCAACCCTACTTCCTTGAAGCTGTGTAACATACCAGGATCCCATCATTGTACGGTATGTCCAATGTTTATTCCTTCATATCATCTCATTTTGCAAAATCTCAAGCTGCCTCTCCGAGAGGTCATAAACGTCCATGTGGTCTCAATTCATTATATGCACTATAACTATAATATACAGTGTTTTTGCTCGTCAATGGTATGAAATGTGCAGTTCGGTCCAGATGAATGGTTCTAGAGCGAACTTGACCCTCTCTTAGCTCCACATCTTGAGATGAGCACTATCTTTGGTATCTTGTCACTGAGCAGAAGCACAGGATCTTGATTGCAAACTGATCTTGACTGTCATCCAGGCTATCTGCCCGGACCTTATCCTATCGCAATCAATCTGCGGATCTTGTTGTGAGGAACTTGCATTTAAGGCCATGATTGCAGCATGTTTCCGCTGCTGCTCATGCTGCTCCACTCAATCTTTGTCTTGTTACTCACTTTTCTCTTGATGGTACAGTGTCCAAACTGCAATGTAGAAGTGCACAATTGCAGCCTGTCAATTCACCTGAGCAGATACTGCAAGATATGTGATATAGCCACCACATCAGCTCTCGCTGAGTGGCGCAAGTGTGGGGAAGCGATTGCTGAAGCTACTCGTTTGGAAGATGAACGCCATTAGATGTGAACCTGATATTCACAGAAATATTTGCATATGAACAGGAGGTGCCAGACATTGAAATGGAGCCACGGCCATCAGGGCGTCCAAATCGACAAATCCGCCTCCCCATGCATTATCGTGATGAAGTCCCAGTCCTACTAATCCCAGCCCCACCTCCCATTGATCAAGACGAGCCTGTATCAGCGCTTGGAGACACACCAGATATTGAGATGGAATCTGATGACAGATCATCTCATCATAGCTATGCAGAGCATCCTGAGTGGCTCTGCACTGATACAGACGCATTCGACCTTTTTCATGAATACCCTCATTCATTTCCAATATACAACCCCAAACATTCAGCCTACTTTGATGCACTTTGCAACTCCTCAACGTTCCAGCATGTTGATGGGGACACCAATTATGAACAGCCATGGTATGCTGGCTTCGGACAATCACTCAAGGCAGTCCACCATGACTACTTTGCACCATTCCTTAATGCCACTGTTTTTCAGCTCATGACATGGTTTTACAACTTGTCGATCTCGAAATCACTGCAAGATCTCAATCGTTTAGTCAACGATGTCATTTTAGCGGATGATTTCTGCCAAGAGGATTTGCTAGATTTTAATGCATCTAGGGAGGCATCACGTCTTGAGAAGGCCCAACATGACCCTGTGTCCTCAATATTCTCCTCCGATGGATGGCACGAGACCTCAGTGAAGATCCGACTTCTGTGTGAAAAAGAGAAGTTCTCTTCTGAAGATTGTGCGCCTGAATTTGAAGTTAATGGGCTTTATTACCGCAAGCCATTGGAAGTGCTCAAATCTGCATACCAGGAGGTTGCAGCGAAGACATTTCACACAAAGCCATACAAACTATTCTGGCAGCCTGACGACGACAAACCTCCAGAGAGGATCATTACCGAGCTGTATACGTCTGACGCCATGCTTCAAGAGCATGAGAAACTCAACTCGCAGCCAAATGAGCCAGGCTGTAACCTGGAAACTGTCATTGGTGCGATCATGCACTGGTCGGACTCTACTCATCTAGCAAGTTTCGGGAATGCTTCTCTGTGGCTGATATACTTGTTTATTGGCAATCAGTCAAAGTATATTCACGGCAAGCCAACATCATTTGCAGCACATCATCTTGCATATATTCCAAAGGTCTGTCCTTACTATTTGAACTCGAGACACGAACTAATTATGTGTATAGCTATCAGATACCATCCAAGACTTCTACAAGAAGACTTTTGGTCGTAGTGCAACGGGAGCAGTGCTCACGCACTGCAAACATGAATTAATGCAGGCCATTTGGCACTTCCTGATCGATGCAGATTTCATAGATGCATATCAACATGGCTTTGTTGTCAAGTTCCCTGATGGAGTCTCTCATCGTGTGTTTCCTCGGTTTTTCACTTATTCTGCTGATTATCCAGAGAAGTCTGTTTCACATCTTACTTGATCACACCATATTAATCTCCACAATGTCAGGGTTCTACTTGCGTGCATGAAATTCCTCGGGAAGTGTCCATGCCCATGGTGTCTTGTTAGCAAAGACAACATTTTCAAATTAGGGACAAAGTTCGATCGACGACAGCACACCAGAAATTCTCGAGTCGACAATCATCCACGGCGTAGTCTCATTGAACAAGCCCATGATCTCATATTTGTTTGAGGTTATAGTGTAGTCAGCTCTGCAATTGAGAGAATCATCGGTATTACCTCTGTGGCACCTATTCATGTATGTATGATTTGAATCAAGCTTTCAAAGTTGACTAACTATGAGTATCAGAATGCCTTTTCAGAGAAGCTTGCCAATTTTGGTTTGATTTCCACTTGATGCTTGTGCCCGACTTTACGCACGAGTTTGAGTTGGGAGTATGGAAGGCAACCCTTGCTCATCTTCTCCAAATTTTGTACTCATATGGAGGTACTGCTGTGCAAGATCTCAATGAGCGGTAAGTCGTTTTGTCTCGTATATTCGCATGTCCATCATAATTTAGGTATCGTCTTGTACCAACATTTGGCCACGACACCATCCACAAGTTTAGTGACCATGTGTCAGGTCTTACAAAACTCACAGCGCGTGATTTCGAAGACCTGCTTCAGGTAGGAATATAAGTAATACAGCTGCTGACATGCTGATCAATGCTGGCAGTGTGCGATGCCAGTATTTGATGGTCTTCTACCGGAACCATTCAACAACTCAATCCTCAACCTTCTGTTTGAGCTAGCCACCTGGCATGCATTCGGGAAGCTTCGTATGCACACGGAGACGACACTCTATCATTTTGACAACTGTACAACAAGGCTAGGAAAGGCTCTTCGGCGATTCCGTGACAACACCTGCACAAAATTTGCTACTCATGACTTGCCACGTGAAACAGCTGCTCGTGCATGGTGTCGGTGTCTTAAAGCATCTAAAGGAAAGACAAAATGGTCAGAAGGAACAAATACTGATGCTGAAGGTGATGGCCCCTCCAAGCAACAGCTCCTCAACCTCTTGACTTACAAACTCCATGCTCTTGGAGACTACATCAAGTCGATCTGGCAGTATGGGACTATGGACAACTACTCTACACAAGTGGTGAGTATTGGAATTTATGAATAATTAATGATCCACTAATGGTAGTGTTAGGGCGAACTTGAACATTGCCAAGTCAAGCGCTTTTATGCATGGACCAACAAGAATAAGTTTGTCTGTGGAATTGCAAGACTTCAGCGTCGTGAGCGCATTTTGCAAAGGATGAAAGAGGTGAACCATGAAAGGGCAGCTGCACAAGAGAATCACGCACAGCCTGAGACCGAAGATCTCTGTCCATCTCTTCATTTCATTGACCAGGACCCACTGCTGCATTGCTCGCTGGAGATACACTACCAGATGTCCTCATCACAGAAACATTACTGGGATATTTCTTCCTGGCTTGGAAAGAACAGAAATGACCAGGCCACAAAGGTAGGTCTCTGAAACTCGTAAAACGACAAATGTATTTGCTCACTGGATGTAATTAGAATTTTCTTCCGCATCTCAAAGATCATCTGCTGGGTCGCTTGTCAGGACTGGACTATGATGGAGACGAGACTTCATTTAGTGCGGCACAATGAAACTCTGTTGCAATTATCAACAATCGAATTTATCGTCACAAAGTGCTTCGTGTGAACTACACTACCTATGACTTGCGGCGTGCTCAGGACTCCCTCAATCCCCGCACACATGCAGACATCATGGTTCTTGCTCGTGACCAGGAAGACTCCCATCCATACTGGTATGCTCGAGTTATTGGAGTGTTTCACGTCAATACCCGCTACATGAGACCAGGTGCACATCCCTCTATAAAGCGCGTTGACTTTTTGTGGGTCTGCTGGTTTGCCCGTGACATCACTGCACCAACAGGTTGGGCTGCAAAATGACTGCCACAGGTTGGGTTTTACGATGGAGATGATGAATCAGCATTTGGGTTCCTTGATCCTGACCTTGTAGTTCGTGGTGTTCAACTTATCCCAGCCTTTCGATATCAACGTACAACTGCTCTGTTGGGACTGTCCATTGCTTGTCAAGCAGCTGACAAGGATGAGGATTGGGACTGGTACTGCATCAACATGTCAGTTATTTCCTGTTAACAACACGCATTAAGACTAAAAAATTACCAGGTTTGTTGACCGAGATATGTTCATGCACTTCCGTGGAGGAGGTGTCGGGCACAAAACCACACGGAGAGAGACATCCTGCTTGCTTGACGATCAGGATGACCTGGATAACAGTCCATTTCAACAGGAGAAAGAGCGCCATCTACCCAGGTTTGACAAGGCCTTTGAAGGAGATGAGGATATGGATGAGCATGAGGATGGAGACAAGGTGGGTGACAGTGAGGAGGAAGCAGATGATAGCGAGGAGACAGACAGCATGGACGGCGAGGATGGGGATGAAGTTCCAGCTCCCTTTGAAGTGATGGTAGACAACACTGTTGCCGACGAGATGGACGAATACGGTTACTCTGGCCTTGATCAAGTCCTCGACGAGGATGGTGCAGGTGAAGAAACTAACAATGATGTTGATGACTTTGGTCCGGAAGATGGGGAGGATGTGATGAAAGAGTTTGAGGAGGATAGCTTTGCAGACTTATAATTGACGACAGCACATGACAAGATAGCTCAGAAGATTAGCTCTGTTATTCAAAGTAATTTACATGTGGCCTGAATAACGGGATGGGTTGGGTGGTAGACAAAATGAGTACAATCAAGCAAAGGTGGGAATCAAAACGCTTGTTGAGATGCGCGAGAATTAATGACCATCAGCAGTCAGCCTCATAGGCGAGACCAATTGGCTGATGCTACAATGATCACCCAAATACTAACCAAACACTGACAATGTGATCATCACCTGGAGAAGGAGTGCGACTGTGCGAAGTAGGGAGTGGGGTGATGTGATATCGCATACTTGAGGGAGGCTGCAGTTGGAGGGGTCAAAAATGTAGTCATGAACAGATGAGTGATAGATATTCACAGGGTGAGTGCTGTCTGTAGGGATATCCATGACAGACCGTAGCTGTATCAGTGTTGTCTGCGCATCCCTGCCCAAACCAGGGCCAAGAAGTGACGAGATTTGCAAGATGGGAATAGGAAGAGGGTCTGCGAGAGCGGCGACAATGGACATGTGCATGTAAGCCTGCTTGGGGTCGGCGCAGAGAGGATACAATTGTATAACTTGTACACCTCCATTCCTGGTAGCAGTGAGTTGGCAGGCGAGAATGGGAGTGTTGATACATATAGATGTGGTGTACTGTGTAAAATGATGCCGCTGAAGACTTGAATGAACATCAGGTTGCGCATCAGTGCTTTATCTGGCACTTAGAAGCAATGTACTCACCTTTAGCCACGGGAGAATGAGCGGAAGGGCAGCACTCGAGCCATAAAAACACCTGCTCGTGGTTGAATAACAATTTCACTTCTTTCGCAAGTTCCTTGTCAAAGGCTGTGGTTCATACGTGTGACGTCCAAAATCGAGATGAATATGACAGATATAAGGGGATGCATTTTTGGATTCGTTCTTGTAGCCCAGGATCCTCGCTATTAGATAGATACGACAACTTTAAATCACAGATATTGAAGCAAAGACTGTGTTCCATCACTCGAAGTGATGCGAGTGCAAGGTCGTGTTGCACCTTTGAAGGGTCGATAAAAAACTCTCCACTGGATGGTTCATCCGTGAAGAAATTGCGGAAGGATGTGTGAAGGGGTCGGATTGAGTAGTCAGATACAATAGGTTTGGGTGTAGAATCATCACTGCACGCAAGTGTCCAGAAAATCACATGATTTTAACTCAAAGTCAGCCGGCATTTTCTGGTGGTGTATAACACTTTGATCTTATCATTATTTGATCGTTCTATCCCTCAATCTTCATTCTAATTGCTATCATTATTACGAGTACTGAAGAACCTCTTGACTTGGCCGACAGAACCACCTTCTTTCACAACAATGTCGTTGTCATGGAGGTCGATAACCTTCTTGCCGGATGGCCAACTTACACCTTAAATTTCACACCTGAGCACCCAGAACCACTGGTAAGTAGTTTTGTTACTGTTTGAATTACTCAATACAACTGATATATACATTATAGAAGCTTATTTTACACTTGAAGGATGCATCAAAATTTCGCTCAACCGAAGATGACAACAGCAAAGACGAGGGAGTGGGAGGAGGGAAGGAAGATGCAGATGTTACCCTCGTCGCGGCTTCAGGAAGATGTCCACAGGAGAGCCACTCAACCATGTGGACGCATTCATGACACTACCTGCTGCTGTAGAAGCATTAAAGTTAGAATGAGTCCTGCCTTCAAGCTTCATTTCTCGCATCCTATCGTGATTGCTTGGTGCATTGTTGTTATATCACTTCCCATGGACATTGTCTCTCATAGTCATACTGTTTTTGTTGTCACACACTTGCACGCACTCACATTGTAACTGTAGAATTAATTTTGTACTTCTTATTGCACATATAGCACATATAATCATGTGACCTAATATGACATCAACATTTGGAACTTAATCATATCAGTCCCATGCCCTAACCCTTAAGTCTAACCACCATCATGTCTTTGTGTCATCGTCCTGGCATGTCGTCAAGTTCCTCTGATCCCCCTGACTCAGATGCAATGTATATATGAAGCACTAGCATTTCTTCCTTCAGATCCTCTCCAGAGCCCGTGAAACTTGGAAAACGCAAGAATAAGCGGTCAGAGTCACCAGAACCATCAAGGCCTGGCAAATGCAAGCATAAGCATTCCTCTGGTGACACCAGCACCAACAACCTCATCAGTTCCATATCATCAGGTTCTCGCAAGAAGACTACAAGGTATTGTATTTTCAACTGTACAATAAAATTTTGACCTTTGGCAGCAGGAAACATGAAGATTCAAAAACGGATGATGCAGAACTGTACTGAAACGCGGGAAGGAAGGCTTCGAGCCTTCTTGATACATTTGGAGTACCCGCTGCAGCTTTCAAGACTGGTCTTACATTCGACCGAGGTGGTAAGTGCGACCTGAAACAGTACGTGTATTATCTCTATATCTCACATCATGGCTAACTTGCTGCTACAGACCTCAAGATGTTGCCGAGCATCATCTACTATTATACAATGCTATAATAGACTTCATTCCTGGTTTCGACAGCGAGCTCGACAACATCACCAGCAAAGAATTGAATGTGGTCATAGCGATGGTGACTATGTGCATATATGCACCTATATATGCTTATATGCGCCTGTTTTTTTCCCTTGAACCTGACCTAATACTAACTGATCTTCTGCATGATAGGTAGCGAAGGGTATGAGTGAGGGCAGATCTGCGGATCTACACTCTGTGAAGCACAAGGGGCTCCAATATATTCCCCTTAACATGTATAGCAAGGAGCATGCACTTGATCCTCCAATTCCAGAAGTTGAGGATAAGTCGATGTGTGGGTTGAACCACTCCCAGTTGGCTCATTTGCTTTGCCCCCTGCAAAAAACTTGAGTGGTTTGATGAGGACCCTGATTCGTTTGCTTATTTTTCTTTCTTTGATTCTTCATACTGATGCATATTTAGCGCTATGGCTACCATGCAAGCTGGAGAGATAACCATGACAGCACACAACTGGCCGATGTTCTTCTATGAAGACAGCATTTACGACGCTGCCAACAAGACAAAAGGTCTCTTTCGAAATCATACTGCCATACGAGTACGTCATCATCTTCCACATTATCTTTGATTGATAGCGTCTTTAGTTTTACAAGCATCTGTTCATCGGGCCTTCATCTGTCACCAATGACTCATCAAATGTTCGCAACTCTGCCAAACCATCTAAAAACCGTGCATGGGGTTTGACGGCAGTCAACAAATACATTATTGCATATGTGCATATCATTGTAAGTCCAACCCTTCCACGTACAAGTATTGCAATTATCCTCCCATGAACCCATAGGCATACTTTATGATAAGCAGTACTCAGCACTGGATGCGGTATATTGGCGATATGGACCTGGAGGAGCTCCTCTGGGCTATCATCAAAATGCTAGATGATGACAGCGATCCATGGGTCAAAGATACCCTCATGTAGTGGAACAGGTACATTTTTGTGTGTGGTCAGTTCAGTGCTAATTGTTTGCAGTCACCTCAAACCGACCAAGGACAACTTGCACTCTACCAAGCTCGCACGCAAGGAAAGTGAGGATGATCTCGCTCAAATTCGTGCTCAGCGAGCTGCGTGCCATTCTGCATTAGATAAATCCAATGGTAATGTTTGAATTTATATACAATGCTGCTACTGATACTTGATTCACAGTGCCGTCACATGTGGTCAACCCTAACAGGCCTCGAGAGCCCTCAACCAGCAAACGAGCCCGCCCCATAGAACACAACGATGATGGGGATTTGCTACATGCACCCAAACGACTTCGGAGATCAGGCGATGACCTTCCCTCACCACGCCACACCAAGTCCAATGCTCAGCATCATGCCTCAGTTTATGACAACGACGAAGAGGTTGCAGGACTGCAACAACCAACCCACCCTCGACTGCATGGGCGACAGCACCCACTACCTCCCAAGTCCCAACTACGGCACCATGTTGTTATTTCAGATGACGATGAAAATGACGATGGCGACAAGGTGGAAGTGGTAGCGCAACCCAAATAGCCTCGATCCGACCCCTGCATGCCATTGCCCCCTAGATTCAATAAACCTCGATACTCCACTTCTGATCATGGCGAGGCTCCAACTTCGACGCTGACCTGCCCATGGAGCTACAGGTTCCGATGGAGAGGAACACCAACCTCGGCTAAGCGAGCCTCAGCATCCTGCAAGTGCCTCCGTCCACTATGATGATGAGGATCAGCCTCCACGTCCTAAACCAAAACCCAAGCCAAAACCTCGACGCCCTGCTGCTCGCAACGAGCATGAGGATTCACTAAGTGCGCATGTGACTGAGCAGTCGTTGAATGTGATTTGGGTATGCAGCTAGGACCATTTTTTTTCATTATATTGACATTATGATTAGCAGTCTCAGCCAGTGTCTCCCCCTCGATGCCCCTCACCCCCACTGTCAGATCTGACTGACAATGACAACAACTTCTCCCCGCCGACTCCAACAGCTCCCGTTCCCACAAAGAAGAGAGGGAGGAAGAAAATCACCAATCCTGATGCTTCTCGAAGAACCTCTGTATGAAAGAGGGCTAATGGCTATTAGGACTGCATTTCCGAGGCTCTCTCATTGCACTTTCGTTCTCTGTTTCTCACTTTACTGCCTGTGCTGACGCAGACTTAATGCCTGCTTTGGACTTTACCATATGGACTTCATGCAATTCATGTATTTTAGATACCAGTGTTACTACTATGCTAATGCAATGCCTCTTGGGGCCTTCTAATGTACACAAGTCTCGAGTGATCTAGCAAGGCCTGGTATACCCTTGCAAGCTTCGACAGCCTTAGCAGCCTCACAAGGTCAACCTACCTAGCATACCCTCAAAAACGCCATCCTAGACACTGTGACAATCATATTGGCGCTAGGCATGTATACCTGCATAAGCCTTCAATAGGTGAACCAAAGATATCCCTCATATCATTCACTACTCCCCTATCAGCAGTCTTCACTTGTCTCAGCCATAACCCTTGTCCAACGCTATTCCGCACTTTCCCGCACTATGTGCGCACATTCCCGCAGCGCTATTCATGCTCCCGCGACTTATCCATCGCTATTCCCGCGCTTATAGTGCTATCAGAACTACCAGCAATGTGTCTATAGGAGCATTAGTGCATGTCCGCTCTACCTAGCGCTTGTCCGCTCTATCTAGCGCTTGTTCCCGCGCCTAGCGCTAGTCCAGCGCGCTGTTCTCGCGCTCTAGGAATCACCCGAAATGTCAGAATCCATCCATGGTCCATCCTACCTCATTGGTATGTAATTTGCCTTGCCTCGAGTTGTAAAAAGTGCTACAGTCTTATTACATGTATATCCTATCCCTTCCGAGTCCGAGATGGTATAGTTTACTAGTATAAGAAGCCTATGGTGACTACTTCAACATTACTTCCCTTCAACTGTATTTCCTTCCCTTAGGTTTTACTTAGAAGTAGTCACCCTTTAGTTGCGCTCTATGGCCCCTATTTGACTTTCCTTACCCTTGCAATCAATACCTTTGATCTCACTCGCTATCCATTACCCTCCTTTGACTCAGTGTCTGCTTTCTTGACTTCTGCTCTTTCCCGCGCATTAGCACTCTATCTTGCGACGCGCTATTCCCGTGCTTTAGCGCTCTTTCAGGTCTTTTGATCTTGAGTTGTCCTTTGTAGCTTTTCCCTCAGGTCAAACGTTCTTGCTTTATTGTTTGCAAGTATAGCAGCATAGGCAGAGCTTAGACATATACTGGCTTAGTACCTTAACAAGTGCCTAGTCAGGTTGTGTTTTTCACAATGCGCTCTCAGAAGGCCATCCAAGACAGGGCTATTTCCTTGCGAGGCATCACAGGCCTTCCAATGTTCACAAGGTCGTGTATGGTCTTGTTAGGCCTTCTGAGGCCTCGTCAGGTCTGGGCACTTTTGCTGATGCAGTGTCTAGATTTTAAAATAGATAAACAAAGGGCCTTCGTGAGTTTGTAAAATGGAATTTGGTTTATTTGGAAACATCAGCACTGCTTGCAGCTGTGGTTCTCTCCTTTATAATCCTTCAACTTTACAAGTACTGCAGTGTTTTGTGACCTTCAACACACATCTTGCTCTCAAGTGTTATTTTAGACCCATCCCTCAGTCATATGTCAAGCTTCATCCTTGGTCATTTCAGTGAATATCCTCCATCCCTGGGAGAGCGGCCAAGCCACTCAGAATGCCCCCAGGATCCAGGACAGACAAACCTTGTGACCAGTGAAATGTTACAAGTTGCCATCAACAGTATGTGTCATCTATCTTCATTTAGCATGAATCAATGGATGACTTCCCGCAGCGTTTGGAACATCGCTCTAAATCTAAATCTATCTTCCAAAGTCCTTGTGCCGACGTGCCGACGTCAAACGTCAGTGTTTTGTAAGTCCGCATGTGCAACACGCCCTGTTCCAGATTGATACCTGGAAGGGGGGGTACCCCCCCTTCCAGCTTCAAATTGTGTTCTAAATGTTGAATTTGAACCCCGTGATGACATCTAACCATCTGCTTGACACCTCAGCCAGTACAAACGATGATGACGAGAGGTGAATATCATGTTTTCAGGGCGCGAGGACATGGCAAATGACCACTGAATATGAGACTTTCACTCCGACTAACATATTGAACAAGCAAATTTTCACTAATCAAACATATTATCCAGTGGCTCCCATCATTTTTTTCGCTCACCATAAAGCTTGCAGTCCATGCTCATACTCAGTTGCAGGTAACCATCATGGGTGAACCGAACATGGGCCCTCCTACTAGTAGTACCCCCATTAACTATCCTGGCTTTAGCCCTGTGTTTGGCAGCTTTGATGGGCACTCTCAGGCTTCGTCTGTTTTCTCAGGTATGTGTCTTATTAAATTTTGTGCTCTCGAACACTAACCTCGCTCTAGAATCAATTTACCTTTCCTGTTCCTGGGCCTCCTGCTGGATATCACGCATACCCAACCCCTTTGACTCAGACTTCAATGGTTGATCATCAGATTGATCCTGCATTGTTGGATGACGATGACGAGACAGATGAGGCTGACAAGGAATTTCCACCAGTGTCTACTTTGCTCCAGCAAGCCGCCAAACCTGCAAGGAAGATTGCGGGGAGCCGCTGAGCCAATGCTGCAGTCATTCCTGCCAAAGTGAAGGGCAAGGGACGTGCAATTGACGAGGCTGTGCCCACCAGCCACAAGCAGAAAGCTCTGTCCTGCAACCCCTGCCACTGAAGTCACCAAAAAGTCCGCGCGTGGCGGCCATCAGCAGGGTGCCCCAAATTACAACAAAGAGGACATCAGTGCCCTTCTTACAGCCTGCGGGGAGCATTTGCCGGTGGGTGCAAAGAGCTGGAGTGCCATTGAAACGACCTTTGGTCAGTGGGCTGATGAAAATTCTCGCCCTGCTCGTTCTGCAAAGTCTCTTGAATTAAAATTCAAGCAGGTAAGCTATTTCCATCAATTACGACTTTGTATGGTACTGAAATAATCTTCTTAAGCTGGTTCATACTACCAAACCCACCGGAGATGCTGAGTGTCCCCCTCACATTGAACATGCTCATCAAATCGACAGCGACATTAACGAGAGAGCTGGTACACAAGACCTTGATGACAAGGATATTGCAGATGAAGTTCTTGTCATTAGTGACCAAGAGGATAACCTGCAGCCAAAGGCTTGTAACCCTAGAGTCTTGGTCAAGCAAGAGCCATGAGAGCTGGGTCCTATTGCTCGTCATTCTGTCACCCCAGCTCCGTGTGCATCACGCAATTCACATACCCCAGGCCTTGAGCTTCTGACAACAATCTCGACTTCACTTGATCCCCATCTCCAAGCTGCTCAAGATGACGAACAGACGGCACGCACGCTGCAGTCCACACAAGTCATGTCACTCTCAAACCAGTTGCGAGATGCCCACATGACCATCAATAGCCTCCGTGATCAACTCCTGCAGGCCGAACGTGAGTGCAGCAATGCAGAACGTCGTGCTGACCACTTTGAAATGCAGTTGCAGATGGCACAAGTTCTCCGTGGGCAAGACCAACATCCAAGTCAGCCTGCACGATATGTCTGACGTGAAACTAGATATGCTGATGGAGGTGCATCTACAATTTGGGTCAACCCTGATGAAGACGAAGATCCCTTTCATCACCCTGATGAACATCGTGATATAAAGTCCCAGCAGGACTATGTTGAAGATCCCACCACTGGCTGTTATACTCATCATCAGGTGTCTGTTTCACCAATTCCTGCGCGTCACACCAATCGGTTCCAGCCCATCACCCCTCGTCAATCTTCAAGTTCATGTTTCAATGTCTCCTTCACACCAACAGTCAGCTCACTCTAACGAATTCTCCATTGTTGTCTCACTGTCTCATGCAAACAGTCCAAATCTCCAAAAAAATGCTGAATGATTCAAATTTTATATTACTATGTCTGTACTATTCAAATGTCAGATGAAATCAAGCTACTCGGTCATTGTCACATTGATATGAAAATAACATTTCCTCAAAGTGGGCCCACACTTGCTGATCCTCCTCATCTCCTTGCCATATTGGCATGTATACAGACCGAATCTGATTGATCCCAACCATACGAGCACGAACATTGTTCAACCGAACACATGCCTCTAGAAGGTCCTGACACTGTTCACTGAAATTGATGTCTAAGGGGATATGAAGACGCCCAAAAGAACCTTGCAATGCACGCATGCCCCATTCAGCTGTCTGGCGAAAGGACAAAAGCTGACGGTCAAACGCGAGTAGTTTGTCCCTTTCAATCGGATTTGCAGGGAGGCGCTGCCTTGCCTTGATGGGAGCTTTGATGCGGCCAGAGATCTGGTCTGTGCCTCACGGGCAAGCCATATCAGCAACAAGGTAATAATCGTCGGGGGTGTCTTTTCGCAGCTTTTCATAGATTGGCTGGGCCACCCGTGAGTCATGCCAGCTGCCTGGTCCATTCAGACAGCATTGAATTATGGCACCTGCATGGTAACAATAAGTATATGAAGATAGCACAACTCTGACAACTGACCATCAGCACCAAACGCAATGACTGAACTCACAAAATGATCATGCAGCCACCCATTATAGGTCGCATTCTTGATCTCTTGATCCAGGGATGTCTGTACAGGTAGGTTTAATCCATCCAGGGTGCCAAAACCTCCTGTCAATAAGGGATGATGTGTGACGATGAGATCATTCAAAACTTGAAAATCATCGCTGGATGGCCAGCAAATAAAGGCTTCAGGGATGTTTTTGAGAGCACGAAGGAGGATGGCAAGCAAAAAACGGAGGTAACGCGAGACAGTGGTAGGAATCAGGGCAAAAATCTGCATGAGACTGACTTCTCGCATGGTTGAGTTGAGCCAATGGAGCACAAGGCCCAATGCACCTGCAGCATCGAGAGAGCGTCATTGAACACAGGGGACAGCAGTTGCAGGTGTGTCATCGCGTGGGATGGGAGTGGTGTCCCAGAGGGTCCTGAATCCAGATCTAAGGATATGATTGAAAGTTGGGGTGTCAACACCCATTGTTGTGATGAATGCATGGTCATTCTGAGCTGCATAGAGTGCTTGCCAGGGTGTACTGACACGAGGATTCGGCAGGAGATCACCTCTCACAAGGTATGTATGGTGTGCTTGTCGGCGCTCAGAACGCTGGTGCTGTGAGTGGTCCGCTCCTACAAACATGAGTGCCCCAAGAACCCCAAGTTGGCGCTGTCATGCTTCATCGTCATCTTCATCAGACTCGGTATCAGCCAGTAGCAAGAGATACAGCTGATTTTCGTCACAGTCATTGTTTATGGCCATGGTGTGGTAGAATTGGAATGTATTGTCAGAAAGTACATATCACATTGCCCGCGGTTTGGAATGAGTATCTAGATTATTTTCTAGACTTAGCCGGAACTCCGCCGTTAAGGTTTGAATACAAGTCTGGAACTCCAAATCCTGCGGAAAGTCAGCCAATGATTACTCACAGCGATTCTGGCGACACTTTTTTCGTCATTACTCTGCTCTTTCGTTTTGTGACAGACTCCATGCTAGACCCACTCGATGATAACCTCCAAGCCCTGGGTGAGGAACCAAGCCACCCAGAATAATCCCAAGGCCCGGAAGACACACACATCACGGGAGTGCAACAAGTCGTCATTACTGGTATGTGATATTTATATCTGCTCAGCTCATATTGATGATTTCCCTCAAGTTATTCGTGCCGTTGGTCTCACTCTTGGCCTCCGACGGATCCCCGCTGGTTTCCATGTGGTAGTAAAGACCGACGGTGCTGAATTCCAGACGAGCAACAAACTCGTACACATCGATCAGGCTGTCGTCGAATGGAATGAGCCCATACTTCTGTGAGTTGTCCTTAATCTCATCTTTCCTATAGGTATTGAGAGACTCTAGGCCGTGCGAGACATATTCTAAAGTTCAGGTCAGCGTGTATGCCTCATTTGAATTGGGTCCCGTGCTCTGTCATGGAGAGGTCCTCCGCACATTCGAGATCTCCATCGGAGAATTACTGGACTGCAGTGAAAAGTCACGTCGTTAGTAATGTCTTTTGTGAATAACACCCGACAGATGTTAACGAGTATCACAGCCATAATATTTCAGCCCAAGCAGGAGGAAGTTGTATCTGCATGTACTTCACTGTTCATGACAGTGGAGCAGCGACTTTCTGATAAAAACGATGTCGCAGTTCTTTGCCCCGCTAATACTGTGAGTGATCAATGCAATCTGCCATTCTGATGCTGAGAGCTTGTAACGTGTAGCTTACATCCCACGATATGGATGTGTTAGCACTAAATACGGATGCCGGGCATCGTCTTCTTGCGCGATACTGCAGGATGCAGAACAGTAGGGATCTCGACCAATCGATAAACCACTTTGAATGCACCTTGGATCTCTGCCCCGTGGACCACCCCTACCCGCCCTGCAGCGCTGTTCAATCCAGCCACTGCAGAGTTTGTTAGTTGCCAAGCTAACAGAACATACTTCGACTTCAATATACCTATCTCTCTTTTTCAAGGCGCCTTTGATTTGCGTCCCACTGATCATCCGGACCGAGCCATCACCCAGCTCCATCTTGCCATTGCTCTGCTTTCTTGCTTCGCAAAATGGGGATTTCAAACTGATGCTGATGCAGCGAGAGAGTTACTAAGCGAAGTCCTTGATGTCTGCCACGCTAACAGCCACATTTACAGAGCAGCGTTGACTGCAATCGAAACATCCGCTCTACATTCAGCCAGAAGCATTGACGAAATAATCTTGGGTGGGAGCGACCCGCCGCATCCATGCTTCCGTTATCGACGAATCAACTTGCTGACCGAGCAAAGTGGTGTATGCAGAGAGATGAACTCTGTGCCTTAGACGAAGTAATATCCCTTCATTATGATGCACTGGGATACTACGATACTGGGCATGCTTGCCGAGAGCCATTGCTGAATAATCTGAGTGTAATGCTGATCACTCACTTCCAATGTCGAGGCAATGACGAAGACTTGGACCAGGCTATCGCATTTCAAACGAAAGCACTGGCTTTGCACCCGGTCGGTCACACAGATCAGTCCATGTCGTTATATAACCTTGCAAATCAACTCTCCACCCGCTTTGAACACCGAGGCAACGACGAAGACTTAGATTGGGCTATCGCCACAGGGAAGCGCTGGCTTTGCACCCAGTCAGTCGCACAGATCGGTCCAGGTCATTAAATAACCTTGCGATTCAACTCTCCATCCTCTTTGACCACCAAGGCAACGACGAAGACTTGGATCAGGCTATCGCACTTCACAGGGAAGTGCTGGCTTTGCACCCCGTCGGTCACACATATTGGTCCTCGTCATTAAATAACCTTGCAAATCAACTCGCCTCCTGCTTTGACCACCGAGGCAACAACGAAGACTTAGATCAGGCTATCGCACTTCACAGGGAAGTGCTGGCTTTGCACCCCGTCGGTCACACAGATCGGTCCTCGTCATTAAATAACCTTGCAATTGAACTCTCCACCTGCTTTGACTACCGAGGCAATGACGAAGACTTAGATCGGACTATCACACTTCAGAGGGAAGCGCTGGCTTTGCACCTGGTCGGTCACACATATCGGTCCATGTCATTAAATAACCTTGTGAATCAACTTGCCTCCCGCTTTGACCACCGAGGCAATAGAGAAGACTTCGACGAGTCACGAGACAAGCTACGCTGTGCATTGACTCTGTTGATGCCGCATGATCCTCGTCAATTAGTAGTCCAGGAGTCGCTAGCTGAGGTCTTTCTATCATTTCATCATTCAAGGCTTGATGGCACCAGCGCGGGCAAGGACAATGATAATCTGAATGCTGCTATGCATCATCTCAAGGCAGCAGCAAATGTTGTCTCTGGAGGCTCGCTATCTCGCCTGCGAGCAAGTCTGAGCTGGGTTCGCCATGCTCATCAACATTCGCATGGTACTGAATTGGAGGCTCGTGCGACTTCCATGCAACTTTTGGATGCTTACACGTCCACAACAGCTTCAGTATCGTCTCGTCACAATATCATGAAGGACTTCTCAAATACACTTGCTGTGGATGCTGCATCATGTGCTCTTCATAGTGGTGATGTGTGTCACACTGTTGAGTTGTTGGAACAAGGTAGAACTATCATCTGGACACAGATGACACGACTCCGCACGCCTCTTGACAGCCTCCAGACACGCGGCGATCACGCAGCAACCCTGATGAAGGAATTCAGAGACCTCAGCTCCCTCCTCAATAAACCTCCTGCGAACTATCTGGAAGCAACCACAAGAATCAATGTAGAAGCAGAAGAAACCCGGTACAGACGTTTGGTAAAGGACTGGAATGGAGTTGTAGAAGAGATCCGGAAGATTGAGGGCTTCTCTCGCTTCCTCCTTTCCCCCTTATTCTCCGATCTTCAAGATGCAGCTCGTGATGGGCCTATCATCCTGCTCATCGCAAGCAAGTCGTCTTGCGATGCCATTATTATCCCGCACAAGCAACCTCTGAGTTGTATTCAGCTGCCTATCAATTTTAAGATACTCCAGAGATTGGTGCTCGCACTCCGAGAGGCAATTGAAAAAGAGGCTGGTCCTAAAGGGAACCAACCAGCACTGATAAAAGTTTTAAGGGAGTTGTGGGAAGATGTCGTCCGCCCGGTGGTCGAGAATCTGGGTGGATTTGCACGATGAGGTTCCCGAATATGGTGGTGCCCGACGTCTCTCTTCAATTTCTTGCCATTGCACGCTGCTGGCAAGTACAGGGCAAATGGAGAGTCCCTTTCACAGCAATATATCTCTTCATACACGCCATCACTTACTGCATTAATGAGGGCTCGCAGAAGTCATGACAGGTCACTGTCGGTGTCCTTCGCTGCCATTGGCCAGAATCGCCCAGCCAGTGCTTCATTCACTTTGGACAGTGTGGAGCCTGAGCTGGAATTGGTGCAGAGTCTTTTGCCCCATCCTCCAACTGTTTCCTTCACCAAGATAACCAGTGTTGATGCCACGAAATCGAGAGCACTGTGCGCGCTGCAAGATAATACTTGGCTCCATTTCGCATGTCATAGGACACAGAAATTTAAGGAACCCTTCAAGTCAGCCTTTCTTATGCGTGACCACCCGCTTTCACTCCTCGATATCACCCAAATGGATCTCTCTCAGCATCAATTTGCATTTCTTTCTGCCTGTAAAACCGCAGTCGGTGTCCCTAGAACACCTGACGAAGTGATACACCTGGCGGCTGGCCTGCAATTCGCTGGGGTTAAGAGCGTCGTTGGGACATTATGGAAGGTCAACGATAATACTGTGCAGCGCTTAGTCGGGGCATTCTACAAAAACTTGTGCAAGGATGGCACAATGAATTCCAAACGAGCTGCCCCATCACTGCACCAAGCGGTGCAGTCGTTGGCCTGCGACAAGGACATGCCCTTGGACCAGCACATAGTGTTCATCCATATCGGTGTATAATCAATTTTGTGCGTACTCCCAGCTTGTTGATTAACACGTTAATCTAACAACTTCGCGTGTAGCATCCAACCGCGATTACGTGCAACCTATCATGAAGATAATTTTTCATATTTCAGACATTTTGGACTGTATACCTTCTCGACATGCACACCCAATGTAGACTTATATTTGTATATCCCAGTCTGTTGCCTCGGAGCCAAATGTGATCACTTGATGCTTTGTAGGTAAGAATGAAGTCGCGCAACATTGATCTGACATCACACCTACTAGAACACAATTTGCGATGGACGTGATAGTCGAGTGTCTGAATTGTTTCCAAGTATTCTTTTGGTATTCGGTATTCTGGCTACGGTCGAGTGACATTAGATCATTGATCCAACACAGCCTATGTCGGCCTCGTGGCAGACATTGTCAATTACGGCACGAGCAGAATCCACGACCTTTCTTCTGATTCTTCTGATTCATGTACACGCTGATCAGTACAAATGCAACCAAAAGTACATACATGCGTCGCATCCAATTGCCTGCCATAAAACACGATCACGTGTGTAGCGACGAGGGCAGTCGTACAAAGAAAGTATGAGCTTGTACAAAGAGGGGAGAAAGGGGCGATTGTGCAAAAAAGGAGGGGGGTTTTGTGCAAAGAAAGAACGATTAAATGATATACTGGCGAATAGATAGAACAAGGTCGTCAATGAGCTTAAGGAGCGAATAGCCAGTTGGAAGAGAGAGAATCGGAGAGAAATCTCCTGTGCGTTGAATGGAGAATTTCCCCCATACGTAAAAAACCATTCCAAGGAGTCGCAGAGACCGATATTGATGAGATAAAGAAACTGAAAAATAGGGAGTGTGAACTATACGTTTCATGGCACGAACGAGAGTGACAGTGACCGCTTAAAGAGGAGAACGAAGGAGTGTGCAAGCGTGCATTATCACGCATAATGGCGAACGAATGAGCGAGTGTGGGCGTCCTAGAAATAAAGAATGAAATAGGGATTGTCAGTATATACAAAGTGAAAGACATGAGAGACATACCTTTGAGGATTGGAAAATCAAAATCATTGATCAGGAGTGAGGGGGTGGGCGGGAACGAGATAGGCGGAAGAAATAGGAGAGAGGTCAAAATGTGGGGTGGAGGCAAACAGGATGAACAGATAAAAACTCGCAAACAAAGTACCGAAACTAAATCAGTTTTCAAAAAGGTGACAGTAAGAGAAGATTGAGAAAAATAAGCAACCATAAGTCAGAAACGACAAACAGAAAAGACGCCAAGCAGAAAGAAACCAAAAGCCCTCGTCAGATGAAGCAGATAGAGCGATCGTAAAAGACGTACAAGTACATCGAATTCCAAGATATACAAAGATGAAGCCAGAGGGGGCGAAGAAATCAAAAAAAATGAAGCATTGAAGATAGGATAAGATAGATGTCTGGGAGCACAGCTCACACCAGACCGTCAAAAGTGAAATCAAGCAAGCTGGAACGCACTCCCAAGCACCACCATCCCACTCTCGCCAGATAAAACAGGACGATATCCTACGCACGGCACGGCGAAGTGTGCGTGGACGCGTCTGGGTAGCGAGCAGATGTGTAGCAGGCATACTTGGGGATGCAGTCACAGGAGATCTGATGGGAGACGACAGGGGGATATGTGACAGAGGAAATGGAGTCACCTGTGGACACGGGAGTTCAGGACCAAACATTGAAGGGTTTCACATGAGGTTGCGACGGATGGGCTTTGGCTTTTCGCCGTCATCTTCTTCGGTTCCTCCATCTCCTTTGGCTTGGGTTTCACCTTCGGCACGGGCACAACAGATATAGAGAGCGAGACGGATGTTGCAGCAGCCTTTACGCTCGCCGTTGAAAATTCATTGTCATCATCCGACGATCTAGAGGAAGCTTTGGACAGTGAAAAAGTGCTGCGCCCCAACTCGTGTTTCCTAGATAGATCCTTATGCACAGACGATGTATAATGAGATAAGGGGATGGAATAGAGGGAGGGACGTACAGAGCAATGCTCTCGTTATGGTCAGCCTTTAGTAAGTCGGTCATGAAATCCATGCTGGACTGCCTATATAGTGGTGGCGCTTAGGAGTATTTGTGAGAAAGATAACGTCCTTGTCAATAATAGACTTCCTCCGCTCCTCCATTGCTCTTGCGCGGACCGGTCGAGTAATTTAGCGCGTGTCGCGGTGACAGAATGGGGCCAGTCATTTGAGCCGTTGGCAGCAGTGATACCGCGTGCAATCTTGACAAGAAGGTTTGGGGGCGGAATTGAGCAGTTGAAAGGCGTAATAAGATGAGAAGGTAGGGCATCCAAGCTGTCTGGGGCAAATTTTAGGTCAATTACTTGACGAAACACGAAAAAAAAACCCACCCTGCCAACCAATCTAACCTCATCCTCCCACTAGTCACTAGTGGGAGTACACAAGAAACACAATACGTCTGATAAGGCTCATACGGACGATACACAATTGTTGGCCACAGCGAAGGGTATCGAGACGAAGGTAGGCATTGATAGCGTTCATTGTCGTCTATTTTCCAGCAGGTAAAGCGGATAGCGCCAGCGGTGCATGTCGTACGTAGGTGTTGTCCTCAATCGCGCACTCATTCAAATCATCTCCCACATCTCCGACCGCCCTGAAGTCGAATCCAAAATCCACCAAGTCCAACACATACACAGACTAATTGGATAGAAGACAGTTATTTTCTTCAAGATTCTTGATCGCTCGCAGAATTGTACAGTGGCTCAAAAACTGTCCGCATGTTTTGACATTTTTCACTATCTATGATATTGTGTGAGAATGAACAAATTCCTCAAGGACATACTTATACCACATTGTAGTATGGCTTCAGGGCTTTTATTTGAGCCCTACACCGTGGGAATCGGCGGAGATATGGTGGAGATATAAGGCTTATAAAATGATGACTCATGTGGACAGTTTTTTGAGTGTATATTAAAACTATATAAATCATTATTTATGACACCATAAAAATCATGCCACTATTATATAAATTATAAAGTGGTGTCATTATGTTATTTTATGACTATATCTAACTATATAAACCAGAATATCTCATGTATCATAGTCATAATCACCATGAAAGCCATCTCCTCTGCTCAAAGAGATAATATCCTCTCTCTGTCTTATGCTGGCCTCTCTGCTCGCCAAATTTCCTCTAGAACTGGAATATGCAAGTCCACTGTGGCCAAGTTCATCAAAGAAAGCCACCCAGACAAGGAAAACCCTTGTGGAGGACGTCCATCCAAGCTTACCTCTACTGACAAAAGGGCTATTATCCAACATATCACTACAGGAAAGGCTGATAATGCTGTCCAAGCCACCCATTATATCAATTCCACCATCACTACCCCTGTCTCTTCACAAACTGTGAGGAATGTTCTCAAGGCAGCTCATCTCAAGGCAGTAACAAAGAAGAAAAAGCCTCTTCTCTCCATCAAACATAGGCAGAGAAGACTAGCCTTTGCCTTAGCTCATCAACACTGGACTGTAGAGGACTGGAAGCATGTTATATGGTCAGATGAGACCAAAATCAATAGGATTGGGTCAGATGGGAAGGTGTATGTATGGAAAAAGAAGGGAGATGGCCTAACAGACAGAGAGGTTAATGGGACTGTCAAGTTTGGAGGAGGTTCTTTAATGGTATGGGGCTGTATGTGATGGAATGGTGTGGGAATGCTTGCTGAGGTTGAGGGAAGATGAATGCTGAGCAGTATGTGGACATTTTAAATGATCACTTGCTGCCTAGCTTGGCAGAATCAGGGATTGATGAAGAAGATATCATTTTCCAACAGGATAATGATCCCAAGCACACATCCAGAAGAGCTAGGGAATGGTTTGAAGAACATAACATCAATGTTCTTGACTGGCCAGCACAGTCTCCTGATGTCAATGTCATTGAACATCTCTGGGGAACACTCAAGAAAAAGCTTCAAGCCTATAAAAACCCCCCTAAAGGAGTATGGGAGCTTTGGGAGAGAGTAGCAGTGGAATGGGGGAAGATCACAGCTGAGGATTGCCAGAAATTAATTGAGAGTATGCCTAGAAGGATAGAGGCAGTAATTAAAGCCAAGGGAGGTCATACAAAATACTAGAATACCTGGTTATTACTGTAAAATACTTGAGTCAAAAAACTGTCCGCATGAGTCACCATTTTGTGAGCCTTGTATCTCCACCATATCTCCACCGATTCCCACGGTGTAGGGCTCAAATGAAAGCCCTGAAGCCATACTACAATGTGGTATAAGCATGTTTTTGAGGCATTTGTTTGTTCTCACACAATATTATAGATAGTGAAAAATGCCAAAACATACGGACGGTTTTTGAGCCACTGTACATGCTACCTGCGTCCACTGGTGGGTGAAATGTGCACCGAACTTTGAAAGACCGAGAAACGAAGAGATACCTGCTGGGAGATGAATGAAAATATATATGTTGACGGCGACGCTCTGGCACAGAACTGGAGGGCAGTTCTTTATTTGAATAACGAATAGAAGAGGGTTTGCTACCACGGAGAGTTACCCAGAGATCACTGTGGATAGTAGTTCCAGTGAAATTCATTGGGTGAAATCATATGATAATGGTCTGAAACTCAGAGCATTAGGTGCTGAAATCAGGGTGCTGAAATTGCTGTTTTTTACTCTGAAATTTTACTCTGAAAAGATACTCTGAATTTATGTTAGGATGACAAGCAAAACCGTTGAACCATACCCTAGGAACATCACTTAACCCAATTTACCTATGATAGGTCATAGGTTGCAAATGGCGGGAATTGAACCAAAGACCTCATGTTGATAGGTGCAGCAATCTAACCACTAAGCCATAAGCCCTATACAATGTGTACATGGTGACACCAATATATACCAAAACGATGTCATAACAAAAATGTGAAAATTCTGCTGTGACGGTGCCAGGTCATTCAATTATCGAGCTCCACAGCAGATTGATCTCCTGAGCTAAAATGCTAGTAGGATTGGAGTATGGTGCTGAATTCTGATTCAGTATATTTTCCACTGAAATTCAAAATCAGCGCTCCAATGAAATTAACTGCATGCAATTTCAGTGGAAGTTACTCTGAAATATTCAGCATCAGCACATTTTCCAGTGATTTTCATTGGAACTACTATCTACAGTGAGATTGATCCAGTTAAAACTTAGTACTTAATGTTTGACGTGCCTGTTTGGCGCTACTCTGTAGTGCACGTGCATGAGGCAAGCGTCTATGGTGTCTCACGCTTGGTGGGTGTATTTTGATTTGCTCAAGGCCCCGGTGTCGATGTTGTATCATAGTTGTAGCAACAGCTGGCCTGATACCATAATTACAGAGAAAGATTGTTATGGTATATTCATTACACATACAAATGATGTACAAGTATCCAGTAGATCTGCACCGATTGGCTTGACTGTATTATACTTATACGAACGTGCACGACAGTCCAAGTAATGAGCCCAAATAAATAGTCCAGATGAACAACCATGTACCAGTATACCACATATATCCAGATATCAAAGAGCGTCGGTAGAGATGTGCGTGAGATGAGATGAGATGATATGGACGTCAGACGGATGTGCTATAACCGCATAAGAATGGATCCACATAGTTATTCCGAGTGGGGCGGGACACAGTAATGCTCTTAATAAAGTCCACATCCAGCTCCGTCAATGAATGTCAATAACATCAACAGTATCAGGATGCTCGCAAGATATCGAAAATCGCCATGAGGGAGTGACGACTTCATTACGCGAACCCAAGGATGACGAGTTCCTGTCAGGGCTGTCGCTCCGAGGTAGGTTATGATGCAAACCAGTAACGATTTGGCTCCCGCGGGCAATGGTGCCAACACCTGCCATGCCAACACCAACCTCCGCAACGTCGCTGTCACTGCTCTGCGTGCTGCTTCTTCGGTGATGTCGGTCTGTGAGTAAGGGAACAGATGTGCTTTCCGGTATGCCACCGATTCCATCCGACGTCCGTCGATGGTTCGTGGTCAAAAAATCGGGGGAAGTGGGAGAATCGGGCAAGGGCGCATCAGTGCCTACAATCGTATCTCGATTCGCAGCATAAGGATCCCAAGGATCGCTCAGGTCGAATACCGACGGAGGCGAGTGGTCGTATTTGACATTCCATTCCCCAAACTCATTGACTGGATCTAGCTCGACACGGGTCCCGTTTGAGTCAAAAGTATACTCGGACACTTTCTCTTTCCTCGTTGTGTGTGAGCTGTACGCAAGCGTCCTGAGAGTACTGGCGGGAGGAGCATCATCGCTCGACTGCGAATGCCGCCTTGTAAGCTGGTAGGCCCTATACTCGCCTTCGCCTTTCTTCCCTCCATCCGTGTCAACCATTCCCTGTTTCTTCCACTGCCGCCGTGTCATGAACCATTTCAGTCCAAAAAGTGTGACACATAGCGCGAAGAAGCCGATTAGACCAATAAGAACTTCGAGGCCCACCGACATCTTCGTATCATTTGAAGAAACGGCCTGTTGTGACGGTGTGCCGTCGAGCGGCTGATTGAGGACGCGCACGTTGTTGAACTCATCAAGCGCTTGGGTTATATTCGTGAGTCCCATGAGTCCGAGTGTTGGGTGGATTCCAGTGTAGACAGACATGTTAAAGGGTGGGGGTTCATATGCAAGCACGGTGTAGACGTTGCGCATGAAAGGAACGCCGAGGACCATATCCCCGACGCCGGAAGTGGGGGTAAGTTGCGAGTCGTCAGCTTGTATAAGGCCGACACAGTATTGGGAGTTTTGCTGCCCAGACGGCTCGCTGGTGAGGTCGAGGGGGTGGATGGGTAGCTCGGGTTGGCCGTCGAGAGTAATGGTCATGTTGAGTGGCGTTGTACAAGGGACATAGTCTAACAGAATCAGCTCATGGATTACGAGCTAAGATGAATAAAATACGCACAATTACCGTCTGAGGCTGGGCTTATGCCCAGTGCGCCGTATATTCCGTTTGCGATAGGCGATGTCGTGATGATAAATGGCATCCCAGAATCGAGCAGCGCAGTGGGGAAGGCAGCGCCAGTAACAGACTCGCCTAGTACTACAGGACGTGCCTGACCATTTACGTAGACCGTGATGGCTTGAACATTCGTTTTCCAAAACAATATGCCAGCGTCCTGGCTAACAAGTGTCGAATACTTTATTTGCGAAGGATCTGGAACCACAGACGAAGGGTGCATACCGATTCCGAGAAGTGATGGAAGTGCATCCGAACCAGGACGGGCAAAAGTAAGGGAGAAGAATGGCTGTGATGGAGCTGAGGAGGTGGGAGTCATGGAAAACAGATTCGAAGAAAATGATGCGCCGTCTGGGTTGTTGTTCGTAGTCGGGGGGATCTCTTGCTCGATGACCGAATTGAGGGGAAGAGCGAGACCGAGGATGCCGTCAAAATCTAAGCTGAGGGGTTCATCAGATACCATGTTAGCAGCGGCTGTAAACGTTGATAAGCATGATGTAATACAAAAAATGACAGAAAACAAACCCAGCGCTTGATTCTGTACATTGTATGTCCCAAGCTGGACTGTATCCCATACTATGGGCCCGCTGACGGATCCGGAGAGGTAACTGATGGTAAAACTAGCGTTAGTTGGCGTTGAGGAGGTCGGATCGTATAGGCGACCACTCGTGGATGAACACGACGCAGTGGAACACGATGTTGATGCGATCCACTGTATTTTTAGTAATTAGAAAGGCTGTGTAGCCAAGGAAGGCACGGCTTACAAGGTCCGACGAGCCTGTATCAACCTGAAGGGAAAGGTTTTGCTGTGCTGAGCCTGCTAACACGGGCACGGTATAGGCACTATATTGAAGCGATGAGCATGAAGAAAAAATGCGGGACCCAAAATAAAATCAGAAGGTAAATTTTTTAAACCGTTCGAAAGGCAGGGCCGGACTCCGGATATAATGATTCAAAGTTCGTATGAATAGTTCAAAGACTCACACTGAATCATAGCTAGTAGTCACCATCTCGAGGTTTAACACCATGCCACCAGCACCACCGGTACCCTCGTCTCGAGCACGTTGCTTGCCTTCCGCCCTGGAAGAAACACGGGCGCCTTTGAGTAGGGTCATCATTCACTAAGAGGATATAAACAGCGGTCTGAAAGGTCAGGGGTTATAGGAAGCCTGAGCCACGAAATATAGTGGACTTACAGAGAGGGAGGAGATACAGGGAAGGCCTGGATGAGATTTTGAACGTCTAAATGAAAGCCGATGAGGACATGCAAGCTTGGTAGTACCGGTAGATGCGCCTAATAGTCGTCCTTAACTGAGAGGTAGGCTCAAGACAGCACGAAGGGGAATGAATGAGAGCGCGGAGAATAACTTGCAGGAATAACAGAATGGGGTAAAGAACGAGGCGATGCCAGTGATTCCAAATGTCACTCGAGCGCTGTACATAAAAAGTTCCGTCAATGGTAACATGTCAGGAAAGACGCCCAAAAGTCAGGTTTGAACATACCGCAACCAAAAACCAGACTTACTATTATTGATATTGTATCAAGTCAATGTAAAGATCGTTAAGAGGGTATCCTTGTTTTTGCGGGCGCGCTCGCCGTCCCGCCCGACGCGTTTGGCAGCGTTGCAGTTTGCAGCGACCCTGCATGATCTTCTTTAGGCACTTTATTCGCACACTCTACGGGCTTTTGAAGCCTAAACACAAAGTGCCAAGCTCTTAGCTGTCAAAACCATGATGCACCGTTACAATCATCATACAGGCACATCTTTGTCCACACTCACCACGGCTCTCACTCTATTATTATGTAGGTCAGGCACTTACCGAAGGATCAAACTTGGCGCGAACGGAATACCTTCACGAACTTTCCCTACTTCCCGTAAGGAATACTAGAACAATCTGATGGGACCTGTGGACGACTCACGATGGGAAACTTGCTACCAGTAACCAAACCCGTGACCTTCGCGTAGCAGCATGGCGAATGTTGCAGAAGACGGACGACTGACAGTGACAGGTAAAGTAGAGCAGGAAGCCGCATCGCGAAGCCGCGAAGAGGTCGATGATTGGCGACTTTCACTGAACCAGAGTACTAGCCGCTGTCGGCGACCCTCACCCGCGATTATCTTCAATCTTGTATCCTTTTGAGTTTGTTTAAATATATGCTAATAACTGATGTAGCAGCTTAAATAGAATTCTTATACCGCCAGTAAGTACAGATTTTGGTGTGGCCAATGCTGCGCAACGTAGTATTAAGGGGTGCACGCTGTGCTCCACATCCTCCCATCCTTATCACGATATGTCCTATTTCGACATGAAGTTGAGGCGGATCCAGGCTTGAAGCTGTACCTGAACAGCATTCGTCGAGAGTTCCCCGATGGGGCAGATAAATATATGAAGCCCAATCTTGATGCATTGATGCCTGCCGTACGGGTTGATACTTTGCACAGTGCTAAAAATTACTGCAAATGATCATGCACTACTTATTGATTGATTATGGAAACAAAACAACCCTTGAAGCTCGAAGCTTGATTGAGTACCCTGCAACTTCTTGCCGTTGGCATGGCGCTGGAAGTCCATGGATATCTAGCAACGCGTTTACCGCGAAACGGCATGCTATCATACGCCAAACTTGTCGCCGAGTTGAGAAGTCGGTTTCTGCTAAATTGCGGGAACTACAACTGCTCCACGCCTCGAACCAAAGTCAGGGTTAGTATCTTATCAGCCGCTATTGGCTTAGGAAGCCGCACGCACCACCATATGAATATCAGATGATAAAATTGTTATCCAAACGGCTCTCGACCAATCCGCAAAGTCGATAAGGACATCACAACATTGTCAAAGTCTCCCTGGAAGCCACGACTCGGCTCCATTTAAAATAGAGCAGTCGGAGATTATAAGGTGTGCTCACCTTCATATCCTGCCTTCCACCATTCCACATTAGAATCTAAAGAACCACTGACTCATGGCGATACCACAGGAACGACTGGGAGAAGAGTTGATGATAGATCTCCGACACGTTGAAAGCAGGGGCTAGCCTACAAGTTATAAAAGGATCTATTTGTGACATACTGGTCATGATCGAGAACACGACGTAAAAATAATGCGTTCAGTCAAGGTCTCATCGATAAGACTTTGACTGAATACAGTTCTTATCGCTGTGGTCAATGTCCTGGTGGTAGCACCGTTGATCAAGAGTCTGCCGTCAACAGACCGTTAGGGGGCAAGTACATCCTGAAGCTACGTACTTGTTGGTTTGATTCTATAAGCGGCTTTGCGATGGCGATAGAGTGGCTCACCAAGTCTTTGCAATAATTGATTTCCTGAGTCTTGAAGCTTGACGATTCGGAATTTCCCGTTTTGAGTTTTGATTCTGACTCGGCCATCCTTTCCTCACCTAGGTCGCCAGCTATAAAGCATGGCTACGAAATACACTGCTAGGGCAAGCGCCTCGACTTCTAGCCGTGGAAGATTTTCCTCTGGAACAAACCGTAATTCTAAATTGCGGCCTACACATTGTCCGTGGGTTTCGACCTTTGAATTCAATATACATGCTCAGTGCGTAATCTCCAAGTCATATCCCTGCCCATCGTCAGTGCCGATCTTTTGATAATAGAAATTTCACGCCAACGTAGAACTAGGGACACCACGTGCAATTGCAGGAATCGGTGAAGTCATTCACGGATGGCTTGCTTAATTGTAAGCCTGCGCTCCCTGGCGTTGATCGCGGTATTGTTATCGCACCTCGTCGGCTTCATCTGACACTAGGAGTGATGACTCTTGAAAATTCACCGGTTTCCTCGGGAAGAACTTTAGCGGATGCACAGGCATTGTTACGGACATTGAGAGCTCGCGTCATGGAGTTATTGGACGGACACAGTCTCTGCATCCCTCTAACGGAGATGAACATCATGAACCCAGATCGCGGTAATGCAGACAACGCGCATGTACTCTGGTTGGGCCCTTCACTGAATACAGAAGACGCACAGCGCCTCAAATCCGTTAGCGGTGCGTCGATTTTCGTCCCATGCTGATTACATCCGCATATCAATGCTCTAACAGAATTTGTGAACAAGGCATTTAGTGACGCCGGGTTTATTCAGGATCGTCGTCCTCTCAAGGTTCGCATCTCTTACTTCCAGATTAATCTAACTTAGCGGCCAACACGGAATCAGTTGCATTGCACAATTCTAAACACTTCGCATCGCAAACCATATCGACAGCCGTTCTCCTATAACGCAATCCTGACGTCTCCGTTTATTCGCGAGTTTGTTCGTACACCACATGATTTTCGGGACTCCGTGAAAGTGGACTTTGGTACTTGGAACGTTGATGAGATACAGATATGCAAGATGGGAAGTTACGGACCCGAGGGCGAATACGTGAGTTGCGGGTGCTGTTCGTTGGCGTCATAGGTTCGATGTATGACATATGGAGCCCAAATTACGTTTTTACACTCACAGCCGAGGCTTGGAAGAGCCTAGACTGTGTCGCTGCGGTATGATAGATACTTTAAGTACCTGTAATGCTGTGGCTTGCGACGACGAAGGGCTACCTAGAAAAGAAGTTAGGTCTCACGCACAGGCCTACACACCTGTGGCGGCACAGCCCATTGTGTGGCCATTGAAAGAGCGATTAAAAGACCGACTTGTATCATCGTGCGACTCTTGTCTCGCTGAACACCATCATCCTAAAGGAGCGCCCGTACATCCACGCAATCCTACTTTCTACGTTCGAATAATGGCTGAAATCAGGAGGAAGCTTGTTATCGTCGGTGATGGTGCTTGTGGAAAGGTACGCCCCTTAACTTGCACGCGCAACAAAACAAGGAACGAGCTCATATCATTGACAGACATGTTTGTTGATAGTTTTCTCCAAAGGAACGTTCCCTGAGGTATTTTCCATTAGTATCGTCAGCCGTCTGTTTGTCTAATTATTTGCTTGATTCGTGTGCACATAGGTCTATGTTCCGACCGTCTTCGAGAACTATGTGGCAGATGTAGAGGTTGATGGAAAGCATGTCGAGCTTGCGCTATGGGATACGGCAGGGCAAGAAGACTATGACCGTCTCAGACCTCTCAGTTACCCAGACACTCATGTCATTCTTATCTGCTTTGCTGTTGACTCACCAGACTCTCTGGACAATGTTCAAGAAAAGGTACGTCTGGCCAATGAGCAATGCCTCATTCGGTCCTGACGGCATCTCCCGAAACCAGTGGATTTCTGAGGTGATGCATTTCTGCGCCGGTCTTCCCATCATTCTTGTTGGCTGCAAGAACGACCTTAGACGTGATCGACGAGTGATTGATGAGCTCAAGAAGACGAGCCAGAGACCTGTAACTCCTGAGGAGGTACGTTTTTGTTTCATGCCTTGTAAATTTATTTGGATGATATGTTCACCTTTTCAGGGTATGGCCGTAGCGAACAAGATTGGCGCAAGGCACTATCTCGAGTGCTCTGCTAGAACAGGCGAGGGCGTCCGCGAAGTCTTCCAATATGCTACGAGGGCTGCACTTCTTAGCCGGCCCAAGAATAGCAAGAAACACCACTGCGTGGTTGTGTAGACTATTTCGTCTTACTTTCCACCTCGCCACACCCCGCCGCTTCTCTGACTACGCCCTTGCCCCTGTCAAGAGTCCATACCCTTCACGACTAGTTGTTATTAGCAATCTTCATGATCTGTCCTTTCCCTCTCGCTCTATTTTTGCGTGACCGGACACGTGTGCGGCCTTGTCAGTATTTGACTCTGCATTGATGTCTCTTTGCTTTTCAGTTTTGAATGAATTCAAGTAGGATTGCATGGACCTTTGGTAGTACGTTCTATATCCACGCTTCTACCTGTTAATCCGCTTCGAGTTTGAGTCGCATGTCTACAATGGTCTTTGTCTCCGATGTTCCAGGAATATAGAAGCGCCAAGTTGAACTCTGAAGGTATTGTGAATTACACATCGGTTTCCCTTGATAAGGTCTTTGCTCTCTAGATGACGTCAAGGAAGCCCAATTCTGCAAGGCCCTTGATCATGTGACGCAGAACTGAAACAGCACATTCTTGTACGAGCAAAAGTGTACGAGGTTCGCCTTCTTCGATATGAAACTTAATTTTGTTATGTCCGTGCATTCGCATGCATGACTTGGAGAGGCAGGCTTATAAAATCATACGTGTTCTTGATGTCTTGTTTCTAGACTGCCCGGAATTCCAGTGTATCCTCATACAATCCGAATGCACGCCTTACTGGCTTGTTGCAACTGCCGGGGGTAACCGTGACATCGAGGGACCGACTTCTAATTGTGCCATATACCAACAAGGTTGATATTAGGTTAGCTGTCTAACTACCATTTTCCAAATTTGCTTTCCCTGCATTCTACCTGGTCACTGGTGTGACTAATCATAGCAATCAAGTGAACTGTGGGAGTTATAACGACATATAAGTATAGTATGCAAGCCGTGCTGTGCGAGCGTGCAGGCTTCATCGCCTGAAGGAACTAACAACAGATCGGCTGAAGTGGGCCGTTCGTATACTGTGCTGTCCGATACGCATGTGTTGGACAGTGGATCAGGGAGCTCCTGCCGGACATGAAAATATGTGACACGAACAAGTGAGATACGCACCCGCCGGATCACTTAGTCAAATGCATGAGGTTTCAGAGGCGCTGCCAACGCGCTGGAAAGAAAACCCGAGAGGTGCCTATGCTGTCGGGAAGCATTTGCCGGTAGAGATCCGATGAGCCATTCGAAGTGGAGTTATATGTAAATCGTTGATCGAGTGGGATCGGCCTCCTAAAAGTGGGGTATCCGTGGTGCGTGATGAACCAACATTATCTCAATTGAAAGCGGATTCCTGTCATTTGGTACAACAGCTCCGCAAACCAGAGAAATGATCAAGTAGGACATTGTCGTATGAGAATGGTACTTGAACCATCGCGGCAGACCTCATTCAATGCGGCTACGGCAGCCGGATCGATAAAAATCACGATGGTTCATCACTCTCTCCAGTTTTCTGGTAAGTTCCTCCCCTCTAATTCCAGGATGTCCAAGTTCTCCGAAACACAGGCATCGGTGATAGACGTTTGACGGCGATACTCGGGGTCTAGTAGATAATTGATGAGGGGAAGATAGTAGTGTGCCCCATATCATAAGGGGCCTGCGTGATCATGATCAAACGGTTCAGGAAGAATGGACAGTGGTGCCCACGCGCTATCAGATCGGCTTGAAGTACTGATAGGCGAGGTAAAGGCATAGCAATCGCCATACAATGGGAGAACAACGGCCTCGTGCTGATCTTCCAATGTTGCAAATTCACAGGACTTTGATATTGATCAGTTCAGGAGCTATCGCGCTTCGAAGCTCCCGCTTCCGAGCCCATTAATATACCGGAAGGAGAACAAGGCAGTTCCGGTCCAGATATCGAACTCGTGGTAAGGTGTTTGCCGAGAAGCCGGTAAGCGGGAACCTTAAGAGTATCCAGCCTCGAGGACGGTATAAGATTGTTCAGCCTCAAGTAACCTCGAGGCCTTTCGCGGAGAAAAGTTATTGATGAAGTTCCAGGGACCCGCTCCGCGGCACTAAAGCAGCATATGAGTTGTAGAAATATGTTTGAACTGCTTGAACCGAATCAAGGTTTCGAGGTGGCCTCGATTCGATGGCAACACTGCGTGAGTGTGATCATGATTAAGGTCCAGGTACGTCGGGTGTACCTCTCTTTGAGAGGAACTTGATTTGATCACCGGGGATCACCATCTAATCGAGTTCATTGTTCCTTCTGTGGTCCAGACTGTGGAGGACCACTGAATTGAATTGACGGAAGCGAGATTACAACTTAGCCTCCAAAATAGGAAACCGCATCGATTATTTGATTGAGGCAGCCTTCAAATCCTGGTATTAATGCAGCTCCACTCTCCTAATATTACTCCACTGACAATCGTCTATACATTCCACCCAAGTGTAACCTGTAATATATATCTTCATCCGAACTTTGATCATCTCTCATTTGCTCTCCGATATCGACTGCATCACTTTCCTACTGATTTCCCCCCGTCGTACTGCCAAATTATGATCCGCTTTGAGGGCATGTCTCCAGACGTCATGGAGGCAATTTGCACACCCATGCACCAAATTCTTCCTTTTCAAGTTCCGAGTCAATCTCAGTCCGTGCCTTCAATTCAATCCGTGGCTCATGCCTCCAGCTCGCAGCCCGGGTCCTTGTACCTCGGTTCCATGTCCGCAACGATGGATCGCGAGTTGCTCGCAAAACATCATATCACTCATGTTGTACAAGTACTCGATGTCCCCTGGCTTCCAATATCAGAAAAGGACGGCTTCCGGTGCCTCCGCATAGACATTCTTGATAAACCATCCGCTGACCTTCGCCCACACCTTGAAGGGGCGTGCCAATATATTGCTAACGCACTGCAAAGTGGTGGGAATGTTCTTGTGCATTGCCAGCAGGTATGCTCCTTTCATCGAACTTTATGCAGAGTCAAGCCTGATGTAGTTCTCCTGTAACAGGGTGTCTCACGCTCTCCAGCCATAGTCATTGCTTATCTCATCCATGACCTCGGGATGTCGTATGAGCAGGCACATGCTCTAGTCAAACGTTGCAGACCCTGCATTAATCCCAACCCTGGATTTGTTGCTGGTCTTCGCGCATGGGAAGAGAAATGGCGAGCGTCCGCGCCGCCACCGCCGCCACAACTGCGGAGGTTCAATACTTCCTATGCACCTCCAGCAACTTCCACGGTTGTCAAACCGCTTGTCCCAAAGTTCTCCAGGGGTACGAGTTACAGCGGTAGCTATAAATCCGGGAGTACTTCAGTTTCGTGATCTTCCCTGCTATCATCATGGCATGATTATGATCTGTCCATTGGCCCCGTCACAAAATTATCGCAAATCGCCACGATGTTTACACGCCTCAAATTCCTCGGTACCTGCATATCCTCTTATATTCATCGCTCCTATATATCGTAGCATCGTTCACCAATACGCATCCCCATCGTTCCGTTATCCTCACTTTTCATTCCTACAGTGTTGACCCGGCGTGCACCATACCCCCATTTACATCCTTCACTTCGTGCATACCCCATACTTGGATTTGTTAGGGCTGGGCAGTTTCCTCAGACAGTGAAATTTAGGCGAGCCGATTGTCTTGTATACTCTTATAAAAAGTTGCCCTGCTCAGACGCCTATACAAACCAACTAAAACAATTCCGACCTATTCACAAATGTAGCTACCTCGGTAAACATGCCTTATCAGCTGACATTCGACATTTAGGATCAAGCTTGGTTCAAAATTCTACTTACAATCTACGATACAAGGAGAAAAATATCTGCATTGTCATATACATTGCTCTACGAGGATTCATCGTGATACTCTTAGACCTAGTCAATCAAAGGATGCAGGAATGGGTATTAGACACTCGAATCCGCTCCAAAAGAAAATGTTTACCGACCTCACTACTGGATCGATGAATCGTTTGATGATTCTCTAAATTTTCCAGCCCCTTGACAAGTAGAATGCACCTGGGTGGAAGCCATAGTGCACATCGCCAGAGATGAGGTCTGCGCAGTGCCCCAGTGCTTGTCCACCGTGAGTTGGTCTAGGTCAATGACAGTTGAAAATTCCACAGCTCTGGTTGCTGCTGGCTGGTCCAGATCTGCCCTGGAGCTGCGCAAGTAGCGGTACACAAAGGAAACTATAACAAGTAAATTTGCAATTACTAGCGAAGTTGCTGGCTGTTGGGGTATGTCGCGATCAGTCGGAGTGAAGAAACAAAAGTAAGTGCACACCTTGACATGCCCGAATATTAGTGTAGCCTCCGATATCGGGCTTAGTAATAGGAGAATAGAAGTCGGAATTGATACGGCGGTATTGATCAAAGAGGCGCAAAAGACCGAAGTGACGAGAATTCGTTGATGGCGTGTGAGCCCGACATCTCGTAAGAGATACATAGGTGTGATGACCAGCATTAGGTCAGATACCGCATCGGCTTGAACGGAACATATTGGTGATACGAACAACGTCATAGGAAAAATCACTAACTAACGAGGTCTGCAATAGCGACGTCGGATCCCATGTGGCACGTGTTATACACGCAAGCAAGCACCTTCTGAACAATCAAGGCTGTCCACATTACCGCAAAGCAGCTTATGATGGCATACACGGTCCGCCGAAGTGCACCTCGCGGATTTGCGATGCGCAAAATGGGATATATAGTGCTCATTCTCGCCGCCCTAGTAACATGAGGGACGGACAAAATATGCACAATTCAACTACGCACCATAAAACAGAGGTGAAAGCCATTGGCATTAGCCAGAGCATGGCCGTATAAACGCGAGGATTGTCGTTAACTGGAGTGAGTACAGCTCAGCTCGTGTTACCGATTCCAGAATACCACGCACAGGTTGGCCCTTGACCCCATACTCCGAATAGGCAGATGATATCAAACACGAGAGCAATTGCAGCCCAACCATCTTCCCACCAGAATTTGGATGTACACAACCGGTATCCAAGTCGAAAACTTGTAGTGACGATGGCACTCCCGTGAAATACGCAAGCTACAACTTTCTTGGGGGATGAGGTGCTGTAAGCCTGCAAGCCACCATATGCGCTTACCTTCTATTGTTTGCCAATCATCACTGGGGATGGGCAAAGGGAGCATCATAATCGGCAGAAATAGAAAGTAAAATTGAGGTGTGCGATAGTGTCGTCTCTTGTCATCGTATTTCTACCGACAAGGCTATAGCTATCATCGGCGGTTGAAGACTCCTGTAACGCGGATTTCGACCCTGACCTTTTTGCACGAGCTGACTGATGAGCGCTGAGCCGTGGCTCACAGCCGCCAACGTAGAACTGGCCGTGCCAGAACACCCTGAACCAATTTATATGTAAATTTTAAAGTGTAAAACATGAATATGAACCTAAAAATGTACTCATTTTGGAACAAAGCCCAGAGTCGCGAATGCTGAGCGTTGCTGTCTTAATCACCATTCCTCGGAGGCTGACTGTCACAGTTGACATCAGAGTTAGTTTCAGGTTAGTTAATCTCACCGTGGCAGATTGATGCCCGTAACAGCAGTACTTACGTACTTTTAAGAGCTCAGCAACACGTTATTCATACGTTAGTAATTCAAATCTGTGTATGACATCGTGGTTGCATGTGGCCCATCCCTGTTGTGACTGTTGAGGGGTCATTTGGTGCATTGCATGGACGTAGTGAGCTAAGTAACAAGCGCAGGTCATACTCTATCACCAGGCTCGACTAAGTTAGCACCCAGGTTATCAGGTATCGCAAGGGTTGGATCCGCGTCGTGGATCATACGGCCACCAAACATCACACCACCATGAGAAGCACGGAAAGCATCGATACGGGCCTCCACTTCTGGGCGGAAATGGCGCATGAGGCCCTGAATGGGCCAGGCAGCAGCATCGCCGAGAGCACAGATGGTCCGGCCCTCTACTTGTTTACTGCAGAGAGCAGTGAGTTGAGAAAAGCCGTACACCGATAACTTACGTGAGCTCAAGGAGCATATCAATCTCACGTCTGTGAGCGCGGCCTTCCACCATGCGATTCATCATGTTCATCATCCACGTTGTGCCCTCCCGGCAGGGCGTACACTGCCCACAAGACTCGTGTTTGTAGAACTGGTGGAAAATTAAGTATCATAGAAGCATGGGCAAAACACGGAGCCCGTACTGAAGAGAACCGCGCAATGGCCGATACGATGTCCGTACTCTTATCCATTACGATGACGGCACCCGTCCCGAGACCTGACTGTGCGTCCTTCAAAGAATCATAGTCCATCAGAACTTCTGAGCACTTGTCGATGGGCAGGACTGGGACGGAGCTTCCACCAGGAATGATACCAAGTAGGTTATCCCAGCCACCTCTGACACCTCCGCAATGCCGTTCGATAAGGTCTTTCAGCGGGATGCTCATCTCCTCTTCGACAACACAAGGGTTGTTAACATGACCACTAATGCAGAAGAGTTTTGTGCCCTGATTGCGCTCACGACCGAAGCTGGCGAACCAAGATCCGCCACGACGACAGATAGTAGGTGCCACCGCAACAGTTTCAACGTTAGCAACAGTGGTGGGGCATCCGAACAAGCCAACGTCTGCAGGGAAAGGTGGTTTTAGTCGAGGCTTGCCTTGCTTGCCCTCGAGACTTTCGATCAATGCAGTTTCCTCGCCGCAGATGTATGCACCAGCCCCGCGATGGAGGTATACATCAAATGAGTAACCGGAGCCGCATGCATCTTTGCCAATGAATCCACCCTTGTACGCCTCGGTGATAGCTTGCTGAAGGTGAGAGGCCTCCTGGAAAAATTCTCCACGAATGTATATGTAGGCTGCGGTTGCGTTCATGGCGCGGCCGGCAACCAGACAGCCTTCCACCAGTTTGTGTGGGTCACCACGAAGAATCTCGCGGTCCTTACAAGTTCCCGGTTCTCCCTCGTCAGCATTGACAACTAGGTAGCGAGGCCTGCACAAAAATGACAAGTGAGTACCAAACCGGACGTAACGCTATAATTCAAAAACATATATACCGTTTATCCTTTTGCCAATCAGGCTTGTTCATAAATGACCATTTGAGACCGCTCGGAAATCCGGCACCACCCCGGCCTCTGAGCCCTGAATCCTTAATTGTTTGGATGATCCAAGAGTCCCCCTTCGAAAGGATGTCTTTCGTGCGATGCCAGTCACCACGAGACTATCAGAGACAGCAAGATAAATGAACACGAAATAGCTGCATGAGGACATTAGACTTACCAGGGCGCCCTTGATACCATGGTCATGTCTACAATATGCATTTGTGAAGATGCGGTCCTGGTCTTTGAGACCGCCGTATCGGCGAACAGGCGGGTCAGCAACAGTTGCAAGACTACGTCTGATTGAAATATTTGCTTGCCGCTGGATTCCAGCGACCGAGTTTGAGGCTTTGAGCATAATTGAGCCTGTCGCTGTCGTCGGCGGTGACGATCCTGAACCAAGTCTTTCACGTTCGGAACAATATGTATTTATTGCTGTTGACAAATTTGTTGTGGAGGATGGCTTAGTCAGCATATGTGACTGTCCCGGGCGTGTCCGTCGTTCAGCGCTTCAGCGCTCAGCACTCAGGAACTTGAAGTGGCAGTTGTATTGTAGGTCGACCATCTTCGGGTCACAGAGCCAAATTCTGTATTTCTGGCCCACGCGGATTCTTGGCGCTTCCTCCACGAACGACTCAATGGCACGAATTTAACTGGATCTTCAGTCTGGAACTTCGTGGCAGACCTCCAAAGAAACACCAGGTAAGTTATATCCCTCACAGATATAAATTCGTGCGTGGGTTCCCGGTCATCGTTGAGATTCATTGGAATAGTGCCGACCTGAGCGCTGATAGTACCAGATGCTTTGCTCGATCTGCCAGTGGCGTTACATAAATTTTTGGTTGATTCATCTGACGTGCGATCCAAGCACCTTGCATGTCGTCCGTAAGTCATTTCAGGTCAACTGCCTCACGGACATGTCGCATCTTCCACGTGGATTTTTCACAACTGGAATATGGTGCCTTATAAGCTGATGGAGTACTAGCAGCCTGTTGCTCTCCAGAACTGTGGGTACTTTCGAGTAGCGCTTTTCGCAATTGAATTCTCCCGCTACTAGACGGGGAAACAGACAAACGTCGCCGACGCTTGTCTGATTTATGTAATACTCGATAGATAAGGGAGAAAAGTAGCCTTGAATGTAACTTGGATACGGTGAGCGACGACTCCTGAAAGAACAAACCAGGAGAACGAGTGTTAAGTACTTGGCGTTGGCAATATCAGAGATTATTGCTGCTCCCTCTGCTCCTGTGCAAGGATTGCATCTGGGTCACGACCAGCAACCTCGGGTAAAAGGAAAGTGAAAGCTGCGAATTGTCTTGTCAGTTAACACCGTCACAGAATAAAATTATGGCCCTCCATACCGGCACCCAGAATTGAACAACCGACGAAAACTATGGAAAAAGAATTGGGTTACCGGCACACATTGGTTAATTAAGGACGTACTCCAAAGCACAGCAGGTGTACCAATCGAGTCCGTGAGGGAGTTAAACACGAGAGCGGATATGATTGCTCCTGTTTTCCCGCATGCGGCAGATATGCCGTGCGCAAACGCTCGGTATCGGGTGGGGAACACCTCAGCGGGATAACACTATGAGTTACATTAGCTGTATCCAGTGTGCAAACGTGCATGGCAACGCACGTAGGTGGTGCTGTGCAACGGTCAAGTCAGAACGGAGCATGTTCTAGTTAAGCGAAGAACTCACGCATTGGCTCCGAAGTTGAAAAAGAACTCAATAAAATTTAAATAAGTCGAGATCTTCCATCAAACCCCTGTCACGCACCTGGAGCAGCGTGAAATTTACTATGAACGCTACATTGCTCAAGGTATAGAATTTCCCAGCCAAGATGCCCACTGCAGCACGCCGTTAGCAGATATTCCTCTAGAGCATTTGTAACGACCCACAGAACAGAGCTTCCATCAGGAATCCCATGAGTTGAATGGTCTTGCGGCCGAGCTTCTCGATGGTGAGCACAGTCACGTAGTAGCCTTTTCGAAGTGAGTGATCATGTCAAGAGAGATGGAACGGTACGTGTACCCGGCACGAATCCTAATGCGGTGATGATGATGTTTCCCGTGGCGACCTTGAAGAGCTTCTCCCAGGGCGTGCCTGTTGTTCCGGCGAAACCTATCTCAGCAAGCACCACATTTGTGTTCAAGTTGATCCCATAGAAGCTAGCACCACCACGTCAGAAGGAAACCTATTCGATGATGGACATCTGACGTACGCAACATCTAATAGAAACCAGCATGAACAAGTTCCGATGAGTATCTTCAGGTGCCTCCATTCGGAGAAGTACTTGATGACCTCTAGAGCATCCGTGAGACCAAGGAAGGTATTTGACACCGCAAGGAACCATACCTAGGAAGTGAGTTTTCTTTGCTGCATGCACAGAAGGTCCCTCATCGACGCTTGATTCAGATTCAGCAGTATGAACACCAACTTCGACCCCCCTCTTCTCCTTCTTCAAATCACCCTGTTCAATCAGTTCTGCCTCCTGCGACTTCTTGAAACGCGTGGACTCCGAGAGGGTCAAACGTTGATACAGTGTTCCGAAAGCCGGAATGAGCGATAATCCAACGACAATCCTCCACACTGAAGTAAACCGTCGATCAGCAATATCATGTATCTAGTACAGGATACACACCTCCATCGACCTTGGATGTCTCACCTTCATCATTCATGACGTGCTTGTAGCATGCCAGAACGATAATGGTCATCAGCGCCCCCACGAAGCTGCCCCATCCTTGATTCGCGAAGATGTATGCGAGCATGGTTCCACGCTTACGGATTGTGGCACGGTCACTTGTCACGGAGGCCGACATGGGGTAGTCACCACCGACACCCACGCCAAGTAAGATACGGAACATCGTCAAGTAAATTAGGGATCCGTTTGGGGAGAGCGAGCCTTGGTAATACCTTAGCACTCGCGAATACAAATGAAGAATCGAAAGACATACCTGTAGGTGTAGAGATGCAGAGGATAGTCGCAAGGATGATGAGCATAAGCTCTTTTCCGTCTGTGAACGCATATGAATGTAGATACTAGCGAGAACAATGTAAAGAACTGACAGATTGCCTTTCTCCCGAAAGCATCAGCACAATATCCTGAATAATTAGAAATTTAGTATGAAACGGGGTAAAGCATGATGTATTATGCAGCTCACCAAACAGAAACTGGCCGATCACACTTCCTATATTAGCAGAGGCTTTCAATAATCCTTGCAGGTTGGCGGGCATAGTTCCATTTGGGTAAAGCCTGTATTGCAACATGGTAGACACGGGCTGCACAGATCGATTTAGTCTCATACGCCGCCATATGAAATAAAGCACTAACATTGATGATGAACAAGTCATAAGCTGTTACATAAAGATGAGACTTTGCATTCAAGCAGGGCTAGATGCCTACCATCCAAGAAAAAGCCAACCTGGACGATAGATAAGTTCACACAGACTCAGACACAGTACTCATGGCACTCACCCCAGCAATACCCAGGAGTTTGATCTCAGTATATGTCAGAATGAATGGGGGCCTGCCATCGCCAGATTGCTCATACTCCTCGAGGGCAGTTCTTTGGCGAGTCTCTTTGCCTCCTGCTTGACCAGACATCGTGCTGCACGGAATCACGGGTAGGTAAAGGATCAGTGATGCAATATGCCCACTCCGGCTGGGCTTTTATTAGGTGTGGCGCTGGATCAACCTAACTTAGGTTCTGTCCTGTTGTGTCGCGAAGCGCAAAGGTGTTAATTACAGTATAGCCTTGCCTAGGTGTGACGTTGGATCAACCTAAGGTTCTGTCCTGTTCTGTCACGAAGCGCAAAGGTGCTGGCTGCAGTATAGCTCCTCGCATTCCTTCGCCCCATTTTTGGGGCAGCAGCACTTCAGCCATGGAGCGCATATGCCTTCAGCCGATTTTTTTTGCCATTAATAGCAAGCAGTTGATCGGAGAGCCATCGGTTACATTACATAATAGCCACATGAATAATAATTATTAATAAAATTTCGCCATGTGCAGTGGACCGCCGTGCATCGGAAATTTTTGGCCAAATCAGCATGATTCAATCATCATATGGTCAACAGGCATGCCACGACGTTGGAAATTCTACTGAAGCGATGCTGCTTATTTTTAACAGTCGCGGAACGTTGAACGTTGAACACTTCATGATTACATAATATACAATATCTGGCAATAATCGATTAATCCTTTGCAGCTCCTTTAATGACAAGTTGCTGCCATATAAAATTCTACTATAGTATACCAGTACGATGTTGACATGATAGCACCATGTATCAAATTCATTATTATTGCGATCAGAATATCATCGAATGATAGCGTCTATATCATTGGCCGATATCCTCCGATGTCTTGAAAGATCTACAGGCTCCGGAGTGGTGAACGTTGTAGGTACTGACAGTATTGACAACTCGAAGTTCCGAATGTCTGCTGTGTAGCAGCATGAAGCCTAGCCTATGGAGCTACGTTGCTACGTTGCTATGACAAGGCCAGGGCCCTATCCTGCCCTATCACGATTCAGATTGGCAGCGAAACGTAAGCACACGTTCTTGAAAACTTGAAACAACACGTGCACGTGCGTTCATGTGCATTGATCGGACTCGATGGTCGTGCCGGGTGTGTTCGAACTTCGAAAATTATCAGCAGCAGTAAGGTTGATAGGCAGCATGTTATGCGTGTAGGCGTTGATGAAACGTCGGTGCTCGGCCATTGGATGGAAAACCACTGTCATACACATTAAATCTCGTTAGTGAATAACTTCGATGCACTGCTACCATTGGATTTTGATTTTGAAATGGGATGCTTGGCCTCTGTATCCCCGATTCCACTGAAACCGGCCCGTCAGCGCTGGATAGCTACAGTGAGCCACAGTGAGAATTGAAAATTGAGGCTAACAGAGAATGACCTGCCTAATTGCCATTGTTCGTGTGACAAATCGAGATGGACCAACCCAATGGAATACGTCGTGTCACATGCGGATTAAGTACTTGGGCGTTGATCGATACTATAACATCATGCTTCTTCAAGAGGCGTTCCAGATAGAGGGAAACACAGCCTAACACAGCCCGTGCCACGGTGCGGCAGATCGTTCAATTATCTTCGGAACATTTGATAATCGACATACGTACAATATTTCACTGCAGCCAAGGACGAGAGCCTGAGAGTGGGAACCACAACCATTTAGGGGTTGCAGCTTTTTCAGGGTCCTGAAATGTGTACTATATGTGGCAAGATGTATCCGTGATGCCGTGTCCCCAAAGAGCTACGTGCCCAATACATCGCCTCGAGCCATCCCCTTAGAGGTTATCCCAAGGTTGTCATTCGTCGAGTGATAAGCGCGAGGTGCGAAATTAAGTTCTTCCATAAATGAACTCGGTGTGCAACCACACTTGAGGGTCAGGAAAATGGAGGAAGGGGGAGTGCGTGCTCAATCGAGGGTCAGGAAAATGGATGAAGGGGGAGTGCGTGCTCAATCGAGGGACATACAGACTGTGTCATGGCATTTGATACAGCGCTAGATTTTAGCACACCGGTCTGGTCAATTTGTTAAGAAGGTTCAAATGATCTCGAGCACTGCGTACGACATTTTGGACCGAAAGATGATGCACTCCGTGAGGTATGGTCATGCATTACTTTCGTGTAAGACAGTCGGTTGGATCGTATGCGGTACAGCCTGAATACGACGAATGGATAAATGTGAGGCGAAATGAAAACTGTCTTCTTCCCGAAGATCAAAAAAATGTGTGAAGCCATAATATCATGTAGGACACCTTGGAATCTAGTTATGATAATTTGGCAGCTAGTCCCGGATACGAGGTACCACCACTTACAGATATATGATGTCACTCTGCCCTTGTGAAACCTACACCAATAAGTTCATACTCCATCCTAACGAAGTGAATGAAAACAATGCCCGGGAAAAGAAAAGGAAATAAATGTTTGCAACAAAGATTGCTTAAAGCGTAGTCAGCGAGATAGAAATGAGTCGCAAATACCTAAATTACATACCAAGAGGTGACAGCGCATATAGCAAACTTTCCTTCGACAAGGCCGACGCCAGTTTGGTTAACGTTTACTGACGGTGGGCATGCCATTAGAGCGTAGTAGCGTCGAATGATAATTTGATATCATAACTGCACACATTTCGTCAGTACTAGTAGAACTAAAAGAGAGCAACATCCAGGATCGCTCACTGAGTTCAAACAGCGCTGCGCTGAAAAACTTTGTTCCAGTCTCATAGCGACCTCTACGATGCTCCGAGTTGACGCGGGCACACATACACTTTTCAGCAGAAGTTCGCAATCAGACCGCAAGTGGCCGTAGCGATAGTAACAAACTTCAGCATCTATTAAATCACAACTCAGCCAACACGACTTCAGCCATTCGAGTTCCAGACGTGAACGATGGGCGCATGTAATTCATACATTGCTTTCGTTATGTAAGGCAGTCAAGGCAGTCATGGGTATGTTGTGCGATGCAAACTGTAAATCAGAATAGGGCACATATGAGGTGAGTTGAAAATTATCTTCTTCACTCCGGTCTGCATCACGCAAATCAAAAAGAATACGTGAAGCCATAACACCATGCAGGACACCTTGAAACCTAGTTATGACAGTTGAGCAATTAGCATTAGACATGAAGAACAGCCTACTTACACATCAATGATACCGCTCTGCCCGCTTGAGACCTGCACCGATAGTTCATACCTAATCATGGCGGAGTAGATGAAAAATACGAACCGGTAAAGAAAAAGAAACAATGTTCGCAATCGAGATTGCTTGGAGCGCAGTTAGGCGAGACAAAGAAGAAATAAACTTCAGAATGACATACCAAAGAGCGACAGCGCATATAGCAAACTTCCCCTCCACAATTTCGACACCAGTTTATTGATGGTACCTATGCCAGCAGAGCGCAATGTTAAAGAGTGATACGTTGTAGCAATAACCACCGCTGCATGAATTTCATCAGTAGAATCGAAGGAAGGCAGCGTCGCCAGTCGCTCACTGAGTTCAAAAAGCGCTGCGCTCACGAACATGCCCATAATCAGCTGTTCCACTCTCGTAGCCTCCTCTACTGAGCTCTGAGTTGATGTAGGTGCGCATACGCTTTCGAAATTCGGAGACACCGCGCAAGTAAGCATTGAGATAGCAACAAGCTTCAAGCCCAGATATTACCATCCGGGTAACAGAATTGCCGAATCACTTACCAAGTAACTTGCCAATAAAAATCGTTTGATCTTCTTGCTATGATGCCATAAGGCAAGTGTACGCATAAGAAGCAGACCTAAAACATATGAAGGGGGGAATTGCTTAATCAACACAAGTGCACAGACCTTCGGTAGCCGTCATGATGAGAACCAGGGCACCTGGGAAACGTCAGGGGGCATGTAACTAGTGATCGTGAGGTGACCTACCCCCAGCAGTCCGATACGTTGTCAGGCACTGTGTTACTCAGCATTAATGTGATTTCAGTATTGTTCAGAGACGATTGTTACTGTTTCCACTGATTGTGGCCCAAGAGTGACTGCAAACCAATAAGATTATTTCCCCCAATAATGAATAGTGTTGCTCACCGTATATTTCACTCGTAATCCATGCTATGGGAACATATCTAGTTATGATAAACATGGCGTGCGCGATGCTCCGACAGCCCATGCTGCTGAACAGACGAACTTCATGTTCAAAAGTCAAACAATAATCGAATGCCTAATGAAGGGGACAAGGCCTCAGATGGGCATGCGAGAATAGTGCACACTTGGCTCACCCATACAGCAGCCGGAGCAACTTTGCCAACACTTAAACACAAGCTAGAACAGACAAGGAAGGAAAGCCCACAACGAACCTCGAAAGTACTGTAAAAGGACTAGAGTTGGTTCAAAAAGCTAGATGGTGAAGTGTCACCTGCTCGTACCTTGATCGTCTGCTGTGTGTGGAGTAAAACCATAAATGATGTATGTTCAATTGGCTTGGGTGTTTTTTTTCAATGCGCCGGGTCCTTCACCATTTGGTGGGCGTTATGATCACAAGTTGGGTAGAGAACGATTGAGGGATGATAAGTTGGGAATATTGACCCGGCTGCAATTGAAAAGCGAAACAGTAAAAGATTTCACATTAGATATTGGCGCGTGCTACTTCCGTAGATGACCGACTTAATAGAAGGAAGAATGGACTCGGAGTTTATGCAACTGTGATGTGTATGTACGTAATTTCGGAAAGTTACTTTCAACCGTTGGCGCCATCGGTTTGCTGTCGGTAGCTAGTATAGTGGCAGGTGCCAAGTGCCTTAACCCAGGTTATGGTTTCGAGTTTCAAGCAAAGGTTTTTGATTATTTCACTACTATGATCTCGCTCTTATGAGTCCACTGCAGCAAATCCCCGCAAGTCGTCCTATGTAAGACCGGATCCGCCATATTCCTACATATAAAAATTGGATTAGGACTTATTTTCTAAATCCATGTCGCGTCACGGGCGCAACTTGAAGGTGCCGATGAGTTCCTGTAAGACACTTGTCTAGCTACTATGCAGGTGAACCTAGGGCTTCGCTACAAATACTCACAGAGGTGCATCGCCGTGTCTCCCAAAACTGATTAAAAGGATCTTACAACAGGCATTAGACTAATAAGAACGTCGAGGAATTTAATGTAGGCGGGTCTATTGTTAGCGACGCCATAGTCAGTGGTTGGTTTCGTCTTGTCCCTTATGCCGAAGCTACAGATGCTCAGGTAGCTCAATATTACAAGGGGGAGATCCTGCAACATATTCCTGATCACAGCCTCAGCTATGGACCTGATGCTAAAATCGCCGAGGGTCAGGGCGCAGTCAAGATATGATGAAAATCATCTGCCTTCATTAGCTTTTTCTTGAATATGCCATCAGGGGGCAATCGGTAATCTGAGGGTATGAGATTAATTGCAGGGGCATGTAGTACTTTCCGTGGAAGTCAGCAGCCCCGCTGAACTAAAAGGACATATTCGCGTCGTGTGATTAACAGTGCGTTTCGCGCTGCCACATGAAGGCTTTCCGCTCGACTTTTTAATAGGGTCGCTCTCGCGAAGGTTGCCGCGTTGTGCCTGCGAGCTCATCGATGGTCAGGGACAAGGCTCCCCGTGTTGATATCCACGACTCGGAGTTGGCTGGTCATTGACCATGATGGGTTGAAAATACGACGATGAACGACATGACATTCCAAATGGTCACTTCATAGATCATTGATAATTTGATTTTTCCCCTGTCGTTTTGTGATATTTGAAAGTTACATAGATCTAGAATTGCCCTCGGCGGAACTGGAAATCCAGTCGTCTTTGTTAGTGATAACATCTACAACACCAAGCACTCGTAATTTTCTGCGGTCAGACACGAGTTTATTGGTGCCCTCGGGCACGATATTCGAATTTACAATTATGACGTCGGTGTTCTGCGTGCTTCATTCAAATCCAATACCGTGCATCAGCACATCGATGCTAGGCCACGATGAAACGAAGTCGGATTTGGCATTAATGTCGTCGAGGATGATACACGTGAATCTATGAGGCGGACATGGACGATCGAGATTCGTGAATTGGAAAGGGCCCCTGAGTGCGACAAGGCTGAGGTCGTCTGGTACCGGTGATAAGTTTTTGGTTACTTTAGTAATGTCTTCAACGGTAACCTTTGAAGGTGAGAGCTGCAGGACAGTGCGAACTCCAACCCTGCTCGATTTAATGACTCTTGAGAACCAAATTACATAGATAAGAGATTGTAAGAGAAGTTACTCAACCTACATGTTGTTGTCTGCATGTTTCCTCGTGCGATTGCTGGCTACGTTGCGATATGAGTTAGGGGTGACGATGGTCACTTGAATGGATCGTGTACTGCAGTCCCACGTAAAGGGCCGGGTTCACGTGTATTGTAGTGCGAGTCTGTCCACGGCCGGTACTGATCTTAAAAATCACCACACGATATACAACGCTCTCACAACTTACAGATTCATCAGCCTGGTGTCCGTCAAAACTGAGTCGATAATTAACTTGAGATTTGTCAAAAATGTAGTCCACCTGCCATTGGTTGTGTATTGCCTTGTCCTCGACCACGTGTGTCATAGTCTGCATAACACTTGCATTTAGCGTTCTACACAGCAGAAATTTCCTCTCACCATCTGGGTTTCGAGAAGCGGCACCTTCTGCTCACACTTGGACAGTCAGTCTCTCTACTTCCTTCTTCGTGAGTTCATCATCCGGAATCCGCCGTGTCTCTGACGAAGCGTTGTATAGCCGTGGCTATCATGTTTCGCAAAATGGGTGCAAAAAAAGAAGCTTTGTGCGTAACATAAAGTGCTGGTGAACGTTTTGAACGCGACAACACCATGATTGTCATGCATGTGATGATGTCATTTTAGACATAAGTACCAAATATGGCTACTAGTATTTCCGCTGAAAGAACTCAGGCCTCAGGACTTGCTCAAGACCAAGTGCCCGTGATCATGCAATGCATCTTTTCACTTCGGCCCAAAACCAATATGAACGGACGATATTACACATGGAATGCACCGTGTGCATGTTTCTAACGCGCGAACTTGAGTACCGAAGCTACTAATTCGTAACGAGGGCTTACCGTGAGGTTACCGCACACCCACTTAAACACTCTGATCGTCCCTCTCAGATAGAGTTAGTACACGCGTGAGTTTCGTTCGTTGGACATCGTGTTGCGATGCTGGATTTGTGCGGGATGCAGAAGTAGTGGTATTGCGCTCGGCACAAAGTGATCTCCGTCCAAACCCCTGGTTTTGTTTACGGCGCCTTTTCACTTCAAGACCAAAGGTGACCATGCTGTCTACGAGGCGTCCAACACGAGTCCGCAGAAAATATCGTGTCTGCGTCGCACACAACTTACGTTGGAGAACCAGAAAGGAGAAACTGAGGGGAAGATATGGTTGAAACCAACGCGACGTGTAAAATTTCAAACCTTATGCAGCAGCTATGCTAGCCGAGTGCTGCAAAAACTGGCAAGTACCCTGGCCGATCGATCGACATGATTGCGTTATCGGAAATCAAATAAACATATTTTCGTTGTTTCTTCATTGTAGACAAGGAAACAAGGATCAGCTGAGATAATGGAATAACACTTGCAACGCGACTCACCACGGTAGCGTCACTCCAGACGCTGGAGTGCCACTTTCCGCCCTCTTGTTGATCAGCTCAAGTTTGTAGGGCAAGAGCCATACTCGGTGAATTTCAGAAGCGAGTCTCACCTCAGCGAAGCATTGTAGGCCTATCGTCCAAACCGAGTAGCGGCATACAACGTTCCTAGATTCCAGTATGCAGAGACGCTCCTTGTGCGTGGTAAGTGCGCGGCAGGCCGGTGGAGCTAGGACGGCATGTCTTGTCAATGTCAAGCGTTGCAACGTTGAATGTTGAATGGTTTGATTTCGATCGAGAACTCTAAGCTTCCATATTATGATTGTCTCGAATTTTGACGACGCATGGTCTTTTCATGCCACAGACGGAGATGAGGATAGGTAGCATATGGTCCTAGCAGAACGTTGAAGACTTGGCCGAGGGTATCCAAGGGAATGATCCATAACCTTTTGTAGATGTCCAAAAATGGAAAGTGATTTCGTTTTAGCCCCATTACGGTTTGTATAAGAACAAAAGAAGTTTAGTGGATGGGATGGTCCACCACTGTATATCAAGATTTGGGAGACGCTCGCTATTTTTCATCTTTCTTTCTCTCTTATAACATCGTCTTTCCTTTCTCTCGGTTTATCATACGCGTTGCACGCGAACTTGGCCTCCACATCCACCACTCTCTTTCCTGTCGATCCTTCTCAGTACCAACGCAATGACTCAAAAATTGCTCGTGCTATCGTCTCTCGCTCTGCTAACTAACGCGCATATGGCCGCGTTCCACAAGTCAATGTATTGCTTTAATGTCAGTCTGACTCTCCATGTCCCGTTAATCAACTCAAATAGTGTTCTGTCTCTAGGGCACTGTGGCCGGCCAGGTCGATTATAACAATGACGCCCCAGTCAGCCCCCTGTGGATGCTGTCGGAGAGTGACTATTGGTTTCATCATTTCAACCAGGTATGTTTATATTTTTGATTCATGAGTTTATGCTTATATTTTTAGTGTGATGAATTCCCCCCTGCGCCAGGAGATTTCCTTGAACTGTGTGTTTTGCGTTTTGTTCTAATCCTGTAAATCTCACTATCTGTCCCAGACCCGCCGGAAGTTCCTTTACTGTCGAAATAGCCGCTAACCGCGGTGTGACGTCCCTGTCCTTTAATGGACAATTCGCAACCGAGTGGGGTGATGGTGGAAATCACCCCGAGGATTACTCTATCACAAATTTGGGGGGCGCCCCTCTTTCTTCTAGTGGTTGCATAGGTGATCCTAACAGTGAGTACAAATTAAGCGTGATCGAACAGTCGCGCTGAAGATGGGTAGTGCATACACAGAACCAGTCTATGGCTTCTGGGACTGCGTTCGCAATCTCTTACCAGGTCTGTTCCTGTTATTGTCTGATTGAACACAAAGCTTACCAATCGAGCAGTCGGATATCAGCCAGGTTACGATGGACAACCTCGCCGTGTTTACCGTCCGCTATAAGTGCGTTTCATTTCCGATGACCCTGCGAATTCTCCTGACCCTTCATTATAGCACCCCCTGGAAACGTGTCACAAGCTACGATGTTCCAAAGGACATGCCCGCTTGTCCCGCAGATGGTTGCACTTGTGCTGTGAGTTATTAATGGTTTCCCTCGACAAGACTAATTTATCATTCATCTTCGACAGTGGGTTTGGGTTCGTTATCTCGGTTGCGTTTCATTACCGTCAATTAACAATATCTTGTAGATTCCGAACGGGTGCGGCGAGCCTAACATTTACATGCAGGGATTTAAGTGCATGGTCACCAACGCTACTTCCACTACCCCTATTGCGACTCCCAAGCCTCCTGTCTGGTGCCAGGAGGACCAGAGTACATGTACTCAGGGCGCCAAGCAAATCCTGATCTGGAATCAGGCTGAGGGAAACAACATCGCGGTTAATGGCACGGACCAGAGCGGCAATTCTAAGAGCCCGGCGTACAATAGCAACTGCGGGTTCCAGGACGGTGAGGGTTTCCATGCTTTGGTTGTCATTGGAAATGTTGTATCTGATATATCGTCACAGGAGCACAGAATGATATCTTTGGTTCATCGTCCTCTGCCGCCGCCGCGCCTGCAGCAATCGTTTCATCACCGTCATCGGCTGTTTCATCTTATTCGTCAACTGTTTCATCATCTTCATCAGCTGCTTCATCTTCTTCGTCAGCTGCTTCATCATCCTCACTACCTGCTTCATCACTTTCACCACCTGCTTCATCACTCTCGCCACCTGTTGCATCACCCTCATCAGTTGTTGCATCACTCTCGTCAGCTGTTGCATCACACTCGCCACCTATTGTATCATACTCACCACCTGTTTCATCACCCATCATCTCTTCCAGCGCCGCAGCCTCCATGGCCCCAGCTCCATCGTGCGAGACTTCTACTAGCACAGTGTTCATCACATCTACGGTCCAGCCACCCGTGGTTGCCTCCACCCCCACATCAAGTGATCGCACAGCCTCACAATCGGCCAACAATCTGGTGGCCACTGCTGTATCAAGCACATCGACTGTCACCCCGACAAATCCCAATACCTGCCGCAAGCGGATGGTTCACAAGCCCGTCCGTCGTCGGTTCCTTTTCAAGTAGTTGATCTACGATGTTATGCTGTTGATCAGACATCTCTTTATTGAGCAAGCTCGACTATCTTTTGTTAGCTTCTATGTAAATCGTGAGCTTCGCATTCCATCAATTTCGTTCTTCTGTTGTCATATTCCATGGTCGGTTGTTTATACCCTGCATGCCGTTGTTACCATGTTTGTCGTTAGCATCTCGGCGTTGGCGCTCATTGTATGAGGCTCAATATATTTTACTCTCCATACATCTACCAGATACTAGATACTAGATACCGCATGCCCAATGCTTATGTGCTAGTCTTCACCATACCGAAAGGCAGCAATTTTGTGTGATGCTATACAATTGTTTTTCTACTCGGTGATTGCGGCAATACCACTCACGTGTCTCCGGACTGCCGGTTCCGCGCTCAGCGCTTCAAGCTGAGAACTTGACTTGATTAAGTTTTTCAACCTAGTCTTGACAAAACTACCAATTGATTGTTACGAATGTTCCTCACGCGGCAAGCCCCCGACTCCCATTCAGCTGAGAATTTGCAGCCTGATTCTCACAGGAGTGCACTTCGATATTTCTTATCTCTGAAAATTACCACAAAAGGCCTCAGCCGACGTTTCTTCCACAAATTGAACTACTGTATACCCTAAGACCTTTCTCTTGCAAGCGACAGTATCACCAACTCTTTGCCCCTTCTTGGAAGGAGCACTATGTCCTACGAGACCCCGGCCTTTCGCTTGCTCTTTGAATCTGCACACTGTACACTGGGCGAACAGGCTCCATGGCGTAGCGGCGATCGGAAGTAGCCTGAAGTAATTCAGGGGATTTGAGAGTGGTCTGATAAATCCTGCAGCTCTCTCAGGGTTGTCTTTCGAGTTTCGGCAGGCTAAAGTCCATGTGTGCTTGTGAGCATCCGAGTCCATGACACCTCCCTCACGTGCAATTGGGCTCTAATCACAAACGCATTTCTGCCTCCATCGTTACAGGCAGCTTATTGTTTCGTTGGCAAGACGGTGCTCTTTGTAAACTATATGAACCGGCGCAGCTTACGCGGAGGAATCAAAAGTATTTTTGCCTTTCCCAATCGAGAAGAAGCCAGCCCCACAACAGCAACGTTTTTCAAAGTTTGTGGAACAAAAACGCTCAAATTTCACAATCAGTTAAACAAATGTCTCATTGGCATCAATGTTAAAGCCATGGAAGTGCGTCTGCAGCCGTCCGGTCAGCGCCATGAAGATCTGGTGCACGAGCCTTACCTGCCCCAACCTCTTCGCTTTGATCGGATCATCCGCCGCTGCACCCGACACGATTGTCTGTTCAATCCTGTAGCCAAGACTTGTAAACTTATCAACCTTCACATATGAAATCCACTCGTCTTCCTGCACTAGTCGTAAGCAGCTTACTTATATTGCACACCGACTGAATTCCTCCGTCTTAGATAGGTGCTGGGCCAGCAGGTCTGGTAGTAGCGTTTACACTCCTCCAGAATGGCACCCCAGTTCGCATCGTCGACAAAGACCCCAACCTTCGCGTCGGATGATGAGGGGCTCCTGGAAGCTGGAGACAGGGCGCCTGATGCACCGAATGCGTTGTATGGAGTCTGACGTGAAGGCGCTTTTGGTCTGTACAGACCCTAGTATCTCACGGTGCTTGTGTTTGGACCGAGTCTTACAGATGCTACCCTAATCTTAGGCGCGCTGAAGGCATATGGTAAAGATCGGCAGTCGGTTTGCCTTCAACTGCACCAGTGACGCCCGTTGCATCTAACCTTGTTCCTGTTGATCAGGAGGGTTGTCCTTATTTAGCTTACCTCGCGGAATCTGGCCAGACGAAGGTATTTGCGATACGCTCGGACGGAGTGATTGGAGTGATCATACATGGTGCAGGAGGCGTGAGGAAGTATTTCTCGAGAATATTTTGGGGCGTGTAGTGGTATGTTCTTTGCTTATAATATCTTTCGGACAACAACTCATCTGCATATGCCCCAATCCATGTATTCAGGTACTGCTAATTCATTTACGGACGTCGGCCAGGCCAGCCCCCGACTCCAGTTTGAATCGCCTGACGAGACTTAACATACAGCAATGTTCTGTCTTCTAGATTCTAGATTGTTTGCTTCGGCCCGTAGTCAGAATGGAAGTTTCGAGCGTTCGATATAAATGATATGGTCTACTTATTCTCTTGCATAGTGAGACTGTTTCAATATGCTCGATCTCTTTTGTTCTTGAGTATCCCCAGGCAGCTGTGGGTCTGATGTGGCTTCACAGTGGTGACCGAACATATGCAAATATTGCATATAACCTGCGATAGGCTAACAGCCTACCACGACCTGCCCCATGGAGATGATTAATTTCTGTCGGAGTTTGTGGCTGGTGATCACAACTCTTTTCGACGAGGGGCGACATTCTTCTCATGGAGAAACCTTCATCCCATGGGACCATTAATAATACTCTAGGATCCTAATTTACGAGCACCCCGAATGGTCACGTTATGCAGACATCTTCCCATCGTTTCCTTCTTCCTCACCGGCAGCAATGTTGTAATTGATGAATGCTGACAGTTATTCCTAGTTTCCCCTTTAACCCGATATTTGGACCTTGAATGCGCACTGGCAGGTGACATGCTCTACGGCGTTGGATTTCTTTAAATTTCTCGCCTTGAGTTTCAAGCTGGCCTTGAACGGTTAAGATGTTGCCTTCAATTGTCCTCGCCTTTACTACTTTTGTATCACTTACTTCGGCAACCCCTTTGATCTATGATGGCCGCGCCCCCTTCAACTATACCATTGAAGACCTGGACAATTCCCTGGACCCCTACTTGTCGTAAGTATCGTCTTATCTGCCACTTCGCCATACGTGGGCTGACTTCATCTCAGAGTGGTGAAAGGCACAATGAATGCCTCATATGTATGATTGTATCCTACTTGACGCTGATGGCTGCTAAACAACCTATTCGCAGTATACTCGGCTCCTTGGGCACGCGCTCAATGCTACCCCGTTGTGGTCGTCCAATCTGCAGTCTCCTATAGAGCAGCCGATGACGATTTCGATTGATAATACTTCTATCTTCGTCCCTGGAGGTAGCACGCCTCAAAACGGTTTCCGCAGAACGGAGCTCATTGCGCAAAAGTATGGGAACCACACCGCCTTGAACGCTATCGCCGATGTAGGGACCACCGTGTTCCATGTATCCATTCTAGAGGAGTTAGAGAAACCTTTGAATATGAGCCATGAGTACCAGATCGTCTGGATTGAGCCTAATGATGGAACCCACGTCTTCGAGATCCAGCTCGGTCAGTGTTACATGGTGCTAAAGTCGTTATATCTCCCTCTCCCTGACACTCCCTGCTATAGGTTCACCTTTCACCATCCCCACGGGCACTGTACCTGTCTCTGATGCTCGATTTCTGAAAGTTCGCAACCATGCGCTTGACCTTATGTTTGAGACGCCTTTTACATCCCACGACTGGCATAACTTCGCGGTCCAGATCGACTGGACGAATCTTACCCTTGGCGTCTTCTATTCTACCAATGGAGAGCCGCTGAAGGCTGTCACTGGCCTAGTAGAGAATTTGAGCGCTTCACTCGGTGCAGCTGGCCAGGGCGACTATCATTTTGGTGTACTTAAGGTAAGTAAGCCACTACATGACTAAATAAAGGGTTGTCGAATTGTGATGTAGCTTCCGCTCGCGGACCCCAACGAAACGGCTGCGCAGCAGAGCGATGTTGTGTATTTCGGTTGCCAGGAGGGTGATACAGAGGCGCTAACATATTCGGGTGTCTTCATTGAGGGTATCACTGGAGGCATCAGTGCAGGATATGGGAAGACTATCGCTCCAATATCTTGACAGGCCACTACCTGGTTGATGTTGCAGAGGTGAATCCTCGGGGGCGGTTGACTAGTATGAGTGAATTAATTCTTCCGGCGCGGAGAGTTGATGCTGCGGTCGACCCACACTCGTCGGTGTTCTTCCATGTGTGACAGCGGGGCATCGAACTGTGCGACGTTAATAGTCCATGAAAGGTCCAATAAAAGCTTTGTCTTCTTCTCCTTGGCGAAACTAGACTGGTTTGCAATTAAACGGGCTCGAGGGAGTCCACAGGAATTGAAAAAAGAGTGCGTAAACCTGACTGCGAAACAATCATCCCCTGGAGGGAAACATGATCAAAATATGATACTTACCTATGATATATGTAGAATGGTCGTTCTGGATGTTGACGGCTCAGCCGCCCTAAGATAAACCTTTCACTTACCTTCAATTCATCGTTGCCGAAGGGCGACAAGGACAGGTCCGTCGTAATAGTCTCTACGAACTCCTTTCAGTGTCCCATGGTGCACTGAGAAGGAAATCTCACCAGTGCTAGACCACTTGAGCGCCTGGCAGCTTGTCACTGGGATATAGCTTGCAATGTTGCCTGAAATTGTACTAATGAATGTTCTGTTCCATCATTTTATCTCCGCCAGACAATGGATAACACACAATGACAAACTTGCTGGTACTGATGTTCGATAACGTATTCTGAAGACGAAAACATCAAGAACATGATAATTTTTTTCCTGCAAGAGGACGCACTGATATGGCTCCACTTTGCGACGCCTTGAACCCCATCAAAGATCATTTCCGTAGGTATCTCATGAAGTCAGAAAAGTAGACGGATCGACGAATAGTACCTGCATACCAGAAACCCCGTATCCTTCACCCTTGTTAACTCTACCACGGGCTCAATATCATTATTGTGCAGCTGCAGTCCACAAGTCATAAGAGCGAGTAGCTCATTTATACACGTCCATGCCAAGCCGACGTTTTCGATCCCGCATGGACGAGTCGGTGTAAATACCCTGTTACCTGCTACAAACGACCGAGGACGTGTTGTGATAAATGTCATATGCGAACGATGTCATGAAAGTAGAGCGCTCCTTCAGAGTGTGCACGGGCACACCAGGTGCCGCTGTCTTGTGGACTTCGTCCCGTCATCGAGATCTCTATTCGATCCGAATAGTCTCTATTTACAGCGGGAATATTCTCAAGTTTGACTTCCTGCTGGCTGAGACCCTACTCAGTACATGAATTCATTCGGAATGCGAGAAGCTCACATTGTAGTGCCTTTGTATCGCTTCACATGTGAGGGCGTGCTCGGCATAAAGTCCGGCAGGCTCTGCAGCTGTTGGTCATGATTAGCTGATGTCGGAGGGGCGTCGACTGGCAATCATTAGTGAGACGAATGAATTAGCTGCGGACCCTGGTAGCGGTACTAGTACCACCTGTAGCTGAAATTAAATGTTGTTCAGAGGAAGTATGGGGGGTTGAATTCAGCCAGCAACCAGCTCTAGAGGCCTGTCTCTTTTAAACGGCAGGAACGGGCGTCTGGACGTGATACTACGAGAATATAGTTGCAGAAGGGTATGAAACAGATGACGTACGAGCCAATGCTTTCTCAATTTTTGTGAGCCTCCCAACTTCATACTTGCGTGGCATAATGTTGGTACCGGGCAAATGCAGACAAGTTCAGGATATGACCAGGGCAACACAGCCTCAGGTGCAGATTATTCGAATATGGAGGTTAAATTGTTAATGGTGGTCAAAGAATGTATTACGGTAGTCATTCGGATGCGGCTGCCTAAAATGGCGAACAATAGCACCCTGCCGGAGTGATTCATTGACGCGAACGACGAGCTCTGGTGCAGTGGGATATGCAATCAACGGTCCCCAGACGTGCGTCGACGCTGAATTCTGCAGTACCCTTGTCTCTCGTAGGTTATACGGCGGACCTCTACTCGGACTCGCGCAAGTACGGATACCAAGGACCAGTGAGAAATGTCCGCTTGCACCGTGCAACAACCAATGGTGGAGGGACAATAGCGAAGAGTGACGATGGTTTAAGATGTGTTGTTGCAGGACGAGAATGTGAGTCACATCTTAATATTTCGTGTAGCACGAGATTGACGTGTTGTTGAAAATTACCGTTAGCCCTGCGCATCTTGCGTCTGTCTGATCCAGAAGATGTCATAAATAATGACCACAAAGCCTCTATTGGTCGCGGTGGGCATCGTATCGAAGCGTCACGGAACATATGGGATGGAAGTGGCTTGAAGATTGATAGTGCAAGTACTGATGTTGCCTGGTGCCATGGCAGTAAGCAGCTACAAATACTACAATGTTCAGCGCTTCATTCCCATTCCATCCTTTGAAGGTTATAATAACAAGATTCTCACAAGCGCGCGGAATGGGGATCTTATTATGTGGGACCTCAACAGGGCTGGCAATGCCAAGTACGGTGCGTAGATTGATCTGACATCAAATCCTACATCTCAAATACCGTTAGAAAGGAAGACGAAGTTTCATATCCGTTCTATTCACAAGTTATCCTGCTCCACTATAGTTCCGTACTACTGTGTTACAGGTTCTGCTGATGGTGATATGCGTGTCTGGGTGTGTACTTATCGTGTTCTGGCCTCTCGGTAGCTCATCCTTGGCGTAGGATCTTCGGGACATGTCGAAGTCCATCATGAAGATCCACCATCCAACCTGCGTTCGCTCTCTGGTCTTCTCACCATGTCTATCACATCCCCTTCAAGCTGTTGTAGGTCTTGACAACGGATCGATCTATCGCTGGGATCTTCAAATGGGCCAGAGGGGTCAGCTCGACAGGTTACCTGTAGCCCATGCAGGTCCAATTCTCGCACTGGACTGGTGTAACACGCCAGGTTCCAGTAATGTTGGTGATGCTATTGGTGCTGATAGGAGCTGGATAGTCAGCGGAGGTTTGGACCACACTGTCAAAGCACGTCGGTTTTTACTCTATTGCGCTACGTTTACTTATGGACATCAGGTCTGGGACCTCGCCACATCTGGCACGTCCGTTCATATTGCGCATCAGCCTACCTATACCCTTCATCCGTCATTCCCTGTACGCCGAGTACTCTGGCGTCCCGAGTTTCCCTCCGAGATTGCACTTGTGTCCAATGAAGACTTTGGCGGAGGGAGTGGCAGTGAGCTATTAGCCAGCCCTCGACTACAATCCGCAACTCCAGCGTTCATTAATGCCTCCAATTCTGTCACTAAAGACAAGGATCCCAAAGGTAACGGTGCTGACACTGTAGAAATATGGGATGTAAGACGTGGCTGGATTGCTAAATGGACTGTTGAAGCGAGCTCGTCGGAAGGGGGAGTGACTGGTACGTATACAAATCACGTTAGGTCTCATCGAAATAATCACCTGTATGCCCCGCATCTGCAGATGCCATATTCCGCGACTCGCATGCACTTTGGGTCCAGCATGCATCTGGAACATTTGCTCAAGTGGACTTACGCAGGTCTGTACGCCCTATTGATGCCGTTCCGCGCATGGCGCTTTCTTGGAATGTTGGTGTCGATGGAGATACCGACGGAACATTAGCTTTTGTCTCAGACAGGAGAGCCAGATGGGAAGTGCCCTACGATGATATGTCCGTACTCTCCACTTCATGCCGCAACTACTGTCCTATTTGTGATGCAGTCATCCTGACAAACGACACGTACTTCTTGAACGAAAGCTCAAACATAAATGCCTTGGTGACAAGCCTCGCATGCCCGTTCTACAGACTATGGGTACGTATGTACGCGGAGGGCTTTGTAATACGGAATCTGGAGGGCTATTTGAGCACCTGGCAAGAAAGTACCTTATCGAGTCTGACGGGAGGAACAGGGCCGCCGTTTGCAAGGTAAACGCCGAGGTCAGTACTCTTCCCGTATGGGGGTGTTTATAAGTGAACAAATGTCCGTAGGCATCTATTCAAGCGGGAAGCGTGCACGCAGCACAAGTATGGCTGCTACTTGGCTCTCTGCTTACCGACATCATTCCAGAGTACATTAGACCTTCACCTCATTCGGAGAAGAACCATCAGATTGCCGTGCACCTCACGCACTCTAATTCAGCCCCTGCTGCTATCCCTACAATTGGCACAAGATCTGGATCACATGCCTCGGGTTCCGCCTCGAAACCTGCCTCACACCGCGCTGCCTCGTCAGATTCTGTCTCCAAGATGATCCAACAGACACGCCCCACTTCCACTTCCCCTGCTCATCCACGTACTGTCAGTCAAACATACCCTCAACCTCGCCCCCAAGATAAACGCTCCACGTCGAAAAACAGCAGCGGAACCTCCGTATCGAGAGAACGTGAAGGAGAGCGAGACGGCCCGCCCACAACTAAACCACCCCCTAATTCACGAAACTTGACGCCTACGTCATCTACATCCTCATCGCCTCGCCACATACCCACTTCCCTTCCGCCAGCGCAAGCACTCCCGCCTTCGGCAATCATGACGCCTGCTACACCTCGTCGACCATCAGTTCTTATTTCCACCCCTGCACAGGTACAAGGACATGCGCGGCGACCGTCTGTGTATAACCGTGCGTCCGCAGCACACAGTGAGAGCCCTAGCACACCTAGTATTAGTGTGAGCGATCGAAGCCTCCGCCACGTAGGTGAAGGCGCCCTGGATGACTCGGATTCGTCAGACGGCAGTGAAAACTGCGTAATGATGAGCGCCGATGCCCAGGATAGTCATAGTGAAAATGAGAGAGATGTACCACCTGATTTCCCTCGACGACCCATAATGTTGAAGTCGAGGAGTCTTAGCATGGGCCGCACAGGTCCAGCGCATCCCAGCCCACTCTCCAGACTCGCTGGGCAACGTTGGACGGAGGATGAGGATGATGGTGGTAAAGAGCATGAGGACAACGAGGCCAGTCCGTCACCTGGATCGACTGATACTGACGGCGAAGGACATAGTGGCCGTGACTCAGAGTGCAGTACCAGACCACAGAAGGTCAGGGTAAAAGCAGCTTCTGTGACGAGGACGCGCCCCAGAAAGAACTCGACCGTCAAGCGACTGAAGAATCGCACGCGGAGTGCCACCGTCGCTGTTCTTGCTGCATCACTACCATCTCCTGCGCAGTCAGTATCCGAGAGTTCTCACTTGGTGAAGCAGGCGAGCCACAGCAGCATTCGTACAGTTACTGCCGGATCTGTCCGCGAACAGGAACAAAATATTGGGCTCATACATCATGATGAGGATGCCTCGCAGGCGGACGCGGAGTCGGATGATTACCAAGCCTGGCGTGGTATGACTGAATCTCGACGTCGCGCTGTGATAGAAGAAGAAGCTCAACTCCGCGAGGCAGCATGGCACGCACTTAGGGAGGCGGTTGAAGAATTCGCAGAAGCAGTAAGCGATAAATTGACGTGGTCTCACATAGTATCTGATACAACACAAATTAGGGCGATGTTCAGATGTGTGCTATGCTGGCGCTCATTGCAGCGAAGGAACTGGGGATTAACCGGAGGAGAGGTTTGCAATTCCTAGAGGCATATATTGGTAAGCTTTTGTGTTTGCCTGGCATGAACGCTTGAACCAATACCCGTAAGAACTGCTCACTCGCCTCCGACTGCACACCTGCGCCGCGTACTTGCGCAAATGCAGTGATCTTGAAGATGTTTCAAATACCACCAAGGTAGGTCCTGTTCAGCTGATGGGCGGGACGGTGTTAAAGAATAGTTTTAGCTCGAAACCATCATTTATACTGCCTGCGGACGTTGTCGAAAACCTATTCTTCTTTCACGCGCTCGAACAGTGACCGGAGCTCATGCATTATGTACGACATGCAAAAGTGCGGTTGTGAAGTGTTCGATATGGTCAGTCAAGCACTCTATGTCATTCTACACGCTGAGAACTCGTTACCATTAGTCATCTTCCCGTCCGCACACTACTTTTCCAATGTTCTGTTTGTACGCATGGTGGTCACCAGGAGTGCTATAGGCGATATCACATGGGGCGTCCGATGGTCGATATCCCAACCTCTTTATCAGCGCGAGGGCGTTCGCTGATCAGAGAACGCGATGATGATGGAGAAGAGAGAGAGGAGGTTGCCTACTCTGAGGGCCGGGGGGAGAGAACACTGGCGGGCCATCTGTGTGCAGCCGGATGCGGGCATTACTGTTGGGCAACTGTGGGCGGGCACCTAGGCGCAGAGGAAGCTTCATGACCAGCCAAATCGGATTGACTCCACATGGTCGGTTTTGCCGTTGTAAATTTGGATATCTTGGTGGCGAATATCGAACGCAACGGACTGTGTGCGCTTTCCTGCGATTCGCAATTTGCATTGAAGATATGATCAGACGGGAAGACCAGGCGAGGCTGATGTTCTTCCCGCGCGGGGCTTCAGTTCTTCGAGCATCCATCCAACCGTTTCGTCACGACCAAACGCAATTCCCGCAGCATCACTGAGTCGAGAATTCACAATTATGGATCTGCAGCGTGCGCTCATGTTATGAGCTCGCCAATATAAGATACGAGTACAAATAAATACAATTGATGTCGAGGTAATTGTACAAATGATTTCCGTGTTCTTAAATACGTATGTAATCGCTCGAGGACTGCATCTCCATTGGCAGCATGACGCATGCTTTATTCTTACTTGAGAGCTGAGTAAAAGAATTTCCGTGTTTCAAAATGCATGTGTAACCAGTCGCGGGGAGTGCTTTATCTCTGTTAGTAGAACATCCCAACATTCGTTATAACGAGATGCCTAAGTGAAAGACAGTTGAGGACCGTGACATGGGTGACATTACGGAAAAACTTACTGAAGATCCACGTACTTTAGCCGGCCCTCGTAGCTTCATCGCTTGCGTCCATCCCATATCTATATGATTCGAAAGCTTCTCCGAGTCTTCCAGCCTTCAAGAGTGCAAGACACAGTTTCTCGTTGGTGGTTTGCCACGGCCCACAATGACTCGAGCTCCCACCCGAATAGCTGCAAAAATGATTTCCAAATACTCGAACAGCTGTGGTGCTTGGAATGAACTGCGCCATTTTACAAGAGGTGGGCTTCAAGTTGGTGCAGGGATCGTGGGTTTTGTGCTCTGAGTTGCAGAGGTGCGTGCACCGCGGATGATTATCTACTTCACATGATTCGAAAGTTCGACGCCTAACGCATGAGGTTCTAATAATCATAGAGACAGTACATGGTTCACCTTATCTCCCCTGGTCAGACTTTATAGATGAAGGAAGACAGGTCATCCACTGTTTCCTTGAACTAAGTTTACCGCGGCCATAGACATCCGAATCATAATCTGCCCAGTGGCACGTCGAACTTTGATTCCCTGCGATGTTCTGACCGGAGATCTGATAGTTGCGGAGCCTCCTTTCATCTTCCCAGGGATCGACACTATGTATAGGACAACTTCCTCTTTCGCAGCATGATCGACTACAGCGATCTAGACTCGTGTCCAGCCCACCTTTACCACGGTGAATGTCGGACTGGCCCTAGGGTCACACGGACGTTCATTTACGTTGGATCCCGGCGTTGCCCTGAAATGTTTCGACGGTCATAGCCAGTTAAGTTAAGCTCTCATCACTGACTTCTGTACAACATGTATGAGATGATAAGTATCCCACTCGGGAAAAAGCTAAAGAAGCACGGAATAACGTGTGTATGAAAATCCAAACAGACTCAAGGCCACCACGGTCATGAGGTCACAACACTTGGCATCGCATCTCGGTTTGATCAATAGTCGGAGTACTTGCTCTGACTGTTCAACGTTGACGCTGAACAGCGCTCGGCGTATAAAGGGTCAGGAATGTACACCATTTTCTCCAACCTACTCATCTTTGTATTCAGCTTAGCAAACAGCCTTGCACGAATCAGCTTGTCAACGTTGTCTGATATTACCCTCATACAGAAATAATGCCGTACACCATCGCAGTTAGAACCATCGACACCACTGGTGTCTCTTCATACCTAGGACACCCGACGGACGCTCTACAACTTGAAGTTACAACTTGAACAATTTGATCCAGATTACAGAAGACTGCCAGAAGACATACTGCTAGAGAACTCCGCGGCAACCTTGTTTGAGATCATCATGGAGCCTGAGGTCCGTCACGGTGAAACCGTGACCGTGTCGCCTAGTAGGATATTCTTAACTTTGACTTTGCTGGATCGGATAGCAAACAAACATTGATATTCTTCCGCTGGCAGCAATTTGCAATAGATTGCAGAATGTTAGACAGTATACGTGCAGGAAGTCCGACCACCGAGATAACCAAGTCGAAACTTCCACTGGCCAGGCAAGCACTAGTTGTATTCAGGTTGGCCTCAGCTCGAGTAGACTAACGACGGGACTTGGAAATTTATCTTGATGTGAGTACATTTTCTGCCTGCCAGCCAAGCGCAGATCATCGAAGAAAGAGTTGATCGTCTACAACAACTTAGGGGCACAGCCAACATGATGTGAGTGAAATGTTATCTCGTCCTCCGGCCGCCGTTTGTGTGTTTATTGAGACAGCGTCATTTGGCTTTGGAAGTGATCGAATCCACGCGTATGTGACCTTTCGAAGAGGGAAGCCGAGTCGCGGAGATTTTCTCCTCATGGTGACCATGTTTCTTAAAGGTGAAGATAATATCTGTAGTACGACTCATGACAGCTCATCTGCCGGCTCGTCCATAAATCCTCTTCACAAGACGTAGTATAACCAAGTCATGCTATCATCATCTAAACACAAACAGCTTCCTGACACACGTACTCCAGTATACATTGACATTTGGCCAGAATCCAGCTCATGGTCGAGCTCATCCTCACGTTCACATGCATCGCCATCTTCTCTATCAAAGTCCCCTGAAGTTGTCGCTGCATTTCACCCCTCCTTGAACGCGCCGAGGCGTTGCATGAGGGACATTGATCCCACAGTAACCTTCGTCTCGCCTTCTGTCTTCATTGGCAAGTCATCCTATATAATTGTATTGGATGGTGCACCCATACACAGCGAGGACACAAAACTCGAATTTGTTGGACCATACTTCACCAGTTCTATCATCCCATCCGGTGGCGGTCCATTGCTTTACAGCACAGCCTTAGTTCCCAAGTTCTGGGAAATCTTGTGCAAATCCCCAGGTTCGTACTTTCTGACCTTGACGTGCTACATATGTGTGACTAGTCCTTCCAAGACCCCACCATGTACACCATCATTCAGGATGTGTACCACCGAGATCCAGCACCCCTCGGAAGGTCCTCAGGTCGTCCGCGCCCTGTTCTTATCTTTTCTGCTAAATACCACTTCCAGTACTCAGTCCCTGTATGCACGCCCCCATCTTCCATGACACCATACACTCCATCTCATGCCAATTCGCCTTTCATCGCGAACGTTAATCATGCTCATTTAAAATTTTTACTCGAGCCTAACTGTGCGCGCAACCGCCTTAGTATGCCTCCAAGCCTCTTGGGTCAAGACAGCCTCCAGTCGCATGAAGACAACATGCAAAGCCAGCTGTATGAGCAATCCATACCGGACGTCAGCCTACGGGACTTTTCCCGCGTTGACTTCATGATCAATAACCATGACTCGTCTGGTAGTACCACATCAAAAGAGATGACGGTGCGGTCGTCGTTTTCAAGCTTCCCGAAAGACATCCGTAATTATGTGAGTAAGCTGTTCAGTGAGAAGGTCTGCTCACATGTCCATCAGATCATGTAGGAAATGACTGTGATATTACATAGCGTTTACTTATGGTATGTGTGCTCGCATTCTATATGTGGAGACCTTCGATGCTATCACAGTCAAACTGAGTTTCCGCTCTGTAGGTCCGCATCAATGGCATTCGTCCGGAAAGCGCCGAGAACTTAGAGGGACATGTTGGGAAGTGATGTTGTTTTGTGTACTGTGTGTGCTTGTTATTCTAGATATTTGGAGTCCCCCGGTACGGCTAGATAGCGGCAGGGTACTGCTGTCCTTAAGGTTGGCACTCACCTGTCTGATACGGATAGCGAGGTTTTCCCATAGTCGACAGGGCTTCACAGCTTGAAGCTCTGAAATTACGATCTTACCCCTGTAGAGTTATAAGAAGTCAACGAACTTTCAACTTCCGACTATCAATCGTGTTCCTAATAAGTACCATGTGTCAATGAACGTTACAGGACGTTACACTGCCCAGCTGCAGAAATTCGTGGTATCTGATCAGATGCATTGTAATTCAAACACCGCTGTCCTGTTTTATGTTTGACGATTGGCCTATTCTGAAAATGTCTGTGGCCGGCACTCAGGCTGCAATTATGAGACTACATTTGGCGTCAATCTTCGGTTAGACTAACATCCGGAGGGACTTGCTTTATGTAACCTAACTGTCCTGGGGAAACGCCGAGCAGCGCTGGGCGTCGTATAAAGGGCCTGCGACGTACACCGTTTTCTCCAGTTTACTTATCCTTGCAATCAGGTTAGCGAAAAGCCTAGCACGAATCTGCCAGTCAACGTTGTCTGATATTACCCTCATACAGAAATAATGGCTTACACTATCGCAGTCAGAACCATCGACACCACTGCCGGCGACCCTGGTTTCACGGTCGTCGAGAAAACTGTGTGGTATGCCGCCAATGGCGGGACGTGGTCTAACACAGACTCTATAGAGACCCTCGTCATGGGCGGCAGCGGCACGTCTGGTGCGCTCCGCTTCAGAAATGGCGCCGGGGAGGAGTTCCTCGTGACACTGGGCATCAGTGCCTATAAAGTATGGTGCGACGTCGTCACTGACCTCGCGCCAGGAGACACGGGCTTGAAGATTCACCCCGAGTACTACACGGCTGGCCCTAGGAAGTCAAATTGGACTCAACTGGCTGAAGTCCGGAAGACGAGCGCAAAGAGAACTACAGTGGATGTCAAGTTCGTCACGCAGGAGGGACACGACTCGGTCGTTCACATTACTATTTCTTGAGTTGTCGTAGTACCAAAGGAGTTGTGGGACGGCGGCCCGGATATACGATTGGGAATCGAATGTACCATTGTCAAGGCGAACTCGATATAAATGATTTGATGACGAACATACTTGACAAGAACTTTGAAAAGCACTCGGTATGATTTTTTCATGGTTAATAGAAAGATGGAAAGCGACAGCCGACATCGTTACACTTGAAGCTCTGTCAAATTTGGAAGCCAGATCCGGTGTTCAATCATGTTGGTACTTACTGGATGTCCACTAGAGTTCGCGCATTTTTTGGGCAACGTCTATTACTCCACAACACACAAACATTAAAATTTAATTCTTTGACAGCTGGATAGCCTGACATCGAAAGTACGAGCATCTGCTAGTTTATTTTTCGAAAATCGACGTGTTGAGTCCGGTGGAGAGTTACCGCGCAGAAAAGTGCATTTTCCCCGCACTTTGTCACACTATGGCACAGCATCTGCCGCAATGCCTTTTCACACTCCGCAGTGTCCGCACCGTTCGTAGGTGTTTTTGTGCCGCATTTTGGCATTGCGGAGTTTCGATTTACACAGTCTTGATGTAATGTTTTGGATAGATTGTCACGTCTGAGGCATATTTCTTATATTGCGGATGATCATGTAGCCCCGGAGAAATTTGTTTTAGTATTCTCTCATCGTGCATGACCATCATGCTGCATTCCAGAATTTTATGTGGTGATCTGACCTTTAGAGCGAGCCTTCTATGCACAAAACTAGCCTCCAGGACCAATAAGTTGGCTATGGGACGAGATCTACCTCGATTTTCTTCAAACAAAAAACATAGCACTGTGTATTATGTTGGGGGGAACCTAAATGCAACATACATACGGATTCCGTGCAGAATTGCGTGTGCTAGAGTCAATGCGCGAACTCTTGGGACACACGGACTCGTGGGACTATCTAGTACTAGGACAAGACATAGCAAAAATACAATATTGAATGTCAATGTTGTAATATCAACGAGACATATAATTGTCTTCATACAAGTCCATATCATATCGCGTCATACTGGGCTTCAAGAAATAATCATTCCCCTGCAAACAAGCGCACGAGCATGTACGTCGTCGAGCCGAGGAAACGAACGACTAAAGAACACAAGTTATCAGTACTAGCGATGATGTGGCGTCAGAAGATTCTGCTTACATGCAAGTCCAGCAACTGAGAAGAGAATGAACGTCATGTACCCGGTTACAGCCGCAGTTCCAGTCCCACTCGTCGTTCTGCCATTTAGAAAGTGTTAGCGAGTGGCAACACCTGCGCCCTCTCAAAATACTCACATTACAGAAGCAGCCAGAAGAGCCTGCAAACCCACGAGGTCAATAAGAGCGTTTCCAATACGAACCTATTTAATGGTCACTCACGTTGCTCAAAGTCCAAACCAGCAATACGTTCGTCCGGAACGTCTTATAATAATCTTCTTGCTGCGTTGTCGGATCAGGCTTGGAATCCGCCTTGGGTGGTTTAGACGACAGAACATGGATAGCATCTTCATACGCCGCATTGATGTCAGTCTCAGCCGTGGGTACTGCTACCTCGACTTCATTCTTGTTGTCCCCCTTGCCCGCGCTGACGACACCGAGATCAGTAGAAACCTTGTTGTCGCCCTTCGTTCCCCATGAGACATCATGGACGTTGGCAAACTGAGGCCTTGTGAACAACTGGAAGCCGTGTTGCAGAAGAGGGACATACTGCATAGACGTTCAAGACCGCAATATACGACGGCGCCATGAGGAGATATTGGACGAAGGACGTAATCATATGCCATGGCTCAAACTTGGACGATCATCAATACGTAACAAGCAAGATAAAAAGATGATAACTCACGAAGATTAACGAGGAGACGATATACAGCCCCAGCGTAGCCGCCAACGAGAACACGACATCTCTAAAGATCGCATTCGAGAATAGATCGCTAGCCTGGATTGCCCGTCCTTCACTCGCCGCTACGCCCTCGATGGCCTTGTATGCAAGCAACAACGCCGAGACAGTCATATAAATCGTGACTATGCCAAACCCGATGAAGGCGAGGGTGTAACCCCATTTTGCGCCTTGCGGCCGATTCCCGAGCGAGAGGAGGAAGCACATGATGAGCAACCCGAGATATAAATAGTTGAGGATGATGTTAAGGACATGGATTTGAGGAACGTAGGACTCGAGCGCTTGGGAGAGAATAATGAAGGCAATATAGTAGTTACCCTAATACGCATGAGGGTCATGATGGTAGTGTAGAGAATGGTACAAAAGGGAGCTTACAAGGGCAAACCAGGCAAATATGAGGTTGTACAGCTGGTAAACCATCTCGATGTGAATCCAGAACTTGCGCATAAATGAATGCGAGGAGCGATACAGGTAGTGGAAATGAACGGTAGAGTGTATGGCGGCAAAGAACGAGCCGTTAAGCCAGCGACGTCTTTGAGAAATTAGCTCAGGGACCTGTTGGAAAGGGTCAGCGTACACCACACCAGGACTTGAAACACTTGGATTGACCTGGTCGGGAACATCAGTCACACCGTAGGCAGATTTGACATAGTGCAGAGTCCACGCTCCCCCGCGCTTTGAGACAAGCTCCCAGCATAATATCTGAACAAATATCAGCCGAGACATCATCTTATTCGACTTAGCACCCACCCGATCCTCGGCAAGATACATGTTTGCTGTGAAGATATCTGCACCTGCACCATGCATCTTCTCGCCCAAAAAGTACTTCTGCAATGGGCCCTCCCCCATCTGGTCATTCTGCAGGGCGATATACCTATATGCGCTAAACGCGCCAGGTAGCACAGTGATATACCCGAACACACTCTCTAACGGCTTATCCAAAATATTCGACATTTTATATTCGAAATTCTGCGCTGCAACGAGTGGGTTGAGAAGATATTGTCCGTACTTGCCCTTCAGAGCGACAATTTCGCCGCATGCGCCGCCAACGTTCGAATTAATGTCGAAGGCTTTCCACAGATGGTAGATTGAGGTGGGGCCGGGCATGGTACCAACATCGAGGAGAACGCACACATTGGGCTGCAGTATTGGACCGAAGGCGTTGAAGAACCAGCGATGGGAGTTAATCTTCTTTTGGTTCTTCTCCTTGAGGCAGAAGATGATCTGTACGGGGACGACACCTTTCTCGGCGCCTTCGATTTTCATTGAAGGAGAGACCGATACTGTGATCGCGTTAAGACTAGATACAGATAAATGACGGTGAGACAAACTTTGCGTGGTATACTCGTATATGTGTGCTGCGACAGGTTTTCCATTGACGATATTCTTCTCTATCATCAATAAGATGACCGTTTGCCAAAATTGAAACGTACCTTCGCAATGCCGTCTTGATATGCCCCCATGGTAGCAATGACACTCAACGTCCGGGAATTGATCTTCGACCGCCCATCACTAACAATACAGACTACAACTTTCTTCCAACCCTCTTTCCCCCCACGTTTTGCTCCGACCTCGTGTGCACAAATGAGCGATATTCTTAATGACACCATGCATTGAACGACAGAATAGCTCCTCGTCTTCATTGTACATGGTCATGACGATGAAAAGCTCCGTCTTTCGTGGAGGATCGTAGTGCACCTGGCGGAGGGTGAACCCAGACTTCATAAAGTCGTTCGGGTCACATGTAGCTGCGGAGTACCGCATGTGGGTGAATTCGCGTTCATTGCGTATCGCGCTCATATCGAGCAGTTTTTTTGGTACTGCGGAGTCGAGCACGAAGTTACCGTGGAAGAGTCTGTACATTGTGAGGAAGAGAAAATAAGATTAAACAATGAACACTCACTCTACCTTCTTGATGGTCTTGTACCGTCGTTGTACGCGCTGCGGTATGTGTCCGTAGCGAATGTTAGTTTCCGAGCGATCATCAGAAACGGCCTCCTGGTAACCTCCAGGCATAGGTGCTGCTGCATAGGGACCATTATGTTGCAGCAGTGGCATATCGCCCAAATCATTGTCCTCACGCTCTACCATCTCATAATCCAGACCAAACTGCGACTGCGGACGTGGAGCGGGTGGTGAGTTATCAAAAGAATTATAGCGGACATGCGGTGTGAAGTAGTCTGTTGGTGGCTGCAGCGGAGGTTGTTGTTGTTGATACAAATCTTGTGATTGGGATGGAGGGAATGGGTTCGATTGAACTTGCGGGGTAATGAATGGGTCCGGGAGGTGATATTGCTGGTTCGGATCGTAGGGTTGGTGTTCAAATTGAGGATTGTAGTGATTTGGCTCATACGAGTCGTACGGTTGCTCTCCATAAGGATTGGGTGTCTCAGATGGGTGAGCGTTGTATCCGTCATTGTAGTGTCCTCGCTGTGCCTCGTCAGCCTGTTTATCATCACGATAAACCAATCTTATTAGGCACTTTGAACAACGACGATGGCAATAAACGCACCTCGTAGTATCTTGACATCGTGTGTGGGCAAGTTATCTCCTATCCGAGCAACCAAATGGAAGAGCTCGAAGAAAAAGGTTAGTAGTCCAGACTTTACCAGAAGTTCTAAGTACTGTGGAAGGCTGTACATAGAGTGTGGGAGTGCTTTTCACAGGCCTTGCACAGGCCCCGCTCTTCCACCGTGACTGTCCAGCCAACCGCAGTGCGCAGCTTCGGGCTCTTGGCTGTTATCTGGCAACAAAACTCGCGCCCGGAGATCCTTCAAGAGAAAATGCAAAGAAAGCTTGGGCCTTAAAAATAACTTACGCGTTGATGCGGTTTATCGGTCAGTGTCTTTTCTATGTGGCAATCACTCATATCTCAAAGTCTTATTTTCAGAAGAGATGCTGTACATGTACGAGCTGCAACTAAGTGATGTGCTGTAGGAACTTGCAAGGCTGAGAATCGCAGCTGTGGTACTCTTCGATCGATGTACAACTTGAAGTTGTCACTTCAAGCTTCATTAACATTACGCAATGTGCAATGTGCATTCAACAATCCTGTGCGACATCGTTATGTAAATTAAAATTCGATTTACTTCTTTCACAGCGGATGTGAGTGAAATTCGCTGCTTGGACAGACTCGGAGCTCTTTCAAGCCAAAGGCGAATCAATTCTAAACATTCACGAACAAATATATAGATCGGTCGCCCATCGTTGTCACAAATAATTTCGTTCTGAATCCTTCATACAATTTCAAGCACGATCTAGAGATCAGCACCCTTGCACATCCTTGAACGTTCAAGGTTTCTCTACATGGACCGGTACCGTTCTCAGCGTGCAGGATTGCAGGGATAAGCCTTCTCCAGAGACGATAAACCAGCGAAGATTCCTTGGCAGCGGTGTCCAAAATGCAAAGGATTAGGGAAGTAGTCATTCGGGACAAATTCACAATGCTCCTTTTCCCCCTTGACAGATGTTTTTCTGTCGTGCTGACCGTGAGGTAGGGGATCCTGATTGCCTATCTTTCAGATCGACTTGCTGCATTAAAGGGTTCAAGCACAGGTTGACAACGCGAGACAATAGGTCAATGTCGGTTAAGGGCCCATTGATTGAAGGATCCTTCATCATCGCGTCGCGTGGTGGTTCAGTAGTCTAGTGAGCACCACAGCAGCGTCGTAGTCATGGGACAATCGCGTGCTGGAAGCTCCTCGCCCTGGTACTGGGCAGTAGAGTCTGGCAACGCTGCCAGCGATTCGACAGCGAGCCTACAGTAACTCAGTCAAGTATTCATACATCACCCGACTTTAAACCCTTCTCCCAAACCTCTATCATGCCTCCTCCCCTCTCACTCAACCCACCGATGATGATCAAGCCCCCTATGGCAATGATCGCATTAACCTTATTCACATCAGTTGTTTCCCTCATCCACTTCGGAGATATATCCAACTTTCCATCCGCAGTTGGGCTACCAATTTCATGGAGGGTGACTTTTCCCATCAATGTGGATGTGAAAAGCGTGCGAGGCCCAATGAATGTCCTGTTGGCGTCTCAGTCCGGATATCGCAGTGCAGCAGTAATACACATACAGAGCAGTGATAGGGCCGTGCCCGACATCCGCCGTGAAGGCTTCATCTTGCTTCAATCCTTCCCACTTCCGCCGTTTCTTTTTGATAGATGTGCCAGATGACACTCCTGACATTTTCTCTCCGCCGGGACCAATCCATACCCGCCCGTCGGCGGTTCCCGCAGCCAAGATGCCAGATGGTGACATGGCAGACGACAATATGAATGGCGGAGACATTGAAACACCTGAAGACTCGGACAGAGGAGACATCCCTGACATAGGAAATATTAAAAAATGAGTGACAGCCAAATCCACCAAAAGTCAAACTACCTAAATCGAATCGTGACAATACAGTCTTTTGGTGAAAATCATGATGCAGCAGCTTAGAGTCGTATCCACCGCTGACAAGTTCACTGGGACGATCGGGAATGAACTTCACCGTTCCACATATCTGCATCACCATGAGCGAAGGATGCATCTGAAACATGAAGGATACAAACATTATCATGACTTGTTTTCATGCGTGATACTTGTTTCGTAGAAAGATCAACGACGCCGATCGTACCAGAGTCCAGACAAAATGCCAGTTGATTGTTTTTTTTGGTTGAGCGAGAGCTGGCTGGTCATGATCAGTCAGAAATATGAAGAATGATGCTATGCCCTCTACCTCGTTCAGCATGTCATCATCATCGGCACCAAGTTCCAACGTCAAGGTCGCGTCAGCCTTCTCAAGGATCATCTTTTCCGTGTCCATAGCAAAATGTAGAGCCTGTATAAGTTTAAGACACGACACGTTTTGTCAGGATCTCAACTGGTTGAGACGTACGTGACGATTGGACGCGACCCACATGTCCCCGAGGCCACCTGCATTGTGTGACATGCATACAACGGACGACACTTCTCCCAAACCTCTGATAGCCTTCACGACCTTCAAAGTCTCTTGATTATATACGCGAACAGATCCGTCATCTGTGGTATGTACAGAGTAAGTCTATATGATCCATCCGAGCATGAGATTCGATAGAAGCCCACACCTGAGCCTGCAAAGAAATGATCCGATGATCCTTCGGCAAGACATGAGATCGGCGCGGACGTTTTCAGTGTTTGTCGGCAAGTGTATGGTGTCTCCTCCATGATGAGCCAGTGATGAGCGCGAGCTTAAACAAAGTTCAAGTTCAAGCCATCCGGACTCCGCATTAGGTAAAAAATCATCCTCGCAGGCAGCTGAGGCTCCATGCAACTTGCCGAAACTCGTTGTTCAGCAACTTTACTGGCAGTGAGTTACAGCAATAGAATCTCGGAACGATCAATCACCTCAACCACTTCAAATATGGTGACTACAAGTGCCACTCCAGGAGCTCCAACTTGAAGGTGCTCGGTGACCTAAAGCAACTGCTTTGCGATAATGTCGAGGTTTAAGTTGCAGGTCAGTTCTGATTGCAAAATGTGATAACTGAATTTTTTATGACAATACTTATTTGTTACCCTACAGGCATAGATGGTGCATCCCCTGCCTTCTGACCCTTGAATAAGTCGAATGCTGATTTCCATCAAGTGGATGACATCCTTAGAGGAAAGTTCGTGGTATGCTTCTTGCTGAATCCGTCCTTGTCAATGTTTGATTTGTTAACCGCAGTCCAAAGATAAGTTTCTAGGCGCCGCTGCCTCAGAAGGGTTTGGATTTTGTAGTGTGATTTTGTACGTCTTATTGCCACCCCCGATTCGCTGTCATGATACAAGTTACGTTGCAGTGGCTGGGATATGCACGATTCAGTCTACACTTGGGAACTGGCCATATATAAAGAGAACGGTTACCGAGACCTAATGGCTTCGATAAACCTATTGGCATTTCATCGCATACCTCGGGAAAATAACGTGCCCTTTTCCCTTGTGTCATTCTTTGATCCGAAGACTTTAGCGCCCATTTGTGCGGATCCTAGAGGCGCTCTGCACGACTACGCATGATATGGAATGCATTTTTGGTGTGGAGTTTGAGCCGAGCAATCTCAGCCAGTCATGCGGTGCTCTGAATGAACTCATGAAGCTTTAATTTCAAAGGTGCGTCCGTGAAATTTATCGTCTACGAGACGTGATTCAAAGGGATTTATTTAAAGATCCCTGAACCCGCGGCTCAAAAGCGCTTCACTCAGTTGCAGCCATTCACTTCTGGAAGTAAGCAAAGTAGCGGTTTTTGCGTATTCGCTGATCATAAGTCAAAGCAGTGTATGGATATAGCTTACTGTGTAAGAATGCGCTGTTCGATGAGAGCATGAAGTTTGGCATAGACATCATATTGAAGGACATCGTACGATGATTTATTCACTATAACATCGATGAGAACTGACTCCTGTGCGGACACCGAAGCGGGTCCAGGTGTCCTCGAGACTGCGTTCGCTTATTCATCGGCTATGAATAGTGGACAATATCCTGAGAGTGAAATACGAGCAGCTGACCCACTTGCCGAGAGACTGCCGCGAAGGAAAAATCCAGTTTACTGATTGCGCACGATAACTCAGTACAATGATAACGCCAACGCCAACGCCAACGCCAACGCCAACGGAGCAGCAAGAGAGCATTCCACAACGAACCTCTTCGTTCCAGTAGTCACTCATACTCGATATCGGTATATTTTTGCTTGTAATCTTTGCTATCTGCACCCATCAAGAAGGCTGCAGTCAAAAGTTCATCCCGGTGTCTACCTCGGTGATCCTTCTTAATCATTGGAACCAGTAGGAGTGATTCACCCAAATCCACTCAAATCCACGGTAAATTTGCGTTAATTGACAGCCTTGTATATTGACGGTAATTGACACAGGTAAATCCTTAAGCCTCAGCTGGGCGCATTGTGAATTTACGCCGTGCATGTGAATATCGGAACATTCGGAATTCGCCGTACACTAGTTCCTGTGAAGAAGCATCCATTTGTCAACGTTTTCGTATGTTCAGTCAGCTTGTCTCCCATGATGCATGATGCACGAGATCTCGGTGGTCCCATGCCGTGCCTGATAATAGCACGAGCTCTAATATCACTACGAATGAATGGCGTTTCTGGCATTCGGACTTCCGCTCTGAGTCGTGGCCCACTCTTCCGAGTCAACTTCACGACTTTGTTACTCAAATACCTACACTAGTACTGTGGTCTTTTTCGAATAGGTAAGTTTACATATATTAATGGTCAGGTCTTACAGAATACTGGTACGTTCCTTCCACTGCATGAGCCATGAGCTCTCCCACTGAAACAATGGTCAATCCAGCAGCAGTTCAGTCTACTCCGTCGTCGCTTGTCCCAGCGCAGACGGATCCGACATCCTCGAAAGACTTCCGATGTCTTCCTATTCCGAGACGACTCCGCTATGACCCTGATAAGCCTTTCCACTTCGGAATGCTGCTCAATGTATCTTTTGGCATAGGCAGTACTTTAAGTAAGCCATGACATCAGGACGTTCATGGATACGTGTTTAACTTCAATGCAGTTGTCGCCAACCTATATTATTGTCAGCCAATTCTAAGTACGTTAGCTTTCGCAATTTCGATTTGTTGTCTTGACGTGTATGTCTCAAAGTTCAATTGTCGGCCTCTTTCCATGTCACGTATAACGAGGTGGCAAGGTGTGAATAGCCAAAAGTCTAACTGAGATCAATGGATTTAACATTCGCACAGAATACCAACGCTAGTTCAAGCTGGGTAAGGTTCTACAATCCTTACACATGGCTATTGTTAACCATGAGTAAGGTTTGGTATCGGTCTCCTATTCATAACGCCACTCGGCGACATGCTTCGCCGGCGCCAGTTGATATTGCTCTTGATTGTGTTTCCAACTACCTTAACAATAGGACTCGCCATCACAAACAACCTCTTGGTGTTCGAGATAATCTCCTTTCTGATTGGGTTGACGTCTGTCTCTCCTCAAATTCTCATGGCACTGGCTGCTGATCTCGCTCCTCCCGCCCGTCGTGGATCAGCTATTTCAGTTGTCCAGTCAGGTTTTCTGCTTGGCATCCTCATCGCACGTGTACTGTCTGGCTTAGTGGCCAATTTCACGAGTTGGCGAATTGTGTACTGTATGTCTATTGGCGTCCAGAGCGTTGTCCTGGGTGGTGCATACATGTTGCTTCCGGACTACCCAGTGAAGAACCGTGATTTATCCTACTTCGGGATATTTCGTTCCATGGCGAAATATATTGTCACCGAACCTCTCGTCAGCCAGATCATGTTAACAAGCTGGTCTGCCAGCGCATGCTACACCAATTGGTGGGTGACCCTCACGTTTCTACTCGGCGGACCGCCATATAACTACTCTACGTCCGTGACACTGTCTTGTTGCCTACTCATTTGCTGACAAAATAGCGTTAGGGTGATCATCGGCTTGTTTGGCCTTGTTGGAATGTTGGGTGTAATTGTCATACCATTCTTTGGCCGTCTGCTCGATCGGCTTGTGCCATGGTGGTCCGTTATTGTTTCGACTGTGTTTCTTTTGGTGTTCCAAGCAGTACAAACTGGGGCGGGAGGTAAAAACATCGCCGCGGTCGTCATCTCTTGCTTTGGATTAGACATGTTCCGCCAAACTCAATCCATATCACTCTCTACACTAATGTTCAGGTACAATATCATGTGTTTTGCAGTTCTGCCATAATGATTGACAATAAACCAGCATTTCGGAGACTGCGCGCTCGCGTTTGTACGCATTGACGATCATATCAGTGCGTTAGTTCACATTTTCTATTATGAATCAGCCGGATGATTCAACGGGCTGTCGCAGGTTTTTCTGGGTCAAATTACAGGGACGTCCGTTGGGACTGACGTCTTTGTTGGATATGGCTGGCGTGCAGATGCTGTGCTGTTCATGGCCATGTATGTCTTCCAGCTCGTTGTGCTTATCCTTAGAGGTCCCCATTGTCCCCGGAATCGCTGGTTTGGTTATGAAGGCGGGTTGCAATTCTGGAAGATCTTGCCGTCCAAGCAGTCCCAACTAGTTGCGAGCGACGACCCTGAGAACGCAGAATGTGGTCAGCTGGCTGTAGTATGCAGCGAGAAGGGGGATGCCAAAGGGGGCGCTGAGGAGTTCCGCTAGTCTGAAAAAATCTCGAGCCGAAATTTGACACTAGTACTGAACATTATATACTGCTAGCTTAGCTTAGAGGCTGTAACATACAAGTAACATACAACACTTGATCGACCTGATCACGCAATATCATCAGTTCACCAACTTTGTACAGTTGTTCCATGGTAAATTACTCATAAAAATTTGCTCATTATTGGGCACTATTGCTATCACTCGGAGGTTTTTCCAAACTTTGATTCTTGGCGTACCACATGCAGTTCCTCTAACGCAGCTAACAGAATTCGTGCTGTTCCAGATTGATGTTAAATTTGTACGTATATCACCGGAAGCTTCAAGCAGATTTTTACATGCTGCCGTTGGCGATTGGAGCCACGGAACGACCCCTCGCTAAAAGCTGCTGTCTATGCGCTTGCAGAATCGATCACGCAGTGCACGGTAGATCGGTCCCATGACATGTGGATATCTATCCAGTACTCGAGCTGTTCGTATTGTGTGAAAAATCTTCCTCTTAGAGATCTACAAGTTCCGGCACGCCAGGGCGGTAACTTAGAATCGTCCAGCAACTTTAGAGCAATAGAATCCCGGAATTATCAATCACCTCGACCGTCACTTCAGATATGGCGACTATGAGTGCCACTTCAGGAGCTCCGTAGTCAATCGATGACCTAAAGCAAGTGCTTTGCGATAATGTCGAGGTTTAAGTTGCAGGTCGGTTATGATTGTAAAATGTGATAACTTGATGTTCACAACAGTACTTATTTATTACCCTACAGACATAGATGGTGCATCCCCTGCCTTCTGACCCTTGAATAAGTCGAATGCTAATTAACATCTCAAGTGGATGGTGTCCTTAGAGGAAAGTTCATGGTATGCTTCTTGCTGAATCCGTCCTTGTCAATGTTTGATTTGTTCATCGATGAAAGCTGACTCCTGTGCGGACACCGAAATGGGTTCAGGTGTCCTCCAGACTGCGCTCGCTTATTCGTCGGCTATGAATAGTGGACAATGCTGTCCTGTCGCAGAAAGTGAAATACGAGCAGCTGACCGACTCGCCGAGAGACTGCCGCGAAGGAAAAACCCAGTTTACTCGTGGCGCGCGATAACTTAGTACATCGACAATGTCAACGCCAACGCAGCAGCAAGAGAGCATCCACAACAAACCTCTTCGTGAGTGAGAGCTTCTGCTGTCCATCTTTGTTCCAGTAGTCACTCATACTCGATATCGGTGTATTTTACTTGTAATCTTTGCCATCTGCACTCATCAAGAAGTCAAAAGTTCGTCCCGGTCTCTACCTCGGTGATCCTTCTTAATCATCGGAATCTAGGAGTGATTCACCCTGATTCACCTAAATCCACTCAAATCCACGGTAAATTAACGCTAATTGACGTCAGCCTTGTAAATTTACGGTAATTGACGCAGGTAAATCTGAATGCCTGCACATTGTGAATTTACGCTGCATGTGAATGTCGGAACATTCGGAATTCGCCGCACACTAGTTTGGCCTAATCCCTGTGAAGAAGGCAATCAAGAAGCATTCATTTGTCAATGACGTTTTCATATGTTCAGTCAGCTTGTCTCCCATGATGCATGATCTCGGTGGTCCTACGCCGTGCCTGATAATAGCACGAGCTCTAACATCGCTACGAATGAATGGCGTTTCTGGCATTCGGACCTCCGCTCTGAGTCGTGGCCCGCTCTTGAGTGGTCATCGACATCACGACTTTGTTACTCAAATACCTACACTAGTACTGTGGTCTTTTTCGAACAGGCAAGTTTATGTATATTAATGGTCAGGTCTTACAGAATACTGGTACGTTCTTTCTGTTGCATGAACCATGACCTCTCCTGCTGAAACAATTATCAGTTCAGCAGCAGTTCAGCCTACTCCGTCGTCGCTTGTCTCAGCGCAGGCGGATCCGACATTCTCGAAAGACTTCCGATGTCTTCCTATTCCGAGACGACTCCGCTATGACCCTGATAAGCCTTTCCACTTCGGAATGTTACTCAATGTATCTTTTGGTGTAGGCAGTACTTTAGGTAAGCTATGGCATCAAGACGTTCATAGATACGTGTTTAACTTCGATGCAGTTGTCGCCAACCTATATTATTGTCAGCCAATTCTGAGTACGTTAGCTTCGCAACTTCTATTTGTTGTCTTGACATGTATGTCTCAAAGTTCAATTGTCGACTTCTTTCCATGTCACGTATGACGAGGTGGCAAGGTGTGAATAGCCAAAAGTCTGACTGAGATCGGCGAATCTAACATTCACACAGAATACCTACACTAGTTCAAGCTGGGTAAGATTATACAATCCTTACAAATGGCTACTGTTAACGATGGGTAAGGTTTGGTATCGGCCTCCTATTCATAGCACCACTCGGTGACATCCTTCGCCGTCGCCAGTTGATATTGCTCTTGGTTGTGTTTTCAACTACCTTGACAATAGGACTCGCCATCACAAACAATCTCTTGGTGTTCGAGATAATCTCCTTTCTGATTGGGTTGGCGTCTGTCTCTCCTCAAATTCTCATGCCACTAGCCGCTGATCTCGCCCCTCCTGCCCGTCGTGGATCAGCTATCTCAGTTGTCCTGTCAGGTTATCTACTTGGCATCCTCATCGCACGTGTACTGTCTGGCTTAGTGGCCAACTTCACGAGTTGGCGAATTGTGTACTGTATGTCTATCGGCGTCCAGAGCATTGTCCTGGGTGGTGCATACATGTTGCTTCCGGACTATCCAGTGAAGAACCGTGATTTGTCCTACCTCGGGATATTTCGTTCCATGGCGAAATATATTGTCACCGAACCTCTCGTCAGCCAGATCATGTTAACAACCTGGGCTGCCAGCGCATGCTACACCAACTGGTGGGTGACCCTCACGTTCCTACTCGGTGGACCGCCATATTACTACTCCACGTCAGTGACCCTGTCTTATTATCACTCATTCGCTGACGCTGTCGTGTCAGCATGATCATCGGCTTATTTGGCCTCATTGGAATGCTGGGTGTAATCATTGTGCCATTCTTTGGCCGTCTACTCGATCGACTTGTGCCATGGTGGTCCGTAGTTGTTTCGACTGTGCTTCTTTTGATGTTCCAAGCAGTACAAGCTGGGGCGGGAGGTATAAATGTCGCCGCGGTCATCATCTCTTGCTTTGGATTAGACGTGTTCCGCCAAACTCAATCCATATCACTCTCCACGATGATGTTCAGGTACAATATCGTGTTTTGCAGTTCTACCATACTGATCGACAATAAACCAGCATTTCGGAGACTGCGCGCTCGCGTTTGAACGCATTGATGGTCATATCAGTGCGTTAATTCATATTTTCTGTTATGAATCAGCCGGATGATTCAACGGGCTGTCGCAGGTTTTTCTGGGTCAAATTACAGGGACGTCCGTTGGGACTGACGTCTTTGTTGGATATGGCTGGCGTGTAGATGCTGTGCTGTTCATGGCCATGTATGTCTTCCAGTTCGTTGTGCTTATCGTTAGAGGACCCCATTGTCCTGGGAATCGCTGGTTTGGTTATGAAGGCGGGCTGGAATTCTGGAAGATCTTGCCGTCCAAGCAGTCCCAACTAGTAGCGAGCGATGACCCTGAGAACGCAGAATGTGGTCAGCTGGCTGTAGTATGCAGCGAGAAGGGGGATGCCAAATGGGGCGCTGAGGAATTCCGCTAGTCTGAAAAATTCCCGAGCCGAAACTTGACACTATTAATGAACATATTATATACCGCTAGCTTAGAGGCTGTAACATGCAATACTTGATTGACCTGATCATGCACTATCAGCAGTTCACCAACTTTGTACAGTTGTTCCATGGTAAATTACTCATACATTATTGGCGAGTTGTTGAAGCCACGGATTCCGGAACAATCCCTCGCTAAAAGCTACTGTCCATGTACTTGCGTCGCTCACGCAGTGTACGGTAGATCGGTCCCATGATAATGCGCGTGCATATCGAGTCGCGGAGGTTTATATTTTGCAATCTGTCACACCTGCGCTCATACATATGGCCGATAACGAATCACGACTGCAGTCGTATTTTTGTAAGACTTGTGTACTGTGTTTTATAAGGACTAACAGGTCACGATCATAATTCCAGCTATGGACCAGCTTCAAATGTGAGGCCACTACTAGGATCTGTGGTATGCGGTAAAAGAGTTGAATGTCAACTCGCATTCCGGTTCAGTACTATGCTCTTGAGTCTTGACACATAAGTAATTTAAGAGTCTCCAAGTTTGAGACCACACTAAATATAAGTACCGGTTCTTGAAAGTTGAAGCACATGAGAGAATGGTATCTCCTAGTATTTGAACCATTGATCAGGCTTCAAGCTTCAAGCTTCAGTACTTGGTAAAGCGTAATAGTGCACACATTCTTAGCACTGCGGAAACTTTGCAGTTGGGCCAGTTTCAACAATTTGTTGTAATATTAACATGATTGAGTCTTGGTTCGCACTCAATATTAATGTCGACGCTTCAAGTCGTTCGGAGTGCAGAGCTGTCGCCATGCCGCAGCTGGTTAAACCCGTGAGAGCAAGAGCTTAGCGCTTAGCACTGGCGGCTGGCGTACTTACCAATCCCAAGGACGGACTTCCGTTGCATTTACGTACTTACGGTGAGTTGCTGACTCGGACTGTCACGGTTGCTGATTGAAGTCGGAATTTTCATATCTGTTTGACAGAACATTACGGCCGGTTTACAAGCCTTCATAAGGTCGTCATGTGTACGAAAGGGCGGGCAGCTGTGTGTTTTCCCTCGTCGATTTCTCGGCCGTTTGGGTTGTGCCCTACACTCAAGTGTGTAGTTTCTTTTTAGTTTTTTTATATATTTCCTAAACTCACTTTTGCACCTTCCGTATACACCATATGACTTAGCCGCCGGTATCACTCCCAGTGCTTCTCGTCATCTTGCGTATCTTGATACCTATCACAGTCCCTGTCGTAGCCTACCTCAGAGCTGTTCCTAACCGTTGCTCAGACTCACCCTAGTCTTTAATGTCTCCCTCCAGCACTGAGAAAATAGGGGCACACTACGAGTCTCCCGAAGCAACTGCCGAAGTCCGCTGAAGAGAGTTGGCCCAGAAAAGATTTTGATCTTATACCGATCCCGAAAAGGCACCAATACAATCCCATCAAATCTTTTCACTTTGGCATCTTGCTCAACGCTTCCTTTGGATTTGCTAGCACATTCAGTACGGATTTCTTGGTAGACGGTGAATAGATGCTAATAGCAAGACAGCTGCCGCTAACTTGTATTATTGTCAACCGCTGTTGAGTATGTTGTTGCGGAGAGTTATTGGCTGTGCGTATCTCTGATCTGAAATTCGCACATAGTCGAGTTTTCGAAATCGTTCGATGTAACATATGAAGAGGTTTCACGGTGTGTTATTTCATCCGTTTCAACGAATCTGGGCTAATAGTAAGTGTGGTTCTGTTATCAAGTATCCCCACCCTCGTTCAAGCAGGGTAAATAAACTTATCAGTTTCCGATGGAACGTTCACGACTCATTGTCGTGGTCCAGGTATTTAGTGGGATTGATTTTGGTATCCCCCCTCGGCGACCTTGTTCGACGCAGGCAATTGGTGTTACTGCTGGTTATGACATCTACTACTCTTACGATAGGTTTGGCCGTGACCAAGAATGTGCAGGTTTTCGAGACCTTGACCTTCTTGATCGGCGTTGCAAGTGTCACTCCCCAGATCTTGATGCCTCTAGCCGCAGACATGGCCCCACCTGAACGCAGAGCGTCTGCATTGTCTGTGGTACTCTCAGGTCTCATGCTAGGCATCCTGATCGCTCGTGTCTTGGCTGGGGTCATAGGCAATTTTACAACCTGGCGTGCAGTCTACTATATGTCAATTGGTGTCCAATCACTCGTTCTCATCGGCGCCTACCTGATGCTTCCTGACTATCCATCCAAAAACCGTGACTTGACCTACTTCCAAATCCTATTTTCGATGGCCAAGTATGCTGTAACGGAGCCACTTGTGATACAGGTGGCCATTATAAATATTGCATCCAGCGCATGTTTTAGCAGTTTTTGGGTCACTCTCACCTTCCTTCTCGGAGGTCCACCTTATTACTACTCCACGTACGCACATGTCCTGACTTTTTACCACCTGAACTTGAGACCATTTTCAGTCTCATAATTGGTCTCTTTGGTCTCGTTGGCATGCTGGGCGTGATCCTTGGACCTTTCGCAGGACGTCTCATCGATAAGCTGGTTCCTTGGTACGCAACTTTGATAGCCACTAGTGTGCTCCTAGTTTCCCAAGCTGTGCAGACTGCTGCAGGTGGGATCAATGTTGCAGCTGTCATCATCGCATGCTTCGGGCTTGATATTGCGCGTCAGGCCCAGCAAGTGTCTATGACCACTCGGGTCCTGAGGTCAATATATTTGTTTTTCTGTGAAGGCAACCGCTGTTGACTCACAGTAATCATACCACAGCATATCTTCCGCAGCTCGTGCGCGCTTAAACGCCATTCTCATTCTATCAGTGAGTTCCGCAGTGAGTTATTAATCGGAGTGTTGTTAAGCAAGACGTCCCAGCTGTTCATCGGGCAGGTGATGGGCACGTCTGTTGGCACCCAAGTTTTCGTGCAACACGGATGGAGAGCGTGTTCACTATTGATGCTAGCGCTGCAAGCCTTCCAAATTCTAGTTTTATTGCTCCGCAGTCCACATTGTTCCCGAAAACGTTGGTTTGGCTATGAAGGGGGACTCGAGGCACGCCAACGTGTTGTCTTGGAGAGGGAAAAATCACGGGGGTAGCGAGGGGAAAAAAGTGGAACACGATCCAGAGGCGCAGATGGAGGTTCCGATGCAAAATAGCGAAAGCCTGCAGTCCGGTACATAATAGATGCCTCGAGGCGCGCCAACGTGTTGTCTTGGAGAGGAAGAAAATCACGGAGTGGCGAGGGAAAAAAGTGGAACACGATCCAGAGGCGCAGATGAAGGCACCGATGCAAAATGGTGATGCGGCCTGATACATCATAAATACCAAAAGTAGAGGATGGAGCGTATAGTCACCGTCACTGAAAATTATTTAGCATAGATAACTGGATTTTTTTTTGGGATTGGCTTGTAGTCACAAATGCACATCAAAGCCGGATATGATGTTGGATTGCTTGTGAGTGTTTCAGGCATGAGTCAACCACGGGATATTCCCCAGGCAGACTGCCAATCAGAGAAAAAAAGCACAATCCATCTGTTGTTGGAACCGATTTGGTGGCGTCGAAGTACGACATGAGGCAAGTCGGGATTTCGTACAAATACTTATCATCACGGAGCCAAAAAAAACTAGTTCCGAGCTTTGTACATTGTACGGTCTCGGCCATGTACATGAATTGATAAAAGAGTACTAGAATAGCCGCAGAGATATTGGGGTGTCTGGCATACTCCACAGTTTGTGGGGCAGGACTTCCGAGAGAAGAAACCCGATTTAACGGATAAAGGCTTCTCGCGTACCACGCCGATAGATGGCAAGGGTGACTACATTGAACGCCATCAGTACACAATGATTACGCCGCACTTGCCACGGGTGCCTGCATTTCTGGAAACTTCTCGGTTTTTAAACCATAAAGGTGAATGATACATCGTGGCTAGATGCGTCTTAATTTGAATCAAGGTACATCACCTTGTTTTGTGCAGTTTCTGCGGCAGATAATGGTCCAAGAATGCGCGGAAAGGGAGATTGGGACAGGGAGCAAAACGATGCATACGTGTGTTCAGAGAAAAAAAGGGGAGGAAGCCAGTGAACCCTGCATGCATGCAGGATTCAGCTATCATGTCGAGAGATGATGAAGCATAATGCAGCTTTGGGCTTGGATGCCGCTGAAAATAGTTTTTTCAACGGAATATTCGATGGTAAACTCTGATTGCAATTTAAATTCTCCACCTTCAAAGTGAACTGGGCAAAGCTTAATTGGTTCCGGGTTATTTGCGCATTCGATGAAGAGAACACACCTTCTGAGAAGACACATAACACTAGGGTGTGAATCTGCATTGGTCGAACACATATTGCATGGTCGAGCACGTAAGGTATTGGTTTGGGGTCAGTGTTCGCAATACTAAAGCAGCGAATCCCTGAAGTATAATTAGGCACGTCGATTTAATGAAACCTAAATCTTCCCCCAATGGACAGCAGGCTGTCTAGACGGTCTACGAACTTTTCAATCGGCGGTCAAGTTGTAAATTCGTGACTCACCTTATCTCAAACATGAGAGCTTGTTTTAAGTTTCCTACTATTAGTATCAGAATCACGTTCACACGTACCAGTTGTGTCAGTGTATCATAAATTCGAAGGCTCACTTTATCCCAAACATACAAGAACCAGTTCTACCAAAGTTCTAATCTCCCCAGGCCAGCCAGACCTTTATAGGCGAAGGAAGAGTCTTTCTAATCCCATATTTAAAGGTATACATACTATAGTTTACAGTGACATACTTAGTGAGGGACGTTTATAGATAGGATTTGTCAGCTAGGGAACACACACGTACTAATGCATTATGCATTGCACTAGGTCACTCTCTGGCATGTCCGGCCAAACAGAAAGTGAAGGTGAATCTGGTTTTTCATGGGAAGCAGGGTCTCATCTGTTGGGCCTCAGTGAAACCGAATTTGGTCCTCCGCATCACTCCCATAGACGTGAATGCTACCTTGGAGCTCCGCCAGTCAGTTTTATGGCCCAGTCTTTCAATCGCAGATGTTCGTCTCGCCGAAGATGACAGTGGTGTTCATTTTGGAGCCTTCGTGCCACAGCACGAAAAGCCCGTCGCCGTCATCTCGTTATTTGACGAACCCTTACCGGGACAACACCTTGTGATATGTGGGAATGATAGCCCTTCCCAGATAAAGTCTGCGCGCTTTCGTAAATTTGCCTGCGATCTGATGCACCAGAATCGAGGCATAGGGACCCACTTACTTCTATATGCGGCTGAAGCTGCTCGATCGACGCTGGGCGCAAGCATCATTTGGTGTGATGCCCGGACATCGAGCAGTGCCTGGTATAAGAAACGTGGAATGATCGAATTTGGTGACCCGTTCTATAAGGGAGATGTGAAGTATATCCGGATGAAGATGTCCTTGGACGCAGATACTTGCAAGACCAGTGCGTATAACGCCATTTAGATGTGCGATAGTGCCGGGCCGTGACTAAATGATAAGCATGATTTGGTACGCCATATTCTCCGCATCGATATACAGGTGATGAACTCACGTTGACAACCATTGACAGAAAGCTTGTGTCCACGATAATTGCCGCATCTGACGCATTGCGCTCATTGTCTTCGTTATGTATCTTTGTCATTTCGTGACGAATAGAGGCACAGCATAGACCCAAGCTTCCCTCCGCATGATTATCCCGCATACCGGATCAAGCCTGACCTTCTGGCTAGCTCCGCCGTGTAATGTTGGAAGATCTTACCTCATTTTGCGCCGGCCACTTGGCTCACCCGATGACTTCGACAACAGGAAAGATACTGAAAAGTTCCACGTGTCTCGCATCAAGCGCTTCTATAAGCTTCTGTGCGTCAGAAATACCTCTTTTTGGGGGGCGACCTGGCGGACTATTAAAATTTCATAGACAAAGCGAATGACGTTGGAGGGCCACTCCGACTTCCAAGTATACTGCACCTGTAATTCGTGTGTACTCACTGCCTGGGGCCAGTACTGTGATAATGTTCAGTATGCCTCACCATTTTCGGTGTGACCCTGGAGATTCTAGCTCTGAAGGTGCTGCATTCGGTGAGCAACGTGTTCAACCTAAGTATTCGCCGTTGCCACGAGGTGTCTGATCGACTATCTCATGCAATACTACAGTAGACGGCAGTTAAGCTGATCTAAGCATGCAATTATACTAGTGGCAAACCAGGGCCATACAATGTCGGTATCCGATACGTGTGACTTTCGTATAGAAGGATCGGCCAATCTTCGTCTATGCACCATCTAGGCCAGACACGGGGAGACTAGTGCTAGGTTGGCAGTTCGGATCAAAATAAACAAAAGAGAACTAGTATCAGCAGTGGCCCTGAGTTTTCTTTTGCCTTATGACGACGTGCGGCTTTTGTATTCGCGATAAACGGGTGTCAGCGTGGCCGTCGGCTGTGCCGCTAAGGGACGGTACTTCCTCTTAATATCACAAACTCAGATTGTTGACGGGCTGATATCGATACCTGCCGTTTGTTTTCCTTATGCGTCAGTGCAATCTCGATCTTTCCGACAGAACGTCAGAGAGTGTCAGCTGATAATTGTGTTTTGTGTAAAGTAATTGTTCGTGACGATGGGAGGAACGCAAGTTCGGATAGACACTGCGCCCACGAGATATCAAGCTGTGATATATAAGAACTTCTGATGTTGGGGCAACGCCATTTCATCACCCCGTTTCTTACCTGTTCACGTATTCCTTGGCAGCTGGTGCTTGCTACGAGTGCGACGGTTTGCCGTGCCCCTCCGGTTCTATTGTGTTCTATGAGTCCAAATCTTATGGGTGTCGTCTTCGTTCAAATTTGTCACGCCTGGATTTGGTTCATAGCCAATACAGTAGACCGGAGGTCACGCCTTCCTTTGCATTTCATGCTCACCAATTGTCCTCATTTTTTTTCTGGTTTACTACTGTGTATGACCCAACGCGTACACGCAATCTTACTCAACCCATTGTCAACAAGCTTGGCACGAATATTTTTCTACCATCCCCCTTCATTTTCTAACAAACGCCCCAACAAACACTGACGCCAAGTGATCCTCGGAGTACATTTATAATATATATGCATAAATGATATCTCCGAGCCTTTAGGCTTTGTATTTTCTCTCCACCCCATACTCCTGATACGGATATCCTCTATGCCAATCGGTACTATGGACCTCGGAGGACCTCGGTTCGCCACGGATCACTTGTATCCCATAAGATCAAGATGAGGAGCATAGAAGCTCAGGGAGGCTCCAATGGGCAGTGCCTTGACGCCCCTTGACGGATCCAGCCATTCTCTCTGATTGTTCTACATAATCCAAGCCTTCGATCTCCATTCCCAAATAGCCTCGTATTTGTAACTGCAAGAGCTTGTCAGTGCCGGTGATCTTCCATTCTCTGAGAAGAACTTCTCACCGCATCAAATTTCGATTGGTTCCTGGTTCAGAAGAACTTCCTCCACGAGCGGTAGTTTCAACGGGATATATAAGGACCTCTCATGATCATCTCATTGATGACTGTCTCGGCCAAGAATAAGAGGGGAGTATGTCACTGGGGAGGGTATTTGTGACCCGGTCTGGAGGTGGACAACACGGTAGCCCTAAAAATTATAAAATTATGATCTGGTGGTTGGAGGTCTGACTCTGGCGTCTCCAGAATGAGCCCATGTGAAATACCAGGCTGCGGGAATTCAAGAAGATATCAACAACTGCGAGTTCCTGGAAGGAATTCTTGGGCGTCGTCCGGGGGCAGTCTTCGGTGAGGATTATCCGGCGTCCACGTATGTAATGCTGTACGCTGATATCTGCCAAGTCTACCAAAGTCCGAAGGCTGTTCCAAGGGCGACGTCGAAATAGAAGAAGATGTGATCATCATCATGACGTCGCTATGGATCGGCGACACTTCACACCCATCACGGGAAAGTAGCGAGATATCGATCATATCGAGGATGATAGTATCATCCTTGCACATTCGGAATGGACCGACAGGCCAGCGTGCCTATAAACAGACCCACGAGGCTGACCATAGAGAGAACGGTAACGGCATTTCCACAAATCTCACAAGTCGGTCCGAGTGTATCCGCTTCATGAATACTGGAAACATATAATCAAGTAACGGATGGCATTCACAGGGGGGAAAATACAGGAATCAACACCAGAAACCACGTGCGGGGTATCGATATCATTTCAAAAGCTCTTCTACAATCCTATCTTCCGAAATATTGGCAACGTTCGCGCCACGGTAATTCAATCTCCGAAGAACGTCGATCTGGCTCAGCATCAGCACTAGTGTTGACATGAATATAGCTTTTCCGAGACATACGACTTTTGAGCGCTCGAAACCAAGACTTTCAAACTGATCTACGTGGGCTTTTTCAAGACCCGCTATTGCGATCTCATCTCTTTGTGGTTCCTTCACTTCCATCTTCTTGACTAAAGGCCCTCCGGCATATATCTGTGTCCAGTACCTTGCTGTCTCGTCGAAGCTTCGCTTGCTAGTGGTGTAGTGCTTTGCAACCTCCGCATCTTGCGGATCATTAGGCTCAGGAGAACACAGCAGCGATTGAAGCGAGATCAGCGTTGATTTGAGCGTCAGAACAGGCGACCACGCGTCCTTGAGGATGTCTAGACAGATAGCTCCGGACGCTGATGATATGTTTGGGTGATACACTTTCGTGATGAATTTCATCTTGACAGGTTGGAACGGATATGAGTCAGGGATGACAATATCCTATTACGCGGATTATGAGAACTGATTACGCTAGACAAGAAATCAATGATGCGTACCACCTCAAAGTGACCACCTTCGTATGGCGTGTCCTGAGGACCGGGGAAAGATCCCTTCAGGTGAAATGGTGATGAATCTATTAGGTCGATTTTGATGTTTGAAGATTTATCGTTCTTGCAGTCTGACCAGGGGTGAGAGTGAGAGAGTGAGCGATGCTACATCAATAACAATTAATTCCTACCAGCTATTTCTTTATTCACGCGGCGGAGACGAGCGTCCATGATGTACAAAAACAAGAAGACTGTTAAGCTTAGGACTACAAGAGATGGTCGGTGAGTGAGACGGTGGAACGGAATGAGAGAACCTCATGTCGGGGTCACGTGACTTTATCAATTAAATCTGCGACCCTCTACCAAGGGGGTCTGTTGCCCTATTTCTGACGCCACGTGTTGATCGCTGTCATCAAGGATTGATCAAGATAGATCATGCATCTCTTATATACAGGTATCATAGTCTGAATCCCATAAATCAAGATGGAAACCCCTACCATGCGCCAGCGTTTCGAAGAATACATCTTCGGCCTCCAAGAGGAGATCATCACTTCCTTTGAAACGCTTGATCCCAATGCTCCAAAATTCAAGCGTGACTCTTGGTTACGAGCACATCAGGGCGGAAAGGGTGTATCAGGCGTCTTCTTCGCTCCCCCTCCCACAGATGCATCACCCGGACCACAAACAGTCCTGGAGAAGGCTGGTGTCAACATATCTGTCGTACATGGCATGCTCCCCCCTGCTGCAATCAAAGAAATGCGTGCAGATCACTCCTCCATCCCGTACGATGAAAAAAACTAGTCTTCCATTTTTTGCGGCTGGAATAAGCCTTGTCGTGCATCCTCGCAATCCACACGCTCCCACTGTGCACGCCAATTATCGATATTTCGAGATCTCGGAGAAAGCGTCAGAGGGTGAGGGACCTGGCAAGGTTGTTGCATGGTGGTTCGGAGGGGGCTCTGATCTCACGCCATCGTACCTCTACGATGAAGATGCACGTCACTTCCATACGACGTTGCAAAGTGCCTGCAACCAACATGGCAGCGAACTATACCCTGCTTTCAAGAAGTGGTGTGACGAATATTTCTATATCGTCCACCGTCAAGAAACCAGAGGAGTCGGAGGTCTCTTCTTTGACGATCTCAGCACTGAGAAGCATGCTCGGCTCTCAGATGATGTCAAACGACCTCGATCGTCAGAGGAGATCTTTGACTTTATAAAAGCAGTGGGAAATTCGTTTGTCCCCTCCTACTTGCCCATTCTTGAGCGTAGGATGTCGATGGCCAGCACCGACCAACAAAGACGCTGGCAACTGTTACGCAGGGGGCGTTACGTGGAATTCAACCTTGTGTACGACAGAGGTACCAAGTTTGGGTTGAAAACGCCTTCTGCGCGTATTGAAAGCATCTTGATGAGCCTTCCGGAGACTGCAAGGTGGGAGTATATGACGGATATGGGATCAGACCTGGAGAGTGAGGAAGGGCGGTTGATTGCAGTTTTGAAACAGCCCGTCGATTGGGCTGGGTTGGAGAACTTGTAGCGATGATATTTCAGCGGGCTTGTACGTTACTCGTGAGCAAAATCTAAATGAAACGGTTGAGAGCGATATCCAAGTGTCAAGAAAGACCGATAGACACTGATATTAAAATCGTTCTACTAGAAACAATACATATCCACTCCGAAATCGGGCAAGGTACAATATTTACAAGGCAGACAGGTTTGGGACTCATGTAGGCTTGTTGATCTCTTGCTTGGGTCTGACCCTTCTCGTTCTTGACATTCCCTGATAAACGAATTGTCAGACAGGTCAGCCGTCATGCTGCGAATATTACTTACCAGATGTCTGCTGGGCTTTATCGCCAGTCACAGCGCCAACGACTGAATCCTTGTAGCCGGTAACCCTGTCAGAAACGCCCTCCACAGTAACCCTTGGCTTGGGCGGCGTTGTACTCGCCCTCCCCCTTGGCATGTTCTTCTTTACCCGACTGCGACCAAGATTGCGCGCCGGTCATGTCGCCGATCTAGAGGAAGAAAATCAGCAGGTCGGCGGCGTGTGGTGTGATGAGCTCGTACTGTCTCGACGGCGGTACCCTTGACAGAGTGGAATTGACCAGATACTTTGCTATAGGACGATGCGTGAGTTTTGGTCAAGGGGGCGGGCAAAGCGCTTACCTGGGCTCTTGGGAAGACATATTTACGATGAGAGTATGAGTTATGATAGAAGGTAAAGTTTGTTGGTTGTAGGATGCTGGTAGGAAATATAGTTTAGGGTCCTACTTATACTCCTCCAAGACGACGTACAAAAAAGGCAAGTGCAGTTCTTAGCGTATGACGTCAAGCAGTCATGACATCATACGGTTTGGATTAAATTCTATGCGAATTCAAAATATTGACCAATCGAATTCCACTCCGATTCGCACTGGCACGATATCGCAGGAGAGTTCCGTCATCTGCGATTTTCACGCGAGGACAAGAAACCTGTGCACCGTGTACTCCAAGTGACGAAAAATCACACTTGTTACCATTTCCGACAACCAAAAACCGCTGGCTATACGTCATCGCGTCATCCGGTTTGAATGCGTAGCCGTGCGCAATGCATGCCAATTTCGTACCTTACTTATCAGACGGCTGCCTGCTTCGAAGATTGGAGCATATTTCATCATCGTCATCGATCGTGATATCACCTCTATCACGAACAAAATGAGGCCTTGGCAGTGGAGACAAGCAGTGCACACGCACCTTCATTGCGATGGAGAATAATAGGTAGCGTACTCATTCATGGCCATACATGAAAAGTAGATTTGGACCGCTCGGCAAGCCCTCGATACAGCGTTCGAAAGAAGCTGACGCATGGTTCAAGTGGCTGTAAGATGTAGCCCGCCTAAGCATTGAAAATAGTAAATCCATTCATGCGGAACAAAGTAAGTCACGAGCCGAAAATATCATAGCTACTATAAAGTCCCGGTTATCATAAGATTCTAGAGAGCTCTAGATCTGACCTATTAGAATCAATCACAGATGTACATCATACGGCGAACTCACACTCTAGTACGACACAAAGCACATCATTCAAGCTTCTCAAGTTCCTCCAACCTCGATAATACCACATCCTTGCTGGTCTCCTCAATCTCTCCCGCCAAAAATATCTCGTCTAAAATGGCGTACACCTATGATTCTTCAGTCAGGAACAATGCGCACGAAGGATAAACACAACCGCACTTTATAGAAATTGAAGACGAGATCCAGCTCACACACATTGTCGAAGAATGAGTCTGAATCAATGTCAGCGAGTAAGCTCAGACCGTGTGACAAGAATGAGTCGCTCACCAAGGATCTCGACAAACAGATGAATAGCCTCTAGGTATGCCAGCTCATTGTCGTTGGCGTCCACACATACGCAAAAGAAGAGACCGGCATAACGCCTGTACACGATCTTGTAATTCTTGAACTACTCCACGTCATAAGAATTAGAAGATGCGTGACATATCATTCTGTCCTCACCTCAACAAAGTTCGACTGGTGTTTCTGGTCGCGCGGAGCAACTAGTCTGTGCACTTCACCTCGGAGTCTGACCTTGGCACATAGTCAACGGCATGCAAATTCTCAATGGTGCCCATCGCACCTTCTCGTCGTCGTCGTACGGGACATACCACTTCGACAACCGTGTCTTCCCTTGACGGTTCTGAGCATATATCACTTGAGCAAATGGTCTTTCATGCAGAAGAGTGCACCTGCCTGCACGAGGATGAACCTAATCATGGTGGCTCATTTGCCTTGGATGAATTCTCGATCTCACATCTTTGTTTACTTCAGAGGCCTTTGCCAAACAACGCCGCAAAAGGCCACGTGGCTTTACATAACTTGACCACGATCTTTGCACAGTCCATTTCCAAAATCAGGTAACTAGAAACACATGTACGAAAATATAACAAAGGAATTCGAGATGTATGCCGGAGAGATATAAAAGTATTTGACATCGCTCAACTTAATGTTGAGACATCTGCGCCAAATAATCCGAAAGCTAAATTGTATAGTAAGCTCTAGCCATGCGCAAGAAAATGGATAAGATAGTCACCTTTAGTGCACTAGTTCGAATGTTCTCCCCGACGTTCTGAACGTCAGGATTCGCCATGACCCTTGCCACGATATCTCTCGCTGCAACTTCGAGATTCGAAAGACTGCCATCGCCCAACAGCCCCCCATCTGAACTAGCACGCTCGAACTCTTCTTCTTCGTCCCGGCCAAAGTATTGGTTAGATGAGATCGACGTGGCACCTTGGAAGTTCTGTAAACGAGACTGAGACTCGGAGACGAAATTAGGGTCGTAGTCCTTTCGGCCAAAGTACATATCAGAGGAGATAGCTTTTTGGCTGCCAAACTTGTCTCGTGCGGTGGTTGGTGCGTTATCATTTGCAGGACTGCGCAATCAGAAGATAGATCAATTCCACTGAATGTCCAATTGAGATCAGGATATACCTTGATCTCGCAGTGGATGAAGGCGAAGCGGTGGGAACTCCCCCAAAGCCAAGCTTACGGAAACCCATGCCTAGCCTCTCAAGGTCTTGGCTGTTGCCCTTTTGCAAGTCAACTTTGCCTTGCACCGTGCTCGTCTGCACAGCATCAGCAGGCTTTACCCTCGCCTGAGATGCAGCCGCCTTTTCTGCCTCTTTCTGTGCACGCTCTTCCTCCTCCTCACGTTGTCTGTCATAGCCAAGCTGCTTTATACGCACAGCTTCCTCTGCAGCTTTGCGTTCTGCTTCCGCAAAATCTATGGGCGTAGCTGCTTTTCTCGCGCCAAGGCCACCAAGTTTGGATTTCTTCTGAAAGGTAGAGGTAGCAGATGAACCGATCGCAGAAGTAGATGACGTCAAACGCGTTGCACCGAGCTTAGCGGTGCCATTCGTAGAGGTACTGGAGTTCGATCGCATGGAAGTAGATGTGGTTGGTCGAGAAGCAACTGAGCCCGTTGATGCTGGCCGCCCAATGATAGGAGGAGATATGAGAGCTGAGGAAGAGGTTGTTTTGGGAGCGGCGGGCTTTTCCCATGAAGAGAAGAAATCTTCCTCTCCTTGCGCAGCTTCAGCGCTCACAGGGGAGGTATCGACACCATCAACCACGATACGCGTAGGGAATCTGAAAGAAACAATTAGATTAAATTCCTGTCAAGTATCTCGACAATTCACTTTGCAACATCTTCCTTCACTCGTCTTGCAAGTTCTTCTTTGTATAGCTCAGCAGCACGACTTGAGTACTTCTTCTTGGTGTCGGAATCGCTGAGAAGCGTCGTGGCGCCATGTCGCGTAAAAAAGTCGGTCGCCGATGCGTTGCCACCTACTTTCATGGTACGAAGCTGGTTTAGTTGCCAGCTGTCGAGATTCGTTGATCTGTCATATCGTTCCCGGTGATAAGAACCCGCGAGGGTTTCAGTTTACAGAAGAACTACACACCGTACAAAACTTATGTGTACGCCCATATTCCGATGAACACTAGAGCAGTCTAGGCAGATGTAAACTCCAAAAGTCACACTGGACCAGGTCGGATTCCGAGCATGACAATCAAAGCACATCTGCAACCCCGGAAGTCAACAACTATAGCGAGTGGGCTGAAATAAACTGACCTTGTTGCCTTTCTGCAATCTCAACACTTGAAAGATCTGCTCTGATTCTGCTTTTGAAGGGTCTGCCATTGCTGCTACAAGGAAACTGATCAGTGGGCTTGAGTGTCCGTCGTGGAGAAATCGAAGCTTGTGAAGATGTATCAGGCGTTATGGGGTCCTCAGGATTTGACTTGGTGGCTGAGGTCCGCTTGACCTATTTGTGACAGAATTCAGCTGAATTCAGAAAATCCTTCGACCTGAACAATTTTCAGGCTTACCTTGTTTCCTCTAGTACGCGGTGACATGTTCATCTTACTTTCATCTTGCACATCCCGACGCTGAGTACTGAGTTACCGTGAAACTGCGAATTCATTAGTTTTCCATCCTACTGACTTACTAGGTTCAACCTATGCCGCGTTCTGGAGAACTACGCAATCCAATATTAACCATGCGGTGTCATGTTCTCTGTGCTCTCATTTCTTCTCAAGTGGAGATCGTTACCAATGACGCTGCCCATGCTCTCCCACGTGGAGTCACTTGTCACCAGGCTCTCAAGTACTGACAGTGGGGAATTGCACGGCCACGAGCGAAATACACCCTTGACTCTCAGCTACCAAACATCATCATCTTACCTGTAACATGGTTCTCCTTGTTGCTTCTGATCAAGAGGAGGTCAATGTCGACAATGAGGTCGTCGAGTGCAATGCTCCTCAAAACGATGCTTGAAGGTGTACCTCTTTCGACGTAGCCACTCATTGGAGTAAAATGATCTTTTCATGCTACCGAGACCCTGTACAGCCTGAGATCCCTTTCCCTGATGCTTCATCCAGTGTATTGACCCCGTTTGTGGTCCACTATAATCAACTTATGATATCCTTGCAGCTGCGACCAGGTCTTAACTGAGATACACTAATCCTGCTCCATCAGTTTGCTTACAAGGTAAGCTTGACTACAGGTGTTACACTGTCAATAGACCAAGCCCAAACGTAGCAGAAACTCAAGCACGCGGATCCCGAATTTGACCAAGTCACCTTACGATACCTTCTCTGACTCCCAGGTCCAGCATATTCAGATCCGACTAAGACGTTATGCGCATGAAGAGTCACCAGTCTCTTTGCATTGTTCAAACTTCACTCCATGAACGATACCGAACAAACAAGCAAGCCGATTTCACCCCGTGCGACCCACATATAATACATCGGTTAGAAGAATAAGCATGAGGGCGTCACAGCCATGTATTTGCCGGTCGACATGCCAGAGATGGAGGTGCATGCGCGTGGCAAGGATCGCGAGGATGATGAGCTGGAAACTGCATTATGGTTGGGTGGAGGGGGGTTGTTAGTAGGGATGCACAGCAGGGTTTGAGGGACGTACTCTTGCACAAATTTGTTGTTGTTCCAGAGTGCATATGTCCTGATAATGAAAAGGCCTGAGTGAATCGGATGAGGACGCGCATATTTTGGGAAGGAGAGTTACATTCAGAGCAAATGAGTGAGATTAGACTGAAACCTGTGAGAGGGAATGTGAGCGCTCGGCGACGACGTGCATGCAGGGACCATGCACGTACACGAGCAAATGTTGTTGATCATTTGGCATTTCTGGCAATGCCATGCAGTGAGCGTCGTTCAGTCAGTACTAAGTCCACCTCGATATTACGTACATCGGGATTATCATGCGCGACGAAGTTCACTGAAACGCATGCGTATTCATCAACGATGTGCGCTGAAGCTGAACGCACGATATAGATGTCCAACGAAGAGGAGAAAAGGTACATAGCACATAACTAAATACTACAATGTCTAGCGAAATCGTGTCGTAAGCGTCGTTGTTCGATCAGTAAGTCCACCATGCGTTCAGGTACATCGGAGTTTTAGGATTTCACGCGAGGGATATATATTTACCTCTCATATAAGTGGGCTAGAAGCCGAGTAAGTTGAGGGCGCAATGAGTGCGCCATTCCAGGCTCAAACTATGGTCCTCATGAGGCCATTGGAAGTAGATTCTGAAAACAATATAACGTGAATCCAGTTCGAACCATGCTATACTGCATTTGGAGACGATTGTGGGTGTGTTCGTCGTACAAGGGTCTTGATGGCGGTGTTCGAACGTTTCACCTGCCTGAAAGTGGATGGGCGATGTCTCTGCCCAGACACTTACTTGATCCGGACGGTGACAAGCAGAGTGACGAATGATGATGGGCAATGGATCTGGAGAGATTATTAACACATCTAGATGCGGCATGCCAAGTCAAATATCTGCGACGCATGTCGCAATCAAGGAACTCGGTGGTTGGAACATATATGCACCCGTAGAGGTCTTATAATTTCTTATGCAAGTTCAAGGTATCTTTCAACTGCAAGGCCTGATCAACGCATGAGGTGAAAGATAGTTTGTCATTGCCTACCTTCCCAGTTCGTCACTGCCGCATTCCAAAGCCTCACCTCGTGCTCCCTCGTTGCTCCGAAGTGGTCCACAAAGTCATCTCCAAACACTTCACGCGCAATGCTGTCAGGCCTCATCATAGCGTTGGTCGCATCCGCCAACGAACCAGGAAGTAAAACAACCTATTCGCAAATAGTTAGCGTTGCGGTATTCCAAGATGCATCTGCTAGTTCACCTCCTTCCTGGCTGGGTAGCTTTGGTAAGTGGAGATGGGTGGCGTCGTGAGCTTGAGTTGTTTGGCAATGCCCCGCATGCCCAGTTGGAAGATGGCACTCAAAGCAAAGTAGGGATTCATGTCGGCACCAGGTACACGAACTTCAAGTCTTGTTGCGGATGGCGGAACAGACGGTGGCGAGATGATGCGGACGGAAGCCGCACGAGAATCGTACCCGTATGTAACTGCGTTGGGAGCCCAGAAAGCTTCACCGCCGACGAGACGTTTGTAGCCATTGATCGTTGGGACAAGCTACCAAGTTTTTAGATAAAAATCACATTAGCGGGAGTCAGGCACTCACCATAGGCATTACTACATCATGAGCTCAGGATTAATATACATCTTAACCGAACATGAAAATCAATCCTACCATCAGGAAGGCCGTCTAATACACCGGCCAAAAAGTGCTCCCCAATTTGACTTAGGTATCTTGTGTCCTCGAACGCTGCATTAGCTCGTCCGTGATCACGGTCCACGTCTGAAAGCGAGAATGCGTTGCGGCCTTCTCCGTCTTTAAGTGATACGTGTATATGTCTGAGCTGATGTCAGAAGGGTTTTAGACACAAAACGAGATATCAATGCAAACCCGCTGCAGCCTGGTAGCTGAAGCAACGTTTTTATGAGATTTTAAGAAATTGTACTAAAGTTTGACTCACGTTCCCCCATGGTTTCGCCATAAAACTGGGGAGGACTCCATGCTTTAGCCCTACACTCTTCGCCAAGAACTTGTACAGGATAGCATTGTCCGCCATTCTCATAGCTGATGTATAAGCGAGCGCAGTCTCGAGGACACCTGGACCCGTTTCGGTATCTGCACAGGAGTCAGCTTTCATCAATGTTATAGCGGATAAACCATCGTACGATGTCCTTCGATATCTATGCCAAACTTCAGACTCTCATCGAACAGCGCATGAAAATATTCTTGATTCAGTTGAGTGCGCAGTAAGCTATATCCATGCACTGCGGTGATATCTAATTAGCAAATGCACAACAAATTGCTACTTCACTTACTTCCTGGGGTTAATGGCTGCAGCTGGGTGAAGCGCTTTTGAGCCGCAGACTCAGGGGTTTCTGTATAAATCCATTTGAATCACATCTCGTAGACGAGAAATTTCACGGACACACCTTTGAAATTAAAGTACTAGAAAGCCTCGTGAGTCCATTCAGAGCAACGCATAACTGGCTGAGATTGCTCACCTCAAACTCCACACCAGAAATGCATTCTATACCATGAGCAGCCGCATTGTCGACAGCTTTGCGCAGAACGCCTCTAGGATCCGCACAAATGGGCGCTGAAGTCTTCGGATCAAAGAATGAGACAAGGAAAAAAGGTACGTTGTTTTCCCAAGGTATGCGACGAAATGTCGATAAGTCTATCGAAGCCATTAGGTCTCGGTAACCGTTCTCTTTATTTGATATGGCCAGTTCCCGAGTGTAGACTGAATCGTGCATGTCCCAGCCACTGCAACGTAACTTGTATCATGACAGCGAATCGGGGGTGGCAATGAGACGTACAAAATCACGCTACAAAATCCAAACCCTTTCGAGGTAGCGGCGCCTAGAAACTTATCTTTGGACTGTGGGTAACAAATCAAGCATTACGAGGACAGACTCAGCAACTTGAAGAAGCATACCATAAACTTTCCTCTGAGAACGCCATCCACTTGAGATGAAAATCAGCATTCGACTTATTCAAGGGTCAGAAGGCAGTGGATGCACCATCTATGCCTGTAAGGTAACAATTAAGTACTGTTGTGAACATCAAGTTGTCACATGTTGTAATCATAACCGACCTGCAACTTTAACCTTGACATCATCGCAAAGTAGTTGCTTCAGGTCATCAATCGACCTTGGAGCTCCTGGAGTGGCACTCGTAGTCGCCATGTCTCGAGTGGTTGAGGTGGTTGTGAACGAGTCTAAGTTGCCGGTGATGGCATGGGCGGTGCCGGAAGTAGATCTCTAAGAGGAAGATTTTGATTTTTCACTCAATACGGACAGCTTGGAGCTCACGCTCATGGAGAGACACTTAGATACATTTGCCGATAAACACTGAAAACGCCCGCACCGATCTCATGTCTGGCCAAAGGATCATCGGATCATTTCTATGCAGGCTCAGGTACGGGCTTCCATCAAATCTCATGCAGATGGATCATGTAGACTTACTTACTCTGTAAATACTACAGATGACAGATTTGTTCACGTATATAATCAAGAGACTTTGAAGGTCGTAAAAGTTATCAGAGGTTCGAGAGAAGTGTCATCCATTGTATACATGTCGCAGTGCGCATAATGCAGGTGGTCTCGGGGACATGTGGGTCGCATCCAATCGTCATGTACGTCTCGACAAGTCGAGATCCTGCATGTGTCTGAAAAACCGTGTTTTCAACTTATACAGCCTTTAAGTTTTACTATGGACACGGAAAAGATGATCCTTGCGAAGGCTCATGCGACCTTGACGTTGGAACTTAGTGCCGATGTTGACATGCTGAACGAGGTAAAGGGCGTATATCATTCTTCATATTTTCGACTGATCATGACCAGCCAGCTCTTGCTCGACCAAAAAACAGTCAATTGGCATTTTGTCTGGACTCTGGTTCAGTCGGCGTCATTGATCTTTCTACGAAACAAGTAACACGCATGAAAACAAGTTATGACGATGTTTGTATCTTTCGTGTTTCAGGTGCACGCCTCGCTCATAGTGAGGCAGATATGTGGAACGGTGAAGTTGATTCCCGATCGTCCCAGTGAACTTGTCAGCGGTGGATACGACTCTAGGCTGCTGCATCACGATATTCACCAAAGGACTCTTGTCGCGATTCGATGTAGGTTGTTTGACTTTTGGTGGATTTGGTTGTCACTCATTTTTTGATATTTCCCATGCCAGGGAGGTCTCCTCTGTCCGAGTCTTCAGGTGTTTCAATGTCTCCGCCATGCGTATTGTCGTCTGCCATGTCACCATCTGGCATCTTGCCTGCGGGAACCGCCGACGGATGGGTATGGATTGGCACCGGCGGAAAGAAAATGTCAGGAGTCTCATCTGGCACGTCTATCCAAAAGAAACGGCGGAAATGTAAAGGACTGGAGCAAGACGAAGCTTTCAGGACGGATGTCGGGCATGGCCCTATCACTGCTCTATATGTGCATTACTGCTGCACTGCGACATCCGAACTGAGACGCCAACAGGACATTCATCGGGCCTCGCACACTTTTCACATCTACATTGATAGGAAAAGTCACCCTCTACCAAATTGGTGGCCCAACTGCGGATGGAATATCTCCAAAGTGGACGAAGACAACAGCTGATGTGAACAAGGTTAATCGATGTAGAAGATTGTAACATGCGTGCGCCGTGCAAGCAGTATCTGTCAAAAGTAAAGCATGTGTACGAGTAAAGCTCGTACATGATGCATGAAATATGTCGAATGCAAGCTGGTACACGAAATGCGCGAAGATTGTAACGTGCATGCACAATAATATCTACTACTACTGATCAGGTAAGTTTGCACGAGCTGCAGTCTTAATTGAACTTAACCGCAGGATTGCAATTCGTATACCCATCACAGACATGACGCTCACAACCAACTCACAACCTTATCCGAGCTTCGTACAGCTTATACATGAGCAATATATTGGATATAGACACACTACTCCTGGTCACTAGTTGTCAAACAACTACAGCCTGGATGAAGCTATTCTGTCTTGCATTCCTTCCGTGGTCATTGATGCTCGATAAGTCCCTAAATCTGATTGGCGCCAGGCCAGCTGCCCCAAAGCTGAATTTTCGTGAGGTTTGCCGAATTTCCGCAGTCGAGGTCTAAGCTAAAATTGGTGCCATGGACCAATATCCTGCCGGAAAAAAAGACAAAAATTCACGACCAGACATGCGCGGTATGAAAGACATGCACACCTAATGCCTTTAGCGCTTTCGACGTCGGAGTCTTTGACATCCCACTTGAAGGGATTCGGAACAACAACGACCGCGGTGCCATTATTGGGGCTGCCTTCGATCCCAAAATATTTTCCAGAGCGGGACGACTTTATGAACCACCCGTTCTGGTCGCCATCCTGCTGGAAGATCCACTAAGAACCGAGAAGCTAGTCAGTACGACCTGTCCGCAGTGGGGTGACAAATAAGCGCATTACCGCCTGGTTGGAATCATCGTGAGGGTAATAACCGATGACTAAGTTAAGACAATAATATTAGTGGTGGTTTGGGATACTCCTGAAGCAGAGATGATGTGCTTACTGGAGTAGTTATCACCACCTGAGAGGTCAACGGCAGTGCCTCCCTGACAGTTTTTCAGGCTATATGGTTCTCGATGGGAGCCATTGTAGTGAGTGCTTAGAATGCTGTCAGCTTCGAGTTAAACACTTGTACTTATACCAAGTACGAATACCTGCCCATGGAATATGTCAAACTTGGCCATATATCTCGGCCCATGAGATTTCCGAGCTCCCGTACCCGGCGGTTATCGCACAGACCTTCCAGAACCTTACTCGTTCGAAGGCCTCACCACATTCACACCGAAAGGACCCCAGACTCAAGAGATGTTCAGTTCCAGTTGAATGGTTGAGTGCCACTAGTAGACTTACATGATGTACCTTCAGTTTTTGTCGGTTCGATCTTTCTTTTTTCTATATCTCGTTATCTCTTCGCGCGCGTCATTAATTGATCAGACTTCTCTCCTGTCATTCTTTTGTTAGAACTCTATCTTTTCTTCGTTGGTATAGTACTCACAGCCCTTTGCACCAGATTATCATCAAAAATAAAACGGGACGGCGTTTGTTCAATTGCGATGTCCGATCAGATACCACGAATTTTCGGGTACCTAATGTCTAGGCTATAGTGGTAGGAACGTAATTGATTGATTGAAAGTTCATGATTTGACTTCTTGCCTACTTATATTTTCTTTTTTGGGGCTGGCCTAGTGGTACTAGCGTTCTGTAAACGGCTGTAGTACTTTTCGTTGTTACCGCTGTCGTTGCTGACGTGGTGCATAGTTGTCGGATGATTTAGTCACTGAATAGTGAATTAATCACGAGAGAAATAACATCAAGAATTGCCAATGTCATAGTGTACTAGATTGGTGAGGTTATAGTATAAAGAATGCTCATTTACTGGACGTACGCGCTAGTAGGACAACCATGGAAGAGTATGAGTCTAGGGCGGGATGGGCGAACACCGAGAGGGGAGGCGTCTGGTGACATCGGCTACCAAAGTGCCGGGCAACTGCGCAATGGTTGTAGGTTATAGTCATGTATTACGGTTATTTGCCACGGTAAAGTCATAAAAGCGATAGGGTGTGACACGGGTGGGCATTACCCGGATACCCAACCGCACCTGCGGACGGATCATGGGACAGATGGTGCGGATGGTGCGGATGGTGGGTGCCTTGGATAGTTCCATCCGCACGGGTACAGGTCGGAGGGCTTGCTAAAGTCAGGTATCTGCGGGTATCCGCGGGTAGTCACTGCCAGTACCCCAGATAGCAAATAATTTTTGGCTGGGCCAAATGGTACGGGTGCCACCCGGGTCTACCAATGTCACACCCTAAAAGTGATAGGGAAGTTCGCCAGAAGCGAATGAGGGTCGCGACTCAGGTGACGGAAGAGTGAAACTTCGTCTGGTGAAAGGTGTAAAGCGTTCACTTGTGACTTGAAAAACGATGGATGGTATTCTGCAAACAAGTAGATAACACTGTAGATAGTAGTTCCAATGAAAATCACTGGAAAATGCGCTGATGCTGAATGTTTCAGAGTAACTACCTTAATAGTATAATCATCCATAGGGGGGAGGGGGGTGGATTGAATGAGGTGGAAATAAAGTGCAGCACACTATTTCACAACAATGTTTATAAAATTCAAGTCAGAGGACGGCAAAAACCATCTGGCACCACATGCATACCATGTAAGCACCCATCACTCTCCAAAACCTGTTCTACATTACTATCTATATGTTTCCTGAGACTGCACCCCTGCAGTCGCCTCCGTCCCCGTCCCTGCTGCCCTGCCAAGCCTGTTGCCGTCCCTGTTCCCACGCCCCCATATCAGGAAGCGTCCCTGCTTCTCCGTTCTCAGGCAGGGACTCCTCCGTACCATATCAGGAAGGCGTCCCTGCTTCTCCGTTCCCAGGCAGGGACTCCTCCGTCCCATATCAGGAAAGCGTCCCTCCGTCCCTGTTCTCACGCAGGGACTCCTCCGTCCCATATCAGGAAAGCGTCCCTGCTTCTCCGTTCTCAGGCAGGGACTCCTCCGTCCCATATGAGGAAAGCGTCCCTGCTTCTCCGTACTCAGGCGGGGAAGCCCACAAACTCGTTCATCATATCTTCCCCCCCCCCCCCTCCCTCATCGAGCCCACAAACTTGTCGGTCATATCTTCCCTACCCTTACCATACCACAGCACCAAGCAAAACAAACTTGTTCTTCATATCTTCCCCTTCCACCTCGTTGAGCCCACGAACTCCTTCGTGATATCTTCCCCCCCCCGCCTCATTGAGCCCCCGAACTCCTTCGTGATATCTTCCCCCCCGCCTCGTTGAGCCCACGAACTCCTTCGTGATATCTTCCCCCCCGCCTCGTTGAACCCACGAACTCCTTCGTGATATCTTCCCCCCTGCCTCATTGAGCCCACGAACTCCTTCGTTATATCTTCCCCCCTGCCTCATTGACCCCACAAACTCATTGGTCATGTCTTCCCCCCCCCGCCCGCCTCATTGAGCCCAACAAACTTGCTCGTCATATCTTCCCCACCATGGCACCAAGCCAAACAAACTCGTTCGTCATATCTTTCCCCTCACGGCACCAAGCCAAACAAACTAGTTCGTCATATCCAAACTACCTCCCACCCCCTAAGCATCAGAGTCTCATATTTCACCCTTTTGGTCATCATTCGACGTTCTGATGGTCCCAACTAAGCATGCGCTGCAGAAAATGGCAGATTATGTCGACGATGGATGTGGCAAAAACCTCCAGATCCGTGTGATTTTTGTCAGGTCCGTTGCCGCTGCGATATCAAACGATTGCATTTGCCAGTCGCAATATTCATTCCCATCTCATTTCACACAGATTCTCATGTGACTCGTTCGCTCTATGATCCTCGACCACCCAGCTCACCGACCACTGCTTGCGCTGCGAATCATTGGCCATGGCAACCAGCGGATCATATAGCAGTAGCACTACTGGTGAATCTCAGATGTAGTTACAAGCACTATAAGATGTCCGAGTAATGGTACAGGACAGCTCTCCTCCTCAAGATGTCCGCAAACCTTGCTAGACTCGATGCTGGCCTTGAAAGATGTAGACCAGTGCTTGCAATGCATCAATGCGTAGTGGGTCGGCTTGATTATGTTGAAGCAGGCGATGGCGCAGATACAAGACGGTGATGATGAAGGTAGGCAGGTAGATGACGGCAGGCAGCAATCTACCATGAATCTGAAGGCAGGGAAGGATGATCAACCGCCTGAGCATGCCAGAGTAAGACATCGAGAGTGCATACCTCATGCGGCGAAAAATGACTGAATGGAACCACACTGGAATGAAGGATCTAGTGTGTGAAAGCTTCAAAATTCTCAGCAACTTCGATGCGCACTTACCAGGTTACTTTGATGGGTGTCAGATGAAGGGGCAGACAAATGGCCCAAATATCCTGCCACAGGGAAAGACTTGATTCTAGTCTTCGTGAATCATCGATTAGCACTCGCCCATTTGAAAACACTGCTGCCTTCAGTAGGCAAATTGCGCCGTTGCAGGAAAGAATCAGCCACTTAATACAGAACCAAAACGAAGAAATGAATTGCTCTCACTTGTTGCTGAAGGTGCCTGTGCCATGGCTCGAGAGTCGAAGATCCGTAAGAAATTCTTCAGCAGGTGAGAACTCCTGCGAGCATCATCGCCTCACCATTGCGAGGGAAAACTTTGGGTACTCTGGGGCAGATGCTGATTTCGACATCCTCCGAGTTCAGGCTGATGCGCGTCCTAGCAGCCATGTATCATTATTAGTATAGCGGGGCAAATGCGCAAAATGGACGGACGCAGCCCGAGGTCGGAGTCGTATGCAGTCAGCGTTCATCGTTCTATCACAAGAAGGGTTGTGGTTGGGTCAAGCACATCGCACACAGCACTTTGGACTTGGACCAAAAGATCCTGAATTCAACAGTGGGTAGAGGATTTATTCGCAATGAGAGGATTAGTATGAAATCACGGCGCTGCTGCGACGCGAGTGTTAGGTGCGACGAGTGCGGTGCGAATGTCCGGATTCGTGCCAGCCAAGACGAGGGCAGGAAAACAGCCAGTGAGATTTCAAATCATACAGTAACTAACAAGACGTTTTCCACACCCGAGGCCAGCAGTGTGAGACAATCCAAAGTATCTCTAATGGTAGAACCGACCCTGCAACACATCATCCCTAAAGTCAAGGTTGGCTCCCGTCAGACACGCGATCCTCGCTCGACATGAGCAAAAACAGGACTCACCTCATGCACGCATCAAAGGAAAAAATTGGGGTTGACTCTCTCCATGTTGCCGCAAAACCAAAGGAACGCCTCCAAGCAGTTGTTATATTTCCCTTCTTCGGCATCTTCTTCGACTGCCCAAGCTGCGAGCTCCTGTAGAGTCGAGAGCGTCGCTCCTCCGCCGATGTCCCGTATCAGCAGCTCCCTGAACTTCTCTTGTTTCCACATGGCGTAGACCGCCTTGAATACGAAGCCGGCGAAAGGGCACGTCGCGCCTTTCTTGTACACGAAACTGGCATGGCACGCCGGCTGCTCGTTGTTGAAGTTCTTCGACTGGGGTAAGCAGCACTGAAAGCAATAGGTGAAACGAGAAAACGAGAACACTTTCTTGAAGGCGTAGTACTCCTCCATGGACACGGCTTTGAGTTCGGGGCAATCGCTGTCGTTGGCCTCCAAGACGAGTTTCCCCCTCCTTCCAAAGTGAAAAGGGCAATGGTCTTTCAAGACCTGCATGTACTTGTTGAGGCGCGAGGTCCGTGCAAGACGACTCAAGGACGCTTGATTCACCCGACCCGCTCTCGATGCATAGCTGCGGGAATCGCTGGGGAGCGATGAAGGAGGTGGCAGTTCCACCCTGGAGGAGGTGGGCACGGATGGTTGCGATGCGCACTGCTGAACCCATCAGCGATGTCGCGTCGCACAGCAGAGATAATCATACCTTGAAGGGGTCGTCGTCCTCCGATCTCGAGGCGCGCTATGTATGAAAAGACAGACGGTCAGCATCAGCAGAGTTTGCGGCACGGGAACGGCTGACAGGTTGATGGATGACTTCCATGGCATGAAGAACCCTGGCTTGAGATGGGGTTATCTGCGGGCACGAGTCTTCGTACATCGCATCGCTGTCCTGGGACATTGGTTGGGCGGGGTCAGGCTCCTGTGTCCCATCGTGAATACAAAGCAAGGAGAATGGGATGCTGTCAAACCCACGCTGACATCGGCGGCGACGGTCTGGTGGTACGCGGCCGCTGACACGAATGCGAGAGGCGTGGCTTCCGCAGCGTCGGTGCCTCCATTCGAGCTATCTTTTGCCATAGTGAAAGGGGACGCGATGGCCTCCATGGCAAATTGTTGCATCTGGCCGTCTGGAGAACACACGTCGCAAGGGACGCCGCGAGGCTCTTCAGTGCAACGCGTCGCAAGATCTATGCCATCCATGCAGAGCGTAGTGGAGTATCGACGACATTCTTGACCGTGGACGACATCGTCCAATTCTTCCAGGCAGTTCTCCTTCCCCACCCCTATCTTTAGTCCACGGAAGGTCGTTATTCTATCAGCATCAGTGACAAAAAACACATGAGACTCCTCTCCATCTCGACCCGCGCGACCCATCATCTGGTTGTTGACTATGAGTCCGTACGACGGCCTGAAGATCACCACGTATCGGATGTTGGATCTGTCGATGCCCTGCGCGAAAGCGGTGGTGCACGCCATAACCTTCGATTCTCCTCGGTCCCACAGGTCGAGGTTGTATGCCTTGGTATTTCCAGGCTGCCACAGGTTGCTATGGTAGGCGGCGCACCTGGTTTGGGACGCAAATGATTCGGTGTCGACTTGCGAGCCGAAGAATACGAGCATGCGTTCTTCGTCGAGCAGACGTTCTTTCAAAGCATGAACCAGTTTCCGTAAAGACTCATGTGCTGCGATGGGTTGCACGGGAATGAGGTGCATTCCTATCTCCGGACGGTTTGTCGATGACCTGAGCTTGGCGAGGTCTTTGACCTTGATGCCGAACGGTCTGATAAAGATGTTCAAAAGGTGCGGGGGCATCGTGGCAGACAAGAGGATGATCTGTATCTTCATCCTACCGAATTGTTTGGCGAGAACTTTCCATTTTACGATGCGATTCGGATGGCAACCGATGACGTCGTGAAATTCATCTACGTAGACTCTGCTGAACATCTTCCCAAGGGGTGACATCAGGAGACTGTCGAGGGCGGATCAGAGGCTGTGGAAGGCGAGACCGACGTTCGTACGTACCTAGCGAACGCCTCAGATGAACAGTGTTCGACCTGAATGAATAGTATCTGAACGTTGTCCGGCACATCTTTGGAGCGCGAGTAATTGTGGCATCGCAGGCCAGTAGCAGCAGTTTTGGCGTACTGTTCTTCTAGCAATGCGACGAAGGGGCACACCACGATGCATTTTGCGTCGTCATCCAGCGCCGGGGGAACCATCCACAGCATACTTTTCCCCCCGCCGGTCTTCATGGTGATCATGACGTCTCGAGTTTCAGTCAAGACCGCGATTAGAGCATCCATCTGTGCTTGGCTCTTTTCAGCCGCGGCGGGATCTTTCCTGAGGTATCTGATCCCATCTCGAATCCGTTCTCTGATCTCCAGAATGGCGGGCGGGGGTGAAGATGGTCGACTGCTATCAGGGACTATGAAATCCATCAGGTCGTCGCCGCTGGACGGGTCTATCGCATTCGTGCCGCTCATCTTTAGTACCGAAGGGCCGTCATCATCGCTGGACAGGCTGATGACCTCCATGTCCGCCTTTTTAACAGAGGTTTCATACCGACGAAGACGCTTGAGGCTCCTAGATGGCCCCTCCACCTCCTCCACCTTCTCGCCTTCCGTCTCACTGACAGGCTCCAAGGCATGCTTGCGGCGGTTTCGGTATAGGAGAGGTGCGACTGGACCTGCGCTGGACTGGGATGCAGCAGCGGACTGAGGTTGGGCGGCGTCGTATGCCTTTCTCTTGCCCTTGCGGTCTGGGATAGGGGATATGCTGGAGGACTGCCTCTGGTCTATGCTGTCAGGCCCGTCTCTCCTCGTGGACACGCCGGGTTTGGCGTTGGATGGGAGAGCCTGGCCGGGCTCATATGCCCTACCCTTCCCCTTACGGTCGGCGCCGGGTTTGGCGTTGGATGGGGGAGCCTGGCCGGGTTCATATGCCCTGCCCTTCCCCTTACGGTCGACGAGGGGCGATATGTCGCTGCTTTGAAACATGAGGTCATCCACGGATCCAGAGCGAGAGATGCTTTGAATAGATGAAGCTGGCAGCGGCGAGTTTGACAGCATGTGTCCGCACTCTATGTAACCGCTTGCGGCTGGTGAGAACTCCCCAGCAGTGGCAATGTCTGCAAAAATAAAATGAGATCATGACCTGCGACGACGGGGGCTTGCGCTCACTGCTGTTGTCCAGATACCCGCTCACGCCTTGCGACAAAGCACCGCGGGATTGAATGCCTAGCTCATCATGTTCTCGAAGGACGGCGGAGATCGAGTCCTTCAGAGTTTCCTTGAACTCGGTAGCAAAAAATGAGTCGAGATGCGTTTGCACAGTTTTCATGAGCTGCGCGGACATGGTCTGAAAGGTCGTCCCATTCGCTGCGTTCCTTTTGGTTATCCGAATTGCTTCTGGAGGGGGAAAGGGACCGAGACCGAGCAAGCTGTGCCACTGGTCTCCCAGCCATCTGTGCTTGCACATGCTGTTATTCGACAGCCGAGGCGCGACTCCTTGAACCACTGCGTAATGGCTGTGGTCGACTGCGGTGGAGTGGTCTGCAGACTCAGCGAGGATGCTGTCAGCTTGGTCGTAAGAGTCTTCGGGGGAGATGAACTCGCGTCCCATGGTGATCGCGCCTTGGCGAAAGTCTCTCAACCCCCATCGACAGTCGAAATAGTCGTGATTCCACTGTTTGAGGTTGTCTGAAAACTTCGTCGACGTGATTCTCTCTCCTCCACCGACGCAGAGATAGCTGAAATACCAGTCGCGCGGTGAGAACGATCTCGAGGGTCAAGGATGAAGGATGGCGCTCACGTTCTGTAGAGATGTTCTGCTTCCTTGCCATATGCAACGCCGGCCAAGATGGCTTCTGCGGTCCGCAAACCCCCTCCAAGCAGTTCAAGGACCCAGAAGGCGACGTCCTTTGGCACGAACCCGGGGGTGCAGGAGTCTCGATCCGTGATACCGGTCGTCTTGCTGTAACCGGTTAGGATGAACATTTCATTGCCTCCCATGAAGAGGTTGCGATGCCTGTCCGCGTTGCACACCTGGTGATCTACGAATTGCGTTCCGCGACAGGAAATGTGAGTGGCGATGTATAGCAAGTGGTAAAGAGGCTCCCAGACGCGCAAGGTGCGTCCAAGCAGCGCCTTGATTCCAGGGATGTTCCACGCGATGCGACCTGCGTTGTCGACAATGGCGAGGCTATAGCACTCCACCAAGAAGAAGAAAAGAGAATGTCGCTTCTTGTGGAACGGCTCCTCTGACAGAAATGAATAACCTCGCGTGGTGTTGGCGAGATCGTCCTTGACATGATCCGGCATGCGAGTCAACATGAAGTTAGAGTTCGTGAGGGCAGTGTATCGCAGTTTGAAGTCCCTAAGCAGTCCCTGGATGCCCTCCCGAAGCTTGTCCATACGCATGGTTTCTGTGCCGATGGTGATGGATTGCACCTCGGGATCGACATAGACGTTCGGTTCCTTCTTTTGGTTAAAGGCGAGCGAGGAGGCGTACTGCTGCATCTCATAGATCGAGTTGAAAGTGGTGGGAGGACCGAGGCGTAGCACACGATGATGAATTTGGGCCACGCGCCTTTTGATGCAAAGGACGATCAGTCGCTGAAGGAAAGCGAATCGAAGGGCTAGCTCACTCGTGGTCGTCAGCATGCACGGAATCTGTATCCTTGTCTTTGTCCATGAGTGCTTCCAGAAGCGACGTAGAGTTGCAGAGGTACTTGAATTTTGCTAGGTCCGGGGTAAGGGCGGCGGGTTCACTGAAGTTTCCGTCCGCACGCAGAGCCCTCAGCCAGATGGCTCGCTGAATAGGGTTTGCCCATCGATCGGTCACGCACTGCTCCGGGTCGGTATCGACCAGAGACCATGCCAGCCCATGGTAGGCGATCATCCTCTTACGGGGGGTGCTAGCATCGTCACGCAAGACAGTCAAGAGGTCCTCGAGACACTTGGTCTGCCGAGGTGAAAGGGCGAACGAGAAGTCCAATGGAGATCCGAGGTGAATTCTAACGATGTTGCGCATCAATTGGATCATGAAATTGGGGTATTCTGAGTTGTCGTCTGACACGGGCCTCCAGTGATTGTCCCTGGGAATTCCGAGGGGCGTCAAAGAAGATCCTGCGGAGCTACGGTGCGACCACTCACCGTTCTCGGGGTATGGCATCGCCGTGCAATAGGATTTTCGAGAGGGCCAGCTTGTGAGGGTGACCATCCAAGATGGAGGATGCTTTCGCCATGTGGTCTTTGATGGCGACAGCGAGACGGGAGAGAAGACCTCCGTGCTCCTCCGCAGAATGTTTTTTCTTGATTTGGTCCGCTGCCCCTCTTTGGACTGGATTCATACGGATGTCTGGCATGAACTTGTCCCAACCCATGCAGCGAACGAGGGGGGTTCGTTCTCGTTCAGTATCAGCTGGGATGACCAACGGGACATCGAGCGCAGGCAAGAACGCAGCCTTGAGGGTGGCTCTCAAGTCGGATACAACGCCTGGGGTGATTTCCCTTTTAATCTCGAAATATGAATTTCTTACCCCAGTGAAGATACGCTGAACAAGGCAAGGCCGGTGCCGGACCTCTCTCAAAAGGTTGGCGCCATGCTTTTCCCTAATGTGTCTTTGCATGGTCTGTATACTTTTCACACAATATTCACAATCGGCCGATGCTGTACAGGCTAGACCTTCGCTTGGCTCCGCGATGACCTGGACGGGCGGTCCTCCAGCGGCCGGTAGCTTGACTTCCTCCGGTGTTGCATACAAGCCAGACTCGGAGCAAAAAGTCAAGAAAGCCTCTAGGTCCGATGAAGGCACCTGGCGACGTAGCATAGTTTGTTTGAAATCAGAAAAGGACGGACGGTACGTGTCATGAACATGCCTTATACGATGGGTGGAAATTTGTCCTGTGGCCGGCGACCATCTCGGAGGTCAATGCCGCGCCGCAGTCATAGCAGAGGAGGATTTTGAGTGCAGTATGCATGCAAACGCCCATCGCATCCATGAGGTCGTTCGACTTCAAGTAGTCTGTCGATGGCATGAGCCGTACTGTGGCAGAATCTGCTGCAGAAGTGGTAGCTGTAAAATAGAGGCCAAGGCGTTGGTCGTGAGCGGTCGTCAAATCGATAAAGGGTTATCACTCTGACCTGCGGAGTCAACCCCCTGAGGGAAAAGCTCGGCTGGCGCAGGAACCTGCACCGCGGGATTGCCGCGGTCTTGGGTTGTTTGATGTCCTGCAACAGCTCGAGTCAATACAAGGACGCAGTGATGATTACTGGATGTCCTACGATGCTCACCTGGCGAAGCAGTGGCGAACATTTTTACATCGTTGCTCACACTGTGATTGACGAACATATGTTTTTCTATTCCATCACGCTGTTTGAAATTTTTATCGCACCCGGGCAATGGACAGCTGTATTGATTATCGGAGTTCGTCAGGATGTACTGGCGGTCCTCGAACGTGAACGGAATCGGCACAGCGTGATAACGGTGACGATGCCTGCGGGCACCGGTGGTGTTTAGAAGCTGGGGAGTTTCTTCGCAGCCGGGCAAAGGACAAGTCAGAGGGTAATCAGACATCTCGGTCAGTTTAGTCAGCGGGGGGGGGGGGGCTTGTAGAGATAAGTATTGCTAGGGAACAAACAGTTTGGTCTTATACGATTTCCTGCCAATAATGCAAAGCTGCACCTGCAGGGATGCGATAAGAGGCACACCGAAAAAAAAAACCAAAGGACGGAAATTTTCAACGGCGTAGTCGCTTGTGATCAGGGGCACTTAGTTAGAAGACACCCGAGACAATTGATTCCCTAAGGTTACCCTAAGGACTGAGAAAAAGAAGAAAAAAAAAGACTAGGGTGGAAAATTTCAACAATGTATTCGGTTCTGAGCAGGGGGAGACATGGATCCGCACGGCAACCAAGTCAATTAATTTCCTAAGGGTGTCCTAAGCATCAATAACACGTTCCTCCAAGATCGCTTCAAGGATCAGCTTATGAATAAGGCAGCCCCCTTATAGGAGCCCCGCTTATATTTAAGGATCTTTCCTTGTTTAAATTCAACTCGGTACCGCATATCAGTCCCCGCCAACCCTGTTGCGCCCAATCCATGTGATCGATTTTTTTTTTTCCCATCCTCATAGGAATGGGAGGCGATCCTACTAACGCATTTAGGATTGACGTCTGCCTCGCCCTCAATACGATCGGTGACCGTCCGTCCCCATAGGCTTTACTATATACAATTGGGTTTGGTGTATTTTTTTTCTTTCTGGGTGGCTGGCAATGGAGCAACGGAGATGAATGGCTGCTGGTCATGGTGGCCTGGAATATTTCAAGCTTAGAGACTTACTACACATGTCACAAAGCCATCTACAAAGTAACTCAGACATACTTGATCTAGGGCTGCTGACACGATCTGCTGCTGCATGCGCAAAAAATGCCAGCATGGGAAAGGCAGGTCTAGGCACCCGCATTCTATCATCAACTCTAACCCGAGCAATCACCAACCACTCCCTGCCAACCCAAGGTCTGGCCGAATGCTCCAGAACCATGCCCAAAATGAAACCTGTGGTGCCCAGAAGAACCTCCAGCTCCACCTTCATATCTGTCAATGTAGTCTTTGCAGTGCGGCCTTCTCCCAAGCGCGGTTGGCATTGCTGCAGTAACGCAGTCCTAAGACGCGGATCAGCAGGACGAGATTGGGACGTTCAAGATGCTCACCAGCTGAGATGATAACAAAATGCGCGGTACATGATTCTTGTCGCGCCTGGGGTGATGTTCTCGAAGTTTCTCTGTTTCAGTCTCAGGCAATGTCGCCTTTCACAGCTGGGCTGAGACAACTTGACTGATTCCCCAGGACGTCCTACATACCAATTCACATAGTCTTCCCCCGATCAATATTAAGCCGCGCGCCATCGGTCCACAAACATGTAGACACTCACATGGGTTCATCATAGCATCCGAAATCACAAGTGCTGGTCGTTGAATTCCAGCAATCGAGAACGAATTGGGACTGCCAGGGGTTTCCACGTTCAAAGCAGAGGAAGTGCCTGAGTTTCTCAACCTTCACGCGGCAATCTGGTCAACATTTTTGGAAGAATCGAAGTGAGGAACAGACGTACGTATATCTGCACGGGAGGTCAGATTTCACCATCCCTTCTGTGAGGAACTTAAGGCCGTCCATTTCCACTACTTCAGTGATCTCAGTAGTCAGAGCGCCTTTCGGTTGCTCCATCAGGGAAGAAAAGGGAATCAACCATTCTGCCTCGATTGTTTCAATTTTTGAGTTTGGTACTGTACAGTTTGGTAACACTACTTCTGTTGCGATTGCAGATGGGCATTTACGTAAATTTATCTCCGAATGGGGTTTGTTCAGAGTTGTATTATTTGCTTGAGTCGATGCGGTACCATTTGTAAAGCCAAAACGGTCTATGCGCGTAAGATGTAAACTAATGCAAGGTCGTTGGCAATGTGCTGATTCCGAGGGAGCTATGCTGTCAAAAGGCAAACAGTCGAATGAGAGAACCCAAGGTATACAACATCACAAGAGATCTTGCCGCTCCCGTTCAGCCTCTTTCCGGACCGATACTGCTTTCAATGCTTTAATGAAGGTATGAAGGGCTCCTGCCTGGGATGAGGAGTCGTTGGCGTCTGTCCAAGCTCTCACATCTTCGATGTGCTCCTTAAGGATGGCTGTATATTCCGACGAGTAGTGGGCCTTAATCCGGGCTTCGTATTGATCGGTAGACCTGTTGCTCAAGAATTCTTCAAAATGTTCGATGGCCACTTCATGCCGAGGTCTGGCATAGCTTCCAGGAGGCAGCAGAGGAGGCGGTAGAGAGGCCGATGACTCGGGAGGAAGAATGCCCCGAGGGATGTCAGAATAGGCGGGCTTCATCCGTGCTTCGTATCGATTGACGGACCTGTGGTCGATGATTTCTTTGAAGTATTGTTCAACCAGTCGTTGTAACCGGTTGCGCTCATTGCTTGCAGAGGGCGGCGGAGTGCGTGAATTGTGCCCAGGATCTGTTGGGTTGTCACGCTCCTCTTGTCGACCAGAGGATACATAACCTTCAGGATTATCGTTGTGGCGCACATCGACATCGGGTGGACCTAACGATGCTTGTGAGATAGTGCTGGCTCGAGGAGCCAGGACTTTTGCTTACCAGAACTGGCTTGCCGTTCGCTTTCGGCGCCAGCCCGATTGCCTCCATCAGCCCGTTCCTCCTGCGCCTTTTGTACCTGTGGCTCTGCGACTTGGCACGTCAGGTAAAGCAAATGCATCGACTAACGACTTAAACCAAGACTCACCGGTCATCTTTCTCTTCCTCCACCTGGCTCCCCCCTCCTTCAATGCATCTTGTACGTTTTTGCCTGACAC